TGTGCCTCCGGTACTCACTGACACGGCGAAACACAACGCTGTGGTTGTTTCACGCCGGTTTGCCGTGAAGCCGTGATATCACTCCGGTCGAGCCAACCCATTCGTGCTGAAGCTTGGGTTACCCTCACTTAAAAAATAATTATAAGATATTACAAATATTTTAACTAAGTACCTACTATAGAAGATCGTACTAGAAATATGGGTATTTTTATTAGAAGCTTATACCGCCAATGTTCCCAAAACCATATTTTTTCTTCTTCTAAAATATAGAACACTGTACGATATTGGATATGATCGTATTTTTCCACGAAATACAAGAATAATAATCGTACATAATACAATTTCAATAAGACTTCGTCCTCAAATAAATTTAATACCATGGCGTGTTATTATTATTATTATTTTAGAAAAACATTGCACCACACTAATATTTTCTCCTGTATTATGGGTGCAGTTACAAACATACAATAATTTGTGGGTCACACATCATAGTGTTCGACTAGTTACCTAATTCATATCATGGTTCTATTATAGACTTCTATATTCTCAAATATCATGATGGCCCGAAGGTTACAGATCTCCCAATAAGTACTTAGTTCAATACCTAGTATACAATTAAACGTTTCCCAAGCAGGTAATATGTAATTCAAACCTTCAAGAATTTAAGAGCTCTTTCTTCAAAGACTGCCAGTCTTTTTATGACTCCACTGGTATTAGAGTCTCCAAGGGCGGCGCTGATCACTTACCCCCGGGTGGATTGTCTCCTCTTTTGCCTCAAATTCCATCTTTGAACATGCATAACTCCTAAACGACAGCACCAAATTGGATACAATATTCATTAATGATGATAATGATGAAAATTGTTTTTATGAAACAATTTTTACTGTGAAAATCAAGTGACAGCATCTGTGTGAAGCTGAAGACTCATTGGACATATCATGTCATTTATACATTCAATCAAATCGACTAAGTAATGTTTAATACCATTTATTCCAGTCTAAGGAAACATTTTTGTAAGTTACCTTAAGTAATTGCCAAAAACTATGGAAGTTTCATTACTGCTTTCGATCGCCGAAAGGGTAAACAGAGGGCCTACCACTAGCTATAAAAGGCGTATAGCTCCATCCCTCTTTCTCGCCCGGAAGATTGACGCTTTAACACGTCATAGTAGGCCTACAAAATAGTATATTTTCAATGTAGCACTTACGTTTTACTAATATCTAAAGAATCATATGTAATAATGATAAGGTGGTTATTACTATGAACTAGGTACTTCGTAATCCATACGCCGCGTTATTCCAGACTCCAGTCGGGGCAGCGGGTCCAAGCGCTATAAAGTACCGCGACCAGAGTTTTTTTGTAAGAGGATAATCATCAAATCACTTGTCTCGACGCCCAGTGTGAGGCAAGAGGGAGTCAGACTCTTACTGACTAAAAACACGCCCGTTCCTTCAGTCCTTCTCCTGCTCTGGGCCGAAGCCGCGGTACCTTATACTGCGTTTAGGGTTAGGAACAGGAAAAAGTACGAGGCATTTTTTAATCAGCAGTTAGAAAGAGATCATTCCTTCTCGTTTTAAAATTTTCGTCATGTTGATGCTGAGAATAATTTGAAAATCGAATATAGTCAATACTAGATACCTTCTCCAACTCAAGAATAAAACGATAGCGCTCTTTCTTGGCAGTCTTACTACTATTAATAACAGTCAAACAAATAATCGGTCAATTTACTTACCTACCTATTTTATTTGAATCCATCATCTAAACCAATATTTTGTGTACAAGCTATATGGCACTGCACATTTAATTTGAGTTCTTAGACGTAACTTTAAGGTAGTTGTGTATTAATTAGGGCTGTTAAAGTTTCCTGGGGAATGATAATGATGCTGTCGCGTCATAATATTTGTATAAGACAGTGACAACATTTATCTGACTATTGAAAAATCAGCCCGTAGTATACCTAATAAAGATACTCTGTATCATTGATTGGCTTGACAATTATTCGAGTTTTCTTGACAACTATCCCAAATCGCGCATTTTCAAACAATGAGTTCGCTAAAATAATTTCCTACCTAAATCAGAAAACTTATCTTCAAACTTCTTACTTCTCTGATTTCATAATGTTAATTTAACATTCCGATTTTAAATCTCATTTTACTTTTTATTTATTTTTCATATTTTTTTTTTATAAAATGTGTTATGTAGTTGAGCTTGAGATACTTACTTATATCAAGTACTTATCCTTATTTTGACAAAATTAATGCCATAGTGCCATTAAATCTTTTATGAATCGATATTCCTGAATAATGTCAGACAGAAAAATAAAATAAAAAAAAATGTTTTAAATTGTTGGAAGCAGTGCCATCTCTTTGTTGACGACTGTAATCAAAGGCCAATCCACAAAAAGTCGTTCATGTGATGTCACCTTTTTAATTAGGTAATAATAGATAATTTTTAAAATAGGTATAATAAGTACCTTTGCAGTTCTGCACTCACGTAATCAAACCATATACTTTATCTTCGCTTTCAAATCATTGTATTGACGCGATCGAGATTTGGTCTGTCATACCCAGTCTACTAACAAAATAATGATCAACATTCAAGAACGAAAATTATGCAAAAACCGCAAAGTTCATCAAACCCTCGCAACGTTCATCAAACCACACACGGCGAAGCGTGAGGGTTGGGATCTACGCTTCGATCGTACAGCGCCATCTCGTGGCGGGGCGGGGCACCTCACGAGAGATGACGTCACTGCCGGCGGCGCGCGCGCTGATTGAGCGATGAACTTTGCTGCGCCGCGTCGATCATTTCACGTAGGTATTATTATTAGCTATAGTTTATACGAAGGATTATCCATTCAGATTTTTGTCGACAGGATGTTGGTTATTAGTGAGATTAATCGATGTGGGAGTAATCAATGAGTCGAGGTGAGCGATGTGTGCACGTGATGCTACGTGAAATATTATTGTATGTCTCGTCTTCGACTGCTATTTGAGTGTTTCAGACATTGAACTTTACTGTTATTATATTTAAACGTTTTTATTGATTTGTACAGATCTACGGTGGAGTAAAGAGAGAGTGTGTTTGGTGTACGAGTGTGCTGCTCTCACACACTGAAAGAAAATACCCAGGAGAAACACATGCACATCCTATTTCATCGCAAAATCAAAATAAATCTAAGTATACCTAATGTAATAGTAGGTAAAATAAAAATTTCAGGGGAAGTCTTGCTCTTGACATCAGTCAAGAACAAGACTTCCCCGCGACTTCTAAATAGAACATTCTAAAAACAAAATTCAAATTATAAAAAAAACTTCTTTTAAAGATGTTATTCTCATCACCCTGTACAAGTAGGCCGTTACAACATCGTTCGCAAGCACTTATTAATAACGAAGAAAGCTGCACTGAATCTTTTGATCGGCAAACAATGGGTGTGCACGGATACCCGCGAACCCAAAGCAAATATTATTTATTACAATATTCAGCTTTTACAAAATACATGCAACGAAAGAACGTTTAAAAATACGACACGGTAAGGTTGTGTTTTTTTTTATTCAGATGACAGTTTGACAGTCTGTGGTTATTGCGGATGTTTGAGTACAGATGGCACTTCCTTATAATTTAAATTGGGTCTCAGTGTTCAGAAAAAAAATCGTGCTATCAAAGGAGGTATCAGTGTTTAGAACAAAACTCGTGTTATCAACGGAGGTATCGACGAGTTCTTCTTTATTTCAACTAAGTATAAGTAGTTATATTTTATATAGGCTGTGGAAGATTCTGGGTCAAATTGAAGCACAGTAAAGTATCGCCACAGACGTGACAGAATTGGGTATTCTAAAGTATCTAGTTTGAAATAGCATCTGATAACCTATCTTAGTAATGGAGTTATAGGCCTTTAGCAAGCAAAGGGCAATAAGGCACAACGGCCTCGGCCTGGAGCAGGAGAAGGAACAGGGTTTTATTCAATAACCAGCTGCCACACTCTCTCGCCAAACCCAAGAGAAGTCATTTGGTGATTTATCCTCCTCAAAAAAGGGCCTTTTTAAGAATTAAACATAGAATCACATCTTATTTTTATAGACTAATAATTATAACACATAATTATGCAGGTGGCGAAAGAGTCCCACAGGCATACATGCTAGACGAGTTATGAGGTCACAAAATAGAAACAAGAACTTGTGATTGTATAAACTAATTAAATTGAATAAAAAGCTCTAAGTAGGTACCTACGTAATTATTTAGCTGTTTAATACTGACAGCTCCATCATAGCTGGAAGGTGAATTAAAACAAACATGCCTATCTTAATCGTAGCAAGAACATCATTACTTGAGCTTAGCGCAACGATTTATTTATAAAAATACGCTTCAATGCCTTATTGAATAATCGACGAAGCAAAGATCGAAGATAGCGCCTCTCTCGACGAAAATTAATATTTTGCATCGACGAATTAATATAATTAGCTGTAATTATTATTTAGTTTTGTTTGTTGCTTTATTATGAAGGTTTAATGTATGGGAAAATCAGTTCTTGTTTTATATTTTGGAACAGGAAATGTTATCCGATGTTAACATTTTTTGGAGTCGTCATTGCATGACTGATGTGGGTAGTAAGACTTTCGGCAGGATTACTTTTGTAGTACCTAAGTGAATATTTTCTAACTTCCCCGCTCAATGCCGATTCCTGAGATTTTTCCAAGTTGCAGTTGTTTTGTAGGTGTTGTAGGTACTGTAGGTACTGTTCCTTCCTTTACTTAAAATTGGAAGCATAAGAATGCGAAAACAACACCATCTCTGGATTAGACTTAGAACTTCTTTGACTCGGAAAAAGATAACCGTTCCATTTCTTTTAACACGAAACAAATAAAGTTGCTTTGGCAAGCAAAAATATATAAACCCGTCTTAAAACAATTTTAAATTACAAACGAATGAAACAAATAAAAGTGATAAAAAATTTAAATGAAAATATTAAAATGTGAAACAAAAATCTCACACGTTTCTTTAACACTTCCTGTAACGGAACGGCTTTCTTATGTCAACGCAAACAAAACTATGTCAAAATTAATTCTAAATTTCGTGTAAAAACAACAACAAAATCACACAACAATTTATGTGCAGCAATCCATGTGCTCCTTTTATTTGTGTATATAATAAAGAAACGTCGTGATGGCTGAAAAGTAAGTTGTTTTATATATTTTCACTAGCACAAAATTCATGACAACATTCTATGGTTATCGTAGAAGGAATGGTAAAAGTGAATAATGCGTTGTTTTGGTAATAGAATTGTCGTAAAATTTCATTGTAAGCTCTATTTTTATCGCCATTGATGTACAAAATATCTTTTGAAAAGGTCATGATATCAATTAGGATGTGTATTCGATGCTTCCTATTTGCTCAATTTGTCAAAGCGAATGCGAATCAAACTGTAATGTCAGGCGCATAACAGTAACAACCGAATAATTTTAGTGCTAACTAGATGTTGACATAATTCTGCAGAACTAATGTTAAACAAATCATTTGCTCACTGTATGCAAGTAAATATTACACACATGCTGGTTTTCAAGATGGAGATCTCTCTGGTTATTAAACCTCTTTTCTTAATTACCATTTTTTTTTTTCAAAAGTAGAACTGGGCCTTGTTTTGACACTTAAAAATACTAGTAGATTCTTACTAGAAACTTTTCTATGTATATCTGTCCCTAGCATATTGATAATCATAAATTAATCATTTTAACTTCATTATGGTTTTCTATGTTTTGTTATGGACATCAAAACCATGACTCAATAAAAGTATTCAGTTTCACATATTTGAGATATATATGATATTTTTGTTTATGACATAATAAATTCTTATTTTTATTTAAGTATATTTAACATTTAAAATCTTTTAAGTTCCATTATGACTCAGAAAACTGCTTGCAAAAATGTTCCAGTTACTATTTGATTATGTATGTCACAAAAGGAATAAGGTACACTAACCACATCTTAAAACATCTTTGTTAGACCCTGAACATAGTCTAGAGCTATGCCAAGTCCAATATATTTCACTTAATTTCTAATTGGGTCACTTAAATTTACCGCACTGGCAAATCAAACTAAGTTAAAACACAATAGACTGGCATTAGCATAAATTACCTTTTATAAACAAAACCGAACAGATACTCAGTAAATGGTAAAATTGATTGAACTTGGCCAGATTTGCTTCATATTACTATAAAAAAAAAAACAAATAAATACATTTGAAAATTGTATTTAAGATTATATATAAATTGTTTATTGTAAATGGAAGGGAAAGAAGTGCTCTACCAAAATAGCATAACAACCCTTCACCTCTTGTCTACCGGTATATAAGACACAATAGAATATACAACATGTGTCACTTAGGTCCATAGTCTGGCAAATTAGGGGTTCAATAAGGTTCATCAAAGTAAGGTGTATGATATAATGATATCAGTAATTACTGAATTTAAGAGTACATCGTCCCAACAGTTAGTTTCTTAGAATGTGTTCAAGTTTCTTGTGTGATATGACAGCAGACGGATTACCTGATGGTAAGCACGCTGCCCATGGACACCCGCAACAACAGAGAAGTTACGAGTGTGTTGCCGACCTTTTGGGATTAGGGATTTGGAGCTTTTGAGGATTAGGGATTGAGGGAAGGGAAATATTGAGTCTCTGGTAACCTCACTCACACGGTGAAACACAACACTGTGTATGTTGACTTAACAACAGCAAAAGCTAAAAACTACCAAACAGACAAAATATATGGATGACTTTAAAAAAGTATTAATGTTAACCCAGGTCTAATGAATCAAGTCCAAGCGAGCCTGCCAGTACTCCGAGACAGGAGGACAAACCGTCTGGCAACTGGTGGGACACTTGGATATCTTCCGCTAAGTCCAAGGTAAGTTACATAGACATTTCTTCTTTTCTTTGTAATTAATCCAGTTTTTTACTTTACTTATATTATATTATAAAGTATGTAGAGTAAGGATGTGTATAATGTCCAGCATAATAACAGACTTCAGCTCTAAACTTCTGTATGTATAAAAATGAATCACCAAATGTGTTGATAAGGGCTTAACTCAATAACGCCTGGACTAATTTTGACAATTCTCTTTTTATTGTATTTGATATAGTCACGAAAAGGATTTTTATGAAATATAATTTTAATAATGTAAGTACCTAGACGAAAATGCGTGTAAAAGAAATTAGAAAACTAATAGGATACCCGCTGGAAGTGGTGGCGGGCTAATAGTTTTCTTATAAAATTTTGAGACATAAATATAAGTACTTAACTATTATTACTTTTACGGCTCTGACTATTTAATTTTTTTAATTTAATAACAGTTTGTCAGTCCCCATAGAAACATAAGAGACCAAACTGATATAATACGGTAGTTTCCAGCTAGTAAAATTCAATACTTTTATCCAAATGTCAAAAACGATACTTTTCTATGAAATTTGTATGAAAAACTGAGTAATGACGTCATAGTATTTTTGCATCCAATAGATTACTTATTTCTTAATAACTGGCTATAAAATATCTAAAACTTAGTGTATTGATCGATCGATGAATAATAGTATAGTTATCTTTCAATGTTTTATTGTATTGAAACGTCGAATTAATTTATTTTTGACCAAGGAATTACCCAATTATGACCCTAAATATTATCCAAATCAGAGAATCTTTAAAAAACTACAATAAAATAGAAGTAATAAATTCCCAAGAGATGTCCATGTAGTAAAATTAATGTTTCTCCTCGTATTTTTTTTTCTTTATGTTTATTCTTATGTAGTTAGCATTCGCTTTGTTTCGCAATTGTTTTCTGCAGCAGTATTTACCTTTGTGTTCTGTAGCTTCGTTCTATTTATGTTTTGTTTTTATTTTTATAGGAATGTTTTTATAACATTATTACTTTAATTGAAAAAATAAATATTCCCGCTTTTGTATTTTCTATAAAACAATAATTGTTTCGAATGATCGTGGTAGCCCGGAGGTTAAGGAGCCCGCTTCTCATGCATGAGATTGTATGTTTGAAACCCGGCAAGTACCAATGTGACTTTTTCCGAGTTATATGTACTTTCTATGATTATTAAGACACCACTGGCATATGGTGAAGGTAAACATCGTAAGGAAACCTGGACTTATAATTTGTAATTATAAGTTTCAAACTTATTCGCTTATATCGCCAACCCACATTGAGCAAGAGTGGTGATTGATGCTCAAACCTTCTCCGTGTAAGATGAGGCCTTTGCTCAGCAGTGGGCACTTATGGAGTGATGATGAATTGTTTCAAACAAGCGACCCGCCACGGCTTTGCGCGACTACAATGCTGATACTAAATTTCTCTATGATTTAATGGATGCTATTATACATATAAACCTTCTTCTCCAATCACTGGCATCTATAAAAAAAAAACAAAACAAAATCCGTTGTGTAGTTTTAAAGAAAAATCTTCAGATAATCCATTCTTCCATTCTATCCTCAGTTATTGCCACATTCGTATTGCATATCTAATTTTATTACTCTTATCACGTTATTGGCAGGTCCTTGATCAAAAGAGGATGCATGCTGATTAAAATAAATAAAACCTCAATAGTGCAATCGATAGCGGTGACATCTATACTAATATTATAAAGAGGTATTTGTAAGTTTGTATGTAGGGAGTAGTCTTTGGAACCGCTGGTCGGATTCCCAAAATTCTTTCACTGATAGATAGCTACAATGTTCCTGAGTGCTATAGGCTAAATGGAGCCAAGCAGCGGGTGAAACCGCACGACAATAGCTAGTCTCCAAATAACATTGTCAAAAAGAAGAAATAATTCATGTTTAGGTTTAATAGTGAATGCATGTAAAGTTATTGAATCACTTTAGATTCAATTATTCGCCATGACTAATCGTCGCGTATCTAATCGGAGTGCGTTCAACCGTTTAACGAATAAAGAAACAGTTTATATGGCAATGTTGTGTCGTAGCTTTACATACTTTGACCGCGTAAAGAATGCACTGCCAAAATTGTGACCTAGAGAAATAGTAGTTTTGGTGACTGTGTGTTTAGAAAGGTTTTTATTATAATCAGTATCCAATATTGATCCATTCCCCGGCCGGAATTCCGGGCCCTGACATACGGTGGGCCAGCATAAGTCAACAACAATCTATCGCCAACCCAAGGTGGGAGAAGCCAAGCGATGTTTATCCCCCCCCCCCCCTCGAGAAAAAGGCTAGCAGGAGAAAAAAAGGCTATACTGTCGTAAAAATGTGGAGCTAGTCATCGTACTCCAATATGTCACATTTCTTCAATAGAGTTTTAACTATCTTACAAAATAAAAATGTAAGATGATCTCGAGAGAGAGCGCATATTTGTCATAAAAACGCCAGTTATAACTGATTTAGCGCTGTGTGCTGATATAAAACAGTTATAATACTGTACTCGCGTCAATATGCTACTGAAAATATATCATGAAACTACCGGGGTCATTAACATCGGTGGAAATGAGATTGACTCATTCTAGATCAAATATAGGTACGTCAGTAATCACTGGATAACTAATTTTCACTACACACATGCGAAAATGAATTCTGTATTAATGTGTGTAGGTTTAAATTGCTTTGTGCTAAGTTTATCAAATAAAAAAGTTTGTATTTTTTCACCATATAGCGTAAACAAAGACGGCATTGATCGTTGGAAGCAAAAAAGATGTACTGTCGGTAACCAGGTATAAACTCCTTGGTGCATTAATATGTTTTAGGTTTTAGTTACATATTTTTTCGAGTATACATTTTTGAAGAAAAGCTTTTATTCTTCAGCAAAGAAAAATATGTTAATAAAAGAGTTAGTTACAGAGCTTTCTCCTTATTTTGACGATGGCATTTTTTTACGAAATAACACGTGCACGCTTTTTCGGACGTACTTATAACACTATCAAATAATTGTGTTAAATGAAATACAAATGAAAATGTAAAAAAATCTCCTTCCCCTTATTAATGACAATTAACACCTCAATTCACTAAGGGCCTGTTTCAAATTTATTTAATGCATATTGACGATCCAGGCTTCGTGAGATGTGAAATAGGCACTCAATGTTTTATATGTAACTAGTTTCACAGATGATAAAGACAAACGAATTACGAATCTGCAAGTAGTAAAATAATTCCAATGAACGGGGTGACCTCTTCCTGGGCACTTAGTACGCCATGTTATAACAAAAAGAATTCACTAAAACATATTCTTTGATCCGTCAACAGCGTTCGATAAGGTCATCGTGTTTAAAACATGTGTAATGTTATTCGTTCAATGCATCGCTACCTTGAAAACTTGTTTGAAAGCATTAATTACCAAATACTGCTTTAAAATCTGTGTTTGTATAAACACCGGTTTATAAATAAAGTATTTTTAGGCTTGACTTGTGTGGGGTTCCTTAGGGGAGCGTATTGGGATCTATAAACTAATATTGTATCTAATAAATTTACCTTTTTTATTTTAATATCGTTTATAATTGAACCTACAAAACCCTAAGCGGAAACCGGTGTCCTATGTAACGTCATCATCTCGTCTCGTTTGCATCGCTTGAAACTCTAAGCAGACAACAGTCTTCCCACTCCAGGCGATAGAAGACACCGATTACAACCGAGGCTTGAATATGAAAAGAAAGAATTTATGAACTTGTGTACAAAATCGATTTATATGAATTATAGATTTTGAGGTTATGTTTCTGATTTGTTGGTTGAGTAGTTGACGATTTCATTCTCAAATCAAGTATATTGTTATGCTATTTACTGGTAAAATATCATACTGAGTTATGGAATACATACATATCTAAATCTTAATTTACTAAACCCCAAGCAAACGTTCGAAATGCGAAATTGTTTTTCTATTGTGTCTCGTATTATCAGGATTAAAAGGTTAGGGAAAAGAAAGATTAGCAGATATAAAATAATAACGGAATACATTGCCTTAGATCAGTATCTTAAGTTATTAATAAAATATTACTGCATAGTATAAAACAAATTCGATTTCTCTTTCCCTGTCCCTATGCTTAAATCTTAAAACTACGCAACGGTTTTTGATGCGGCTTTTTTATAGATAGAGTGATTGAAGAGAAAAGTTTATATATATGTTTAATAACATCCTTTAAATAGTGGAGAAATTTATTATAAGCATTGCACCCGTACAATCCCGGCAACCATTGCACCCGTGAGAAGCTGTGGTGCGTCGCTAGTAGTACTGTACTCACATTCAGCGTACCGGCATCGGTAATTTTAATAGTAATTTCACTTTTACTCATATCGATTGACAAATAATAAATAATGTCAAAGAGTCCATAAGGTTTTATCAAGTTAGGGTAACTTATCGAAACTTTTATAAACCCGGGGTCTACGCCCTTGACCTTATACATAGTTAAGATTAACGCAAGTAAAACGGCCTTGAGTGATAACGTCGATCTAAAGTATTATAGTATATTTTTAATACCTGTATGACCTAAAACTTGGGTCATTAGGTTAGGAATAAATAGATTACTATACGATGGATGTACTGTATAATTAGTTGGATATATTCAGATTTTTATTTGTAAACGGATCACGTAGCAAAACACATAGAACAGTACATTTTTTTTGCTATATGTCTTTTTTATTAAAGAAAAAAGGTTAAAGAAAAAATGTTGATATTGGCCTTTTTAGAATTTATTATCTAATCTCTGGTATCCAAATAGTAACCTGCAGTTACCTGAGCTAGATAAGAAACTTATACTCGTACTTTCTGATATTTTTCTGGTTTCGGACAGCATGTTTCTTACACCCGACCAGTATATTATAAGTCATAATTATATTTTAAGGGATGTATTCACAAAATTTTAAAAGAAAAATTGCGTTATAGTTTTTTTACCTTTAGGCTGTTAGATCGAAGGAAATTCGGTATGGTGATATTTTTTATCTTGGACAAGCTATAAACATATACAGTTGTATATACTTGCACACATACTTAGTTCGTCACGCAAATATACAATTACTGTTGTTACTGAATAAAAAAAGAGGTCTTCTTCGTATTTAAAAAAAATTACCGTTATTGATTGGAATTTCTTGGAAGCCTTACCTCCGGGCCACCACGACACATTTTTGTCATTAGTTTTATTAAGGGCTGATGTTTCAATGGTAAGATAAAAGAACTGGGGAATAATTATGATGCTGTCGCGTCAGAATGTTTGTCTTAGACAGTGACAGCAACAATTGCTGAAAAATCTTAATGAATTTATGTAAAAAAACTTGGACCGATCTAGACACCAAAGATCAGCTAAGAAACAAAAAAATACGCAGTTTTCTAGAACACTTTTTCACGAAAGAAATGTGTGAAATAATTTTCTTTTTAACGAAAATTCACCTTATTTCTATAGCTATATGATATATTATTATAATAATCTATATAGGCCAGTGTTGTTATGAACTTTATCTCCTGTATTTATATTGCTGCATACAGAGATATACTATCGTTTAGATAAAACTTTACTTAACTTTAAGTAATAACTAGTGTCCGCAAGATAAAATTTGTTCAAATGCAAACTTTTCTTTATTTTCTTTAACTCCGTGAAGAAATTAATTGCGTCGTAGGTGCATGGTTCTTTACATTAATTATTTCTGTTAAATCTGGGCCGGATCGATCGGATTGATACCACAGTCTCACTGAATACCGGCGTGAAGCCGAAAACTTACGATGTGTCTCGTTATGTGAGTGACGTTGCCAAGAGGCCCTACCCTTTCCCTCTGCCCATCCTCTATCCTCAAATCCCCTATCCATAAATCCAGAATAACACACAGGAAGCCGGCAAAACACTTGTATTGAGTGTCCGTTGGCGGCGCCGACTACTTACCATCAGGTAATCCGTCTGCTCGTTTGCCGAAATATGCCATATAAATAAAATTATGATGTCAAGATTGTTATCGTGATTAAAACATTCTGATATTAAATAATTAACCCGTCTCGCTGCTCACCAGCAACCCAATATAAATATTGATCATAATTAGTTACATTATTAACGACCCGAGAGGATATAACAAAATAATGTTTTTTTGAAAATCACGCAGTTTCAGTCTTTTCTGAGATAAACTTGAGCTACCTTAAGGTGTGAGAACTCCTGAACTTAATTTAGTTTTATGTAAATATTGTTTTATTGTATGACAATATAATAAAAGTAATATACTTATTTATATTATAACGTAAAAAAAAGATGGGCAATCCATTTACACATACTTTTTAATGTTCATTCCCTGTCCTCATCTCCATTTAAGCAATGAAGCACAGCCCTATCAGAAACTTACACATGTCAGTACTCTTTCTTTTATACGTTGGCAAACGAGCATACCTACTCATTACCTAATGTTAAGCTATCGGAGCCCCAGAGAAGTAAGTTGCAAGCGCGTTGCCGGCATAATAAAGATTCAAGGATTGGGGGAGGGAAAGGATTTGGCCGTTAACCTCTGTCACACGACGAAACAACGCTGTGGTTCTACACGCTGGTTTTATGTGAGCCGTTGAAGGTTGAGCCAGGCTATTCGTACCGAAACATAACTCTCCCACACTTATATTTTCCTAATAGTAAAGTCAGAAGGATGTTTAAACTCTCATCTGCCGGTATATAACACACAATAGGAAATTCATGAAAATATATTGTGTCTTGCTTATATACATACTAGCGGCCCTACCCCGCTTCGCACGGATCCAACTATCTCGCTAACAATGAAAGCGTCCCTTTTCCCCAATTTTCCCCTCTACTTTTCTAATGTTTTCTTTCATAAGAAAAACTTCTCCTGACAATAATAAATACAAAACAAAAGGATTTGGCAAAATTGGTCCAGCCGTTTTTGAGTTATGCGCTTACCAACACATTTTGCGATCCATTTTTATATTATAGGTACTTTTCGGCGCATACTACGGATTAATAGAATTTCTGATTTTCATATGGCATTACATTTTAATTTTGCAGTCGGCAGAAGTGTATACGATGGTGAAGAAGGACCTAGACGAAATAGGCACGGCTGTCAAGAGCGAGGCCAGCCATGTGTTTAGTACCACGTCTAATGTCATTGGGAAGACTTTGAAGGTAATTTGATGTAAATTATAGAAAGAAATCCTTAATGGCGAAAGACAAGCTGTTAAGAGGAGAGATAAACAGAATATCGAGAGTATATTTTATTTAATTGTCTATGGTTACCTTGATCTTTTTAAAGTTATATGTATTTTTATAAGTTAATAGATGTATGAGTTAAACTCTAAAAAAAATATTTAATGTAATTAGAAAAATAATAAGGATATATTTTGTTAATCAAGCTTATTTTTTTTTATTATAAAGCCTTTTTAATTTGTCGTTACAAATTATAGGTTAAACTGAAAATTAACAAAAGGAATTAAAAAGAAAAGTAAGAATAAGAAAATGTTAAATGTTCCGCCCACTATTCGCCAGTTATGTTTAAGCCAGCTACCGCCGCGTAAGCCGCTAAACGGCTGTGATGCTTTATAGTTTACTCCGACAAATATACTATCCAACTCGACATAATTGCTCAATTCAATTCAATTCGACAGTCCCAAAAGTAAGGCCGCTCAAACAAATAAACTTGATTAATTGATTAGGGCTGATTTTTCAATGGTCAGATAAAAGTTACCTGTGGAATAATTATGATGCTGTCGCGTCAGAATGTTTGTATAAGACAATGACAGCAACATTTTTTTTTCATATAACATCATAACATTTTTTTGACCATTAAATAATCAGCCTTTAAGTTGTAAATGAATATCTTTACTTTAGCTAACGAGCATGGTCTTAGTTTTCTCAATTCCTGATTTATTAAGTGAGTAATCATGAAAATCTGTTTAGACATTGCGACTTTTAGACATACTAACACGTCTAGGGAAGTTATTTATTATTAACATTTCGCTTCATTTATTCCACAGTTGGATGTACCAGAGTCGCCAGCGAATGTTATGAAGAAAAGTCTGAGCAGCTTCATTGGTGAGTTATCAGTTATCATCCAAGTTGCCACAAGACATGTTTATCAGCTTCCTTTTTTTGTCTTCTCCTTCAGTAAAGAGGCTACGGTACATAACTGCTTGTGTCGGCAACCCCGCCTAAAAGACTTACAAGAAGTCCTACTGAACATAGGCCACCGCTAATAATTACCAAATAAATAAATAGATTAATTACAAACGTTTAAATTTTATCATTTTATTTCAAACTAGCTATTCTACGCGCGGTTTCACCCGCTGCTCAGCTCCTACAGATGGTAGCGCGATGTTTTAGCCTATAGCAAATCGAACCAGTAGTTCCGAAGGATTAGCGCTTTTAAACAAACTCTACATCAGTATCGCGGGTTCGATTCCTGCACGGAACACCTCTTTGGGTGTTCCATAAATTGTTGTTCCTAGTCTGGTTGTGATGTGGTTGTTAAATTGTATTTTTTTATGTAATAAGTCGGCAAACGAGCAGGATTACCTGATGGTAAGCAATCAACGCCGCCCATGGACACCCGCAACGGAGGAGATACGAGTGCTTTGCCAATCTTTTAGGAATTAGGGTTTTGGAAATTTAGGGATTAGGGAGGAATCGGGGGAGGGAAAGGATTGGGTTTTCGGTAACCTCACTCACACGGCGAAACACAACGTTGTGGTTGTTTCACGCCGGTTTTCTGTGAGGCCGTGATATCACTCCGGTCGAGCCGACCCATTTCTACCAAATCATAGCTCTCCCACACTATGTTTGTTTGTAAACGCACCCACAACCCACACGACAAAATCCTAGAGAGGGATAAGGATTATTAAAAAAAAAGTATAGAAGAACTTACAGTGATAAGAGAGTTCTTCTTGAAAAGTACTATAATATGTTTAATGCATTCTTCCAGGGCAAGTAAGCACAGTGCTGAATCCAGAACCTGATGACGATGATGACACAGAGGTGATCCTGTCTTCTGGGGACACCACCATGCTGTCCACTTACAAGGTAAACTCATCACAATAATTATCATCTTAAAGACGTAGTGCTTAAAAGGTTAGTTAGGTTAGGTTCCCGCGTCATATAAAAGACTGTGCGATATACTGAAACATTTTCTAAGTTATCTGTACTTTCTAAGTCTGTAAGAAATCTGGTCTTATATTTTCTAATTCTAAAGTTCGAAATTGCTCATCCATCAATGATTAATGTTCAATCCTTTTTCGTGTGAGGCCTTTGCGCAGCAGTGGACTTATAGACTGATGATGGTGATGACGATAAATAATAATTCACATGAAATGCAATCACCTACATAGCTATGCATGTGATTTGCCTCTGTAATTCCCTTATTCTAAGTTACTTAAATATCATCAGCACATGGACCTGAGTTATATTACAATATTCACCTTTTTCCTTACGGGAGCTATCCATATTTTTATCTTTAGATCTTATACCGGAGCTTACCAAACTTACTTTGTATACGGCCCATTTGAAAAGAATAAAATAAACGGAAGAAGTGAAGTGGTGATTTTTGTCAGTAAGAAACCCACCCCGTGTGCGCTTGGGACAAATAAAGGTCTTATGAATGAAGTCACAAATCGCGTCTACAACATCTCGATTGTTTTTATAGCTGTCTAACTCCCGCTTAAATATGGTGCTGCGACTTGTGTCGACATTTTTATATTTTCAGAATGGCATCTGAGCAATCGAACTAATTTCCTCTTCTTGTTCCAACACACAGAAAGAACTAGAAGCTCTCCAACGCGTGGACGCGACGTTCATAGTGCCGGCGTATAGCGCGGAGTTCGAGGCCTGGCGTGGCAGCCTCGAGTCCTCCGAGGCCGGCCTCATCAGCCTACACGCTGCAGCCAAGCGCCTCGACGCCAGTCCCACCCTCAAAGCCCAGTACGAAAAACTTGTGCCTGATGCCGTTTCTCATGACGATTTTTGGGAAAGGTGAGGATGGTCATTTTTGTATTTATGCTGCTACTTTTGTGGTAGTAAATGGTCACGGTATTTTTAAAATACCTACAACAGTTTGTGCAATACAACAAAAAATACCAAGAACAGCGTTGTTTCGCCGTGTGAGTGGGGTTACCGAAGGCCCAATACTTCCACTCCCCCAAATCCTAATCTCCAAAAGGTCGGCAACGCACTCGTAGCTCATCCGTTGTTGCGGGTGTCCATGGGCGGCGCTGATTGCTCACCATCAGGTATTACGTCTGTTCATTTGTCGTCCTTCCACATAAAAAATACTTACAACATCAAAGCTATCACTAGTGCGTCACAAAACATCCGGTTGCAATGTAGGCGCAAATAAGACACGTGTTACTTGGACGATCGTCTTTAATTGAAAAAGTGTTCATTGTTATAAACTTACACTATTAATGGGTAGAGGTGTCACACACTACACGGTGTTGGTTAATCGTGTCATCATGTCGAGAATCCTTACTTCCCGAAAATTACAAATCACTTATTAGATGAATCGTAAGAGCATTACCTATATCATTATGGTATACTATAAAAATATGATATTTGCTTCTGAAGTTGATCCATTCTGGTCAAGATGTCAGTGGCTTCTGGAATGATTCTGTCGGTTCTATTACATTAATTACTATAGTACCGCTTCTACAATCGCATAAATAGACTAAGCATCGGTATTTTTTCGGCTAATTACTACCTTATACAGTTCAAAGTAAAACAAGCTTTATTCAATTCCCTACAGGTATCTATTCCGCGTGGCGTTGCTGCAGGATAGGCTGGCGGCGGCGTCCCGCAAGCAGCCGCAGGAGGAGCCCTCCACGGACCCCGTACTGGCGCACCTGCCCATGCAGGCCCCCGCACCCGTTGTACAGTCAGTATTACTTACTTTATGGCGTTTTAAAAGGCAGGAGAGGGTTATTATGACTCTTTACATATGTATGTAATGCCAAGAGACGATCTCCGGCCACCGTAAGCGCGGGTCTGCGGTCGGCGAGTAAGGGCAGCTCGCCGCCCGACCAGAACCAGGCCCGAGAGTAAGGCGCGCAGCGTTCCGCGCGCGCCTCAAAGAGCTAATAGACCACCACAGACGGGGCCCTACAAGCCCTAGACCAGGAGAAGGAGCTGGGTGGTTTTTAGTCAGTAAGAGTCTGACACTCCCTCTCGCCTTACCCTGAGCGGGAAAAGTCACTTGATGTTTTTCCCCTCACAAAAAAAAATATATGGAGTGCGGGAGGCCGAGTGTGTACTTAGGGTCGTAAGGACCTAGAAAATTTTGAAGAATCTCCAAATCCGTTATCCCCAAATGGTCGGCAACGTACTCGTGACTCCTCCGTCCTTGAAAAATAATTGTTATTTCTTACCTCCAGGGGAAAGGGGTAATCGATTGTTCAACGAAATTGTTTAAATTTTGTTTTAGTGTTTTCATGCTTTACATTGTTCGTGTAAACACTCCATACATCTCTGATAGTAAAAATATTTTGATCTGCCTATTAATGCATAGTGGGATTAACCGACGTTAAGTTTTGTCGGCGAAAATCGACAACATAAAAGTACTTGTCTACAGTCCACACCATTAACCCCTTCAATCAATTTCATGGTACCATTGTAACTTATTTTGAACCTATTGATTCATCATGGTAACCATTATCATAGTGTAGACTTCAATTTAACTTTAGTATAACGTCATGGTAGCTCGGTCTTTAAGGCACCCGCTTCTCATACATGAGGCAGACGAGCCCAGCCTAGTACCAAAGTGACGTTTTCTGAGTTATATGTACTTTCTATTTCTATGATTATTAAGACACCACTGACATACTGTGAAGGAAAATATCGTGAGGAAACCTGTACTTATAATTTCTAATTATATTTCTTAAATGTGAAATCGCCAATCCACCAAGAACGGTGATGGTGATTAATGCTCAAACCTTCTCCGTGTGAGAAGAGGCCTTTACTTAGCTTTACTTATAGGCTGATGATGATGAAAACTTCAATTTACAAGTACACCTACTATTCTCTGCCCGTCTATCCACGCTTTAGGTAATAATAAAGTCCCAAAATTGCAAGTTGTCACCCGATGAATAATGAAATGTTAATTAAGTTTCACCTCATTCTAGGAGCCCTAAGAAAGTACTGTCAGGCTTGGAAGACGAGAAGCCGTTCGAAGCACCCGAAATGGACAACGTGGTCGCTTGGGAAGACGGTAAGTCAACATAGATTTACCGTCATAGCATATCGATACAATGGACACTTCGAGTCAATCGATACTGTAATCGATTACTCTGTAAGCCATAATCGATTTGAACCGTCCCTGTTTATTGATCGTTCTTTATTATATAATCTCAAATTGTATTTTCATGAATAAAACCTCTGTATTAAATGTTGTTTTTATACACCCGTATTATATTTATATATTTGTGCACAAATACTCGGCTTACGTAAAGTACAGAACTGTTAAGAATTTTGGACAGTTCTGGAACTATGTACGCACGCAATAATCGCACTTCTGTACAGAAGACTTCGCCCACGACGTGGAACTAACAGAAGAACAGCAAACTCTACTTCTAGAAGAATACGAGAGAGAGATTGCAAGTAAGAAGACCAAACAAACATGTACCCGGGACATAGCCAACAACAACACAGATAAAACAACGAGCACAGATAATAAAAAAACAAAAACCGCACAAACCAGAGACAAGATGAACAATAAGACTGCAAACAAAAATGGCAGGTCACCGAAAAAGACGCCAAAGGCTGACGTTTGTGGAAATAATTTAGTCGAAGATTATTTCGGTGATAAAGAAGTGAAAGATGACGCTAGCGCCAATTCCGACGAAAGTTGGGAGAAGGAATTTGAAATTGATGACGTAGTTGAGCAAAAAGCATGAAGTGATCCGGCCATATTGTAAAGTAAGGATAATATAATAGTCTGGGTACATTGTGCGTCGCGATATATTATCAAACCAGCCTTAAAAATAGTACCGCCTCTTCTAAATTGAGTCTTATGTCAATTGCATATAGCTCATAATAAATTTATTTACATTATGGAATCGGTCGGAGAATTTGTTATCCGTATGTCGTTTACACAAAGTTCAATATAGCGTTACGCATAATGTTCCATAAAGCCCGCAGCGCACATTACAAGCTTTTGCGTTAAGTCTGGGAATATTCGTTTTACATTTTCCTCAAAAGTAAACCTTATTACCGCTGTACATGGTTCGATTTCGACAGCTACTTGTTTTAAGATCATTTTTATTGTAAAATCAACCAAGCTCTAGTAACTATAAGGTTAGATTTTGTGTGAAACTGATATTATCAGACTCTCTCTATTGCCACGTTCAAACTGAAGCCATGTTAAAACAATGTATAGAAAATCAGCTTCGTTTAAATTTTATTGATGTATTGTCAACATTAATTACTTAAAGTAATACAGCTCAGTTATCGTAATCGATTGTATTCTGATTTATATGTGGTTGTAGTAATTCTAGCCGCCTTGCGCTAAATTGCGCAAAGTTTTTACGGGTTGCGCTTAACCGTGTGACAACATATGTTGCCTTCTGTAAAACTGAGAAGCGCTGGTCTGTTTAAAATACACTATTTGTATTTAAATTTTTTGCGCAACTTAGCGCAAATTCTGTAACGTGTTTGGACTTTAAATCGTGTGTTGACTGACCTAACCATGATGTAAAAATAATATATTTTATATTTAATACATAGTGTAGAAGATAAAATGACGATAGTTGTATTTTTATTTTGAAAATCTTTTTGGTAACGAAAGGGTGAAATTGAAAGATGATTTTCGATATAACAGGTATAGCTTTACTAGGTGGCGCTAGTTTTCCATAAAGTAGTATCCTACAATTTAACATTTGGAGTAAAGTATTACAATTTTAATAGTATTCGTAAATAGAGAATATCTCAAGATCAAAAGTAATATTTAAATAAACTAAGGCGCCACATCTACATTTCAAGAAATATACCTTGCAACGACAAAAAAGAAAATAAATTGCAGAATTACCTACTTTCACAAAAAGTTTTGTTATGTATTTTGTTCTATCAACATTTTGTCTTGGGACACTGTGTATTATTTTAGTGTAAGTGCACATTTCTCTGGCTTTAATGCCCTCCCTAACTTTTGCATTTATTTTTGTCGTCAAAGATTGCCATTATATGATAAATACAGACTACATACTGTTTGCTTGTAAGTTTTTATTACTTGAGCCAATCCGATTTCTTTATTAATTTATCTCTTCCCAAAAACCAATCAAATCTTCGTCGATCGTCTATGAAATAACTAAAATCATTTTCTTTTTCTAATGACATATATACATTGTGTAGTCTGTGGTTTTTCCCAAAAAAAATGAAATCTTGTCTCTGATTGCGTTAATCCACCATTTTTATGTTACTAACCGTGTTTTGAATAGATTATTTTTAACGAGTTTATTTTAGCCATTCCATATTACGCTGCCTTAACTCTCGTCTGTCGAACTGTTAACATTTGCAGACATCGAAACGTACGAATATTTGCACCCACATAAAAAGCGTAGGTAGTAAAATATTAAATTAAGATAAAAAAAAGTTAATTGTTATTAAATTTACATAAAACCTATGCATATTGTCCGTTTATGTGTAAACAAACATGTATGTTCTTTATTATATATTTACATTTTTTTTCTTTACGAGAAATTTTTATTGTATCGATGTTTTTTTCTTGAAGTTTATTAATTTTCAAATTATTTACAAACATTACATGCGGTACAATAATATTTGAAGTGTGATATCCCACTCAAATGGGTGTTTGAAATAGTTGTAAGTAGATATGTATTGAAATAGTGATAATTTTGAGCGCTGGTAACACTGAAGTGGGCTTAACTGACAAGTGACTAGTGTTGCCAGAAATCAATTACGAGTGGTATAAGTAAATGGTAATTTAAAATAAAATGCTGCCTTATGAGCGTTAATATGTCCATGTTGAGAAAAATAGTATTAACTATTAATATTGAATTCAAACAATATATTTAAAATAAAAGATCTGCCATTTTGTTTTTGTGATTTTAGGCAACATTAGGCGCGTTATTCCCTCAGGACAAAGTCGATTATAAACTTTATTTCGAAGATCATAAACCTAATGTTCCCATAGAAAAGCAAATTTTATGTCTATTAGATAATTGAATAGATCCAGAAATAGCTATTTCTTCAAAATTTCTTATATTGGATATACAACCTTATGTTACCTGAAATAGGATTCTATATAGAAATGGGTATCTTATTTGCAGATAAATAAAATGATATATCTTCAAGTGTACTTTAAAAACCTTTGGTTATATTTAAAATTAAGTGCAATAATGTTTATCTTACATTTAATTTGACATTTATTTTTAAAAGTATATTTAGTATATACTCTCAACTAAATGAGTTGACCCTAGGTATCGTTATGTTTGTGTAAATTATGATTATTATGAATATGAATAAAGGTTATTAAAAATCGTAATTTTCTTGGTTTCTTTTTAATTTTAAGTGTGGGAGAGCGATGCTTCGCCACGAATAGTTCGACTCGACCAGAGTGATGTCATGCATCACAGATTGTGAGGCAATGTGGCACCGCGGCCTCGGCCTAAAGCAGGAGCAGGAACGGGGGGGAAGGGGTTAGTCAGTAAGAGCCTAACACTTTTCCCCTGACAACAAAGCCTCACAGACCACTACCGATAGGGTCCATTAGCGCCGATACCTACGCCTATACCGGCTAGCTCAGTGCAGGAACTAGAAAGGGATGATTTAAGTAAGTAAAAGTCGCCTCCGTCAAGCAGGTTGAGTAAGTAATCCCTCTACACCACAATTTCACACTTACACCACCACAGTATGCATTAATAAGTATATATAAATGCCCCATCTAACATTAAAATATATATTTTTAACTAACTACCGCCCGTGGCTTCGCCCTCGTGGTATGATGATAAAAAGTAGCCTTTGTCCTATTCCGGAGTGTATCCTATGCCTGTGCCAAACTTCATCTAGATCTATCCAGTTGTTTTGGCGTAATTGAGTAACAAACATCCAAACATCGTACCTTTCGCATTTATTATATTAATAATTAAAACAAGTTTACTTCTAAATCTAACACATGAAATATGAATGGAAGATACTTCTACGAAGGAGACGATCGGAATGCCTAATATGAGTTTGCTTTTCGGTAATGCGACCGACATTTTTATGACGTTTAGAGCTCTGATTGGTCTGCTCAAAATAAACCAACCAATCACAGGGCTAAATGCGGTAAAGATACACTCTTATCGTGATCACACGATGTAAATGAGACACAATAGACAATCTTCGTCTCGCGTGGATTCACTTACCACCCAAACGACAGAGTAAAGTTGTAAAGAGAAAAAAACATTTTTTTATGGTATAAGACGGCAAACGAGCCGACGGATTACCCAATGATAAGCAATTGGCGCCACCCACGGACACCCGCAACTCCAAAGTAGTTACGAGTGCGCTGCCGGCCTTTTAGGGATAAGTTTTGCGGATATAAGTAATGGGAAGGCATAGGGGAGTGGCAGGGATTGGGCCTCCGGTAACCTCACTCACACGGCGAAACACAACGCTGTGTTTGTATATATATGCGGTCGAATTGAGAACCTGCCCCGTTTTTGTTTAATAAAAACTCAGTGCTATGTAAATGATGCATATATTTAGAATATTTCAGGACTGCCTTGCTGGTGTGGGTAGACGGGTTGGGACTGCGTGTTGGACCCATCGCCCGCCGCGCCAAAAGGACGGTGGGGGGTCCATTGCGGGTACCAGTATAAACCCTGTAACCATTTAAATCTAGGTTAATAAACAATATTTAGCTGTCATGCGAAAATGATTTTTATGTTCTTGGGCGTCACAGAGTTATTGAGTAGCTTAATCCTTTTGGAGAGTTTCCTTTTATCCAATTATCCAAAAAAATTTGCTTAATATTTGGGATCCTCATTCAAGTTCAAATGATTTGAAAATATTGTTTTTGCTTCTACATATGGCACTAATAGCGCAATAAAATTGACAATAGCCTGGCATTTTTTGTTGACCTTCAAAACGCGACTAGCTTTTTGGACGGACAGAAAACTAGGCAGTGCGGTATTTTCACCCATCTATAACCTCCTCAATGGCCATCGTCAGCACCTGTTCTCTCAGCAAACCAACGTTTCCTTCGATCCTTACATACATATAATAACACTAGCTGCCGCCCGCGGCTTCGACTTCGTGGTATGTTGATATAAAGTAGCCTATGTCCTGTTCCGGAATATATCCTATGCCTGTGCCAAATTTCATCCAGATCCGTCCAGCCGTTTTGGTATAATTAAGTAACAAACATCGTAACTTTCGAATTTATAATATTAGTAAGAAGTGGGATAGTAAGATCAACACGCACCTTGTTCCCAGTCCCTTGGCAAGTGAAGCGGTACTCGTTGACAGTGAGGGGGTCCAGGTAGCTGATGCCGGCGATGGAGCCGTAGTTTGGCGGGAACATGAACCAGCAACCAGTCATTGTGTCTAAAAACATTATTACTTAATAGAAATCTAAAGTAACTAGCAGTCGCCCGCGGCTCCACCTGCGTGGATGTCAATTTTACACGTAGGTATCCAACTATTTTGTAAATTCCCTCAATGTGTAAACCTTTTCTGGACATCCACAAATAATTCAAGACATTCAAAATTAGCCAAATCGGTAAAGGTTGTTATAACATTGGCACAACAAGTGGCATTGATTTATAGTGCCGACCGGGCTGGCCGCCTCTGTCTAAAATAGTGCCAAATGATTCTAGGTGTCAGGATACAGTTTTATCAGATAGCGCTGCTGCTCAACCTTACAAATGCGTTGTCCTTCAAAATGCCACAAGTAGAACAGCCGTGGTAAAATTTCTTTCTTTTTTTTATGAAAATCGTTGCCCCACTCTGGGATTTGCTACTGGGTCGTGGCAAGTTCTTTGCGCGCGTGTCACATTTTTTTTGGGTTTTCGGATCAGACAATGACAAAAACTCACAAGTATAATTAGAGTCCCCTTCTATACTGGGATATCTCGAATTGTCTGTCGTGGCTGAGAAAGCTTCAGTCGTCTTTTCGATGAACGGAGGCACTGGTGACAATCGTAAGAGTAGAGAGAGCAAGAGTATGCCAATTTCCGATAGTAAGCAAGCAGCGCCACCCATGGACACTAGTAATCCCAAAGGATTGTTGCCGGCTTGTGGGTTATTAGGGATTGAAGGATTAAAGATGGGTTGAAAGGATTAGGCCTACGTTAACTCACTCATATGGTGAAACAAAACGTTAGTGTTGCTTCACGCCGGTTTTACGAGGCCGTAGTTGCACTCCGGTCGAGCCGTGAGCCGATCCATTTGTGCCGAAGCATGGCTCTCCCACATTTAAAATTTGAAAATTACATGACACCGGTATATTCCATTCTCCAGAAAAGATGCATTCGCCACAGCAGTACCTATTTACACAGACCTTACAATACTGCTGGAATTTGTAAGAGGACCAATACTCTAGTCATTATGCATACGAACGCCACATGCGGTTTTTAGTCAGTAAGACTTTGTCACTCGCCGAAAGCACGGTAATAAGATGGTTTACTGACTCTCAGAGGCGCGCCGTACGCTCGAGTCTGGTTCTGATCGGGTGACGAGCTATCCTTACTCACCGCCCACATTCCCGCTAACGGTATCCGGAGACAATCTCTCGATGATTTTCCCCCTTAAAAAACGGTTCATCAGATATCCAGAAGTCTTGATTAACAAGATTACTTACCACCGTAATAGTTGGTGTAGTTCCATTCACAAACATGGTGGTCGCAGACTAGTGGGGAGTGAGCTTCTTTGGTGTAGTAGGTATGGCCGTTGGGCATCAACTGTAACCAGTATCAACCATTTTAGCAAGGTTTTGGTTTAACTAGAAGCTTATAATTCTTATAAGAAGCACTGCTAAATAATAGATGGCGTTTTATTGTACCTACTTTAGATGTTTTTAACGAGAGCAGTCGTCAAACGAGCTCCATATTACCTGATGGTAAGCAATCGGCTGCGCCCATAGACACCCGAGCGATCACCAGTCAAAGCAAAGGAGTTTCGAGTGCATTGCCGATCTTTTGGGGTTAAGGGTTTCGGATATTTAATTATTGGGCCTCCAGTAATCTCAGTTACACGGCGAAACACAACGCTGTGGTCACGTCAGTTTTTTGTTAGGCCGTGGTATCACTCGGGTCGAGCCGACCCATTCGTGCCAAAGCATGACTCTCCCATTAGGATTTACGTTGTCCTAACCTAACCTAATCCATTTGCAGTTTAATGTATTACAAAATCTTTCTAGAAACAACTAGGTTTCTACGCCTACACCATAAGACACGTTCTGAAGGGACCTTCTTGTAGGAGTGCAAAGAAGTCCACGCATAAAAAATCGTATGTTTCTAAATATGTAGCTGTGCCCCGCGATTTCATTCGCAAATTTTGAAGCCTTACTCATTTTCACTGGGGATGGTGAACCCAAGCAATAGTGAAACAATTTTTCAAATCGATTCAGTAATTTCAGAGCCTGTCCAATTCAAACAAACAAAATAGGTAAGTATAAATCGTCCACTTTAATTCATTATTGATACTTATAAGTTAGTGTCCGACCGAAATTTCGGTTTCGGTTTCGGTTTCGGCCGAGTTTCGGCTAAAAATCAAGTTTCGGCCGCAGTTTCGGTTTCGGCCAAAATCGGCCGAAACTTGCCGAAACCGAAACTTATTTGGCAAGTTCACGCAAGCATAACTGTCCTACTAATTGTGATCTAGGTTTGTTAATTCTAAATATGTGATTTTTGATTATCTATGGAACTGGGTGTGATAGTAATTATTATTTTTGCATAAGAGGTACCTAAAAGAGATTGATTATTATTCTAAGTACAAATAAAATCCAAAGTATTAAAGGGAAAGATCTCAAAATGCCAATACTTAGTATTTAATGCAACAGTGACAATTACTGATTTGATTTAGATGACTGATTTGACCGAGAACTTAATTTGAAAAAATAATAAAAATGTTAAACATATTTTTAATTTTATATTAAACTAGCTTTCAACAGCGGCTTTGCCCGCGTGGCGTGCGTTCGTGCAGCGGAATGTTGTTGAATTTAAAGATTTTAATTATGCAGATATTTAGTGTATGACGTCGTATAATTGTGTATGGTAAAAAAAAATTTGTGCACGCAACCATTGTGGAGAAATTCACCAAAAACTGATTCCGCTGGGCGAACGTTGTCCTGGCGGAACTTTTTTTAATTTATAGACTTTAGAAGAAAAGAGATGTATCCGAAAATAAGTGTGTATTTGTGTGTAATTGTGTATAAAACTAGTGCATGCATAAACTTCGGAGAAATTCAAGTTTCCGCTACGCGAACGTTTGGCCATTAGCTAGTTTTCAAATAAAGCGCTTACATAGAGAGCTGTAGATTTTTACATACGTTGTTTTGAATTTGTTTATATTTGTTTAAAAAACAGATTAAGAAAAAAACGTAGGGTTTAAAAGATAAAAATATAAACGTAAAATACGCTTATTAGGTCTTAGTTCTTAAAGTAAGCTCTTTGGGGTCTAGATTTTCACGTTTATACAAACCTTGTGAGTCTCTGCAACATGTTGGCAAGTATCAAGGATGTTCCGTTAGTAATTAAATAGTTATAGGACAAATTTACCATGGATAGATCACTGTTTACAAAGCAGTCAAATATCACGACTTTCTAAATGAATTGCATGGTAAAATGTATGCCAATAATTAGTGTATTCATTCAACTATTCACATGCAAAATTTCATGTCATTAAATTCAGTAATTAAAGAAAAACAATTATAATACTGACGAAGCATCGAAAACCTACATAACCCGACCAAGTTCGGATGGCTATTAGGAGTTACACGTGCTATTGTGAGTTAACCATAAAAGATAGATATAACAATTTTTAGATTTTTTTTAAATTTTATGTCCGATATTTTCGTCATACATAATTTCTATGTAACTTTAACCATTAAGGTGTGGTTACACAAGCGACGGAAACTTACAAAAGGGAGTAACTTCTCCCATTTGCCCAACATTTCCCTTCACTACTCTGCACCTATTATAAGGAACAAACGAAACTTTAAATCGTGTGTTGACTGACCTAACCATGATGTAAAAATAATATATTTTATATTTAATACATAGTGTAGAAGATAAAATGACGATAGTTGTATTTTTTATTTTGAAAAACTTTTTGGTAACGAAAGGGTGAAATTGCAAGATGATGTTCCAAGTTACAGTTACAGCTTTATTAGGTGGCGCTAGTTTTCTATCAAGTAGTCTCATACAATCTAAGATTTGGAGTAAATTATTACATTAATAGTATTCGTAAATTGAAAAGGTCTCAAGGTGAACTAAATTATCAATAGAACTAATATTTAAAATTAAATTAACTAAGGCGCCATATCTACATTTCATGAAATAGACAAAAAAAATTAAATAGAAATTGCAGAATTACCTACTTTCACAAAAAGTTTTGTTATGAATTTTGTTCTATCAACATTTTGTCTTTGGACACTGTGTATTATTTTAGTGTAAGTGCACATTTCTCTGGCTTTAATGCCCTCCCTAACTTTTGCATTTATTTTTGTCGTCAAAGATTGCCATTATATGATAAATACAGACTACATACTGTTTGTTCGTAAGTTTTTATTACTTGAGCCAAACCGATTTCTTTATTAATATACCTGTTCTCAAAAACCAATCAAATCTTCTTCGATCGTCTATGAAATAACTAAAATCATTTTCTTTTTCTAATGGCATGTATACATTATGTAGTCTGTGGTTTGTCCCCAAAAAAATGAAATCTTGTCTCTGATTGCGTTTATCCACCATTTTTATGTTACTAACCGTGTTTTGAATAGTTTATTTTTAACGAATTTATTTTTAGCCATTCCATATTAAGCTGCCTGAACCTTCTGTCTGTCGAACTGTTAACATTTGCAGACATCGAAACGTACGAATATTTGCACCCACATAAAAAGCGTAGGTAGTAAAATATTAAATTAAGATAAAAAAAAGTTAATTGTTATTAAATTTACATAAAACCTATGCATATTGTCCGTTTATGTGTAAACAAACATGTATGTTCTTTATTATATATTTACATTTTTTTTCTTTACGAGAAATTTTTATTGTATCGATGTTTTTTTCTTGAAGTTTATTAATTTTCAAATTATTTACAAACATTACATGCGGTACAATAATATTTGAAGTGTGATATCCCACTCAAATGGGTGTTTGAAATAGTTGTAAGTAGATATGTATTGAAATAGTGTAGCGCGGGATTTTATTTGGTTAGGCTGTGGCTTCGCTACACTGTGGCTGCAACGCGCCGCAGCGCTACCTATTACAGTAACGCGCATGCGCGGCCCCCCCTCCGCCGCCCGCACACCCCGCGCGCCAACGCAGGCCGAGGTGGCGCGAGCGGCGGCGCGAGAGAGCGCCCCCAACCCTCGTCGCGTACGGGCGACATGTACATTCCTCCGCGACTCGACGCCACGTTAATTATTGTAATGTAACCATGTGCTTTAATATAAGAACTAAGTATGTTTGTGATTTATAATGTTAAACAATCAATAAAGTTTTAATGTTCCAACCATTAAAATAGTGATAATTTTGAGCGCTGGTAACACTGAAGTGGGCTTAACTGACAAGTGACTAGTGTTGCCAGAAATCAATTACGAGTGGTATAAGTAAATGGTAATTTAAAATAAAATGCTGCCTTATGAGCGTTAATATGTCCATGTTGAGAAAAATAGTATTAACTATTAATATTGAATTCAAACAATATATTTAAAATAAAAGATCTGCCATTTTGTTTTTGTGATTTTAGGCAACATTAGGCGCGTTATTCCCTCAGGACAAAGTCGATTATAAACTTTATTTCGAAGATCATAAACCTAATATTCCCATAGAAAAGCAAATTTTATGTCTATTAGATAATTGAATAGATCCAGAAATAGCTATTTCTTCAAAATTTCTGATATTGGATATACAACCTTATGTTACCTGAAATAGGATTCTATATAGAAATGGGTATCTTATTTGCAGATAAATAAAATGATATATCTTCAAGTGTACTTTAAAAACCTTTGGTTTAAAATATATTTAAAATTAAGTGCAATAATGTTTATCTTACATTTAATTCGACATTTATTTTTAAAAGTATATTTAGTATATAAAACTCTCAACCAAATGAGTTGACCCTAGGTATCGTTATGTTTGTGTAAATTATGATTATTATGAATATGAATAAAGGTTATTAAAAATCGTATTTTTCTTTGGTTTCTTTTTAATTTTAAGTGTAGAAGAGCCATGCTTCTCCACGAATAGGTCATCTTGACCTGAGTGATGTTATGCCTCACAGAATGAAGAAATGAAGAATGTGGCACCGCGGCGTCGGCCTCGGAACGGGTGGGGGAGAGGTTAGTCTGTAAAAGTCTGACATTTTCCCCTGACAAAAAAGCCTCACAGATCACTACCGATAGGGTCCATTAGCGCCGATACGCCTATACCGGCCTGCTCAATGCAGGAACTAGAAAGGGAGAATTTAAGTAAATAAAAGTCGCCTCCATCAAGGAGGTTGAGTAAGTAATCCCTCTATACTACAATTTCACACTTACACCACCACAGTATATATAAATAAGTATATATTGGTATAAATGCCCCATCTTACATTAAAATATATATTTTTGACTAGCTACCGCCCGCGGCTTCGTCGTCGTGGTATGATGATAAAAAGTAGCCTATGTCCTATTCCGGAGTGTATCCTATGCCTGTGCCAAATTTCATCTAGATCTATCCAGTTGTTTTGGCGTAATTGAGTAACATACATCCAAACATCGTAACTTTTGCATTTATAATGTTAATAATTAAAACCAGTTTACTTCTAAAACTAACACACTCTTTAGCTTATGCAGGTATTAATGGAAGATACGTCTACAAAAGGGACGATCGGAATGCCTAAAGTGAGTTTGCTTTTCGGCGACCGACTAGTGTATGTCGTTTAGAGCTCTGAGTGGTCTGCTCAAAACAAACCAACCAATCACAGGTCTTCACTAAATGCGGTAAAGATCCACTCTGATCTTGATTTCTCTCGCTTGGTTTCGCGTACTACCAAACGACGAGGTAAGGGTTGCAGATAAAAGGATTGACAAGGGATAGGGGAGGGAGAGCGATTGGGCCTCCGGTAACCTCACTCACACGGCGAAACACAACGCTGTGGTTGTGTATAGGTATATGCGGTCGAATTGAGAACTTTCCCCCTTTTAGTCGGTTATTAAAAACTCAGTGCTATGTAAATGATGCATATATTTAGAATATTTCAGGACTGCCTTGCTGGTGTGGGTAGACGGGTTGGGACTGCGTGTTGGACCCATCGCCCGCCGCGCCAAAAGGACGGTGGGGGGTCCATTGCGGGTACCAGTATAAACCCTGTAACCATTTAAATCTAGGTTAATAAACAATATTTAGCTGTCATGCGAAAATGATTTTTATGTTCTTGGGCGTCACAGAGTTATTGAGTAGCTTAATCCTTTTGGAGAGTTTCTTTTCATCCAATTATCCAAAAATGTTCTTAATATTTAGGGTATAAGGTCCTCATTCAAATTCAAATGATTATGAAAATATTGTTTATAGGGAATATTTTTGCTACTACACATGGCAACGCAATAAAATGGACAATAGCCTGGCATTTTTTGTTGACCTTCAAAATGCGCCTATCTTTTAGGACGGACAGAAAACTAGGCAGTGCGGGATTTTCACCCAACTATTACCTCCTCAGTGGCCATCGTCAGCACCTGTTCTCTCAGCAAACCAACTACAATGCAACATTTCTTACAGCAATTCCATATGGACATGTGTTTCCTTCGATCCTTAAATACATAATAATATAATAACACTAGCTGCCGCCCGCGGCTTCGACTTCGCGGTATGTTGATATAAAGTAGCCTATGTCCTATTCCGGAATATATCCTATGCCTGTGCCAAATTTCATCCAGGTCCAGCCGTTTTGGTGTGATTGAGTAACAAACATCGTAACTTTCGCATTTATAATATTAGTAAGAAGTAGGATAATAAGATTACACAGCAAACACAAAGAGATCAACACGCACCTTGTTCCCAGTTCCTTGGCAAGTGAAGCGGTACTCGTTGACAGTGAGTGGGTCCAGGTAGCTGATGCCGGCGATGGAGCCGTAGTTAGGCGGGAACATGAACCAGCAACCAGTCATTGTGTCTAAAAACATTATTACTTAATATAAATCTAAAGAAACTATAAATTAACTAGCAGTCGCCCGCGGCTCCGCCTGCGTGGATGTCAATTTTACACGTATCCAACTTTTTTGTAAATTCTCTCTACGTGTAAATCTTTTCTGGACATCCACAAATAATTCAAGACATTCAAAATTAGCCAAATCGGTAAAGATATTGTTTTTATAACATTACAACGAAATGTGGCATTGATTTATAGTGCCGACCGGGCTGGCCGTCTCTGTCTAAAATAGTGCCAAGTGATTCTAGGTGGCTGGATAAAATTTTATCAGAAAGCTCTGGTACTCAGCCTTACAAATGCGTTGTCCTTCAAAATGCCACAAGTAGAACAGCCCTGGAAAAACTTTTTTCTTTTTTTTATGAAAATTGTTGCCCCACTCTGGGATTTGCTACTGGGTCTTGGCAAGTTCTTTGCGTACATGTCATGAGTTCTTTTCGAGTTTTCGGATTAGACATGAAAAGAGTATACAATGAAAAAAACTCACAAGTATAATTAGAGTCCCCTTCTATAATGGGATATCTCGAATTGTCTGTCGTGGCTGAGAAAGCTTCAGTCGTCTTTTCGATGAACGGAGGCACTGGTGACAATCCTGGGCCTGGATCGCCGGGTATTATGAATGGACCTGCCAAAGACAAACTATAATTGATAATTTTACTTTTAAAATGCATCTTGCTAAAGTATTATCGCGATTAAAGAAATATAATTTTCGGAAAAAGAGTATGCCAATTTCCGATAGTAAGCAAGCAGCGCCACCCATGGACACTAGTAATCCCAAAGGATTGTTGCCGGCTTGTGGGTTATTAGGGATTGAAGGATTAAAGATGGGTTGAAAGGATTAGGCCTACGTTAACTCACTCATATGGTGAAACAAAACGTTAGTGTTGCTTCACGCCGGTTTTACGAGGCCGTAGTTGCACTCCGGTCGAGCCGTGAGCCGATCCATTTGTGCCGAAGCATGGCTCTCCCACATTTAAAATTTGAAAATTACATGACACCGGTATATTCCATTCTCCAGAAAAGATGCATTCGCCACAGCAGTACCTATTTACACAGACCTTACAATACTGCTGGAATTTGTAAGAGGACCAACACTCTAGTCATTATGCATACGAACGCCACATGCGGTTTTTAGTCAGTAAGACTTTGTCACTCGCCGAAAGCACGGTAATAAGATGGTTTACTGACTCTCAGAGGCGCGCCGTACGCTCGAGTCTGGTTCTGATCGGGTGACGAGCTATCCTTACTCACCGCCCACATTCCCGCTAACGGTATCCGGAGACAATCTCTCGATGATTTTCCCCCTTAAAAAAACGGTTCATCAAATATCCAGAAGTCTTGATTAACAAGATTACTTACCACCGTAATAGTTGGTGTAGTTCCATTCACAAACGTGGTGGTCGCAGACTAGTGGGGAGTGAGCTTCTTTGGTGTAGTAGGTATGCCCGTTTGGCATCAACTGTAAACGAATTTACCAAGTCTTCGGTTTAACAAGAAGCATATAATTCTTATACGAAGCACTAAACAATAAAGAATAGATGTCGTTTTATTGTACCTACTTTAGATGTTTTTAACGAGAGCAGTCGTCAAACGAGCTCACATATTACCTGATGGTAAGCGATCACCCGTCAAAGCAAAGGAGTTTCGAGTGCATTGCCGATCTTTTGGGGTTAAGGGTTTCGAATATTTAAGGATTTGGAAGGGATGGGGGAGGGTGGGGGATTGGGCCTCCGGTAACCTCCCTGACAAGGTGAAACACAACGCTGTGGTTGCTTCTCGCTAGGTTTTTGTAAGGCCGTAATATCACTCGGGTCGAGCCGACCCATTCGTGCCGAAGCATGACTCTCCCATTAGGATTTACGTTGTCCTAATCTATTTACAGTTTAAATATATTACGAAATCTATTTAGAAACAACTAGGTTTCTACGCCTACACCATAAGATACTTTCTGAAGAGACCTTCTGGTAGGAGTGCAAAGAAGTCCACACATAAAAAATCGTATGTTTCTAAATATGTAGCAGTGCCCCGCGATTTCATTCGCAAATTTTAAAGCCTTACTAATTTTCACCAAGCCGATTGAAAAAATCTTTGATTTTTTCAAATCGATTAAGAAGTTTCAGAGCCTGTCCAATTCAAACAAACAAAATAGGTATATAATCGTCCACTTTACAATAATGGTACTTACAAGTAGATAGGTAATCGAGTGAGGTCCTAGCCGTTAAAAGAGTAGGTACGCAAGAAATACCTATCAAACAACATCAACAATTTTCAACTCACCAGCAAATAATCGTAATGTCGAAACCGAACGCCCTGTATATTGAAGTCCAGTATGAAGGATCCAGAAGTGATAATACAAGACACCGCAGACAGAGGCGGCAGTTTGTACATCTCCGTGCCGCACTTGACGATTGCCTTCGGAAGTGTGGAAACATCGCGGATGTGTTGTAAATTCTTTTTAAATGGAAACCTGAAATGCATTTTTTTTCTCCTTTCATTTTTCTTTACTTTCCTCTGTCCGTTAAGGCTAAGCCTTTTCAATAGAAAGTTAATGGCAACACTTACTTTTCACCAGCAGGTAATTAATAGGAGAAAGTCAAAGTCAAAACATTTATTCCAACTAAACCTCTATATACACTATACAGATACTATCGAAATCTGAGTTTTGTACTTAAATGACGACAGGTAGACCTGTGCCATTATCCAGAAATTCTCGAATATTCGGAAAACATCCGTAGGTACTATGCTTTCTTAGCAATTGCACTTGCAACCCCAACTACTAACAAAGAAGAGGAAAAGTAAAAATCTTGTGCCTAATGATTACCTGAAAATACAGATGCCGATATTGCACTCCAATCCATGGATGAAGTTGTCCATATTGAAGACAACATTAGGATCTTCCTCCAAGAAGTATCGCTTATCGTCCATAAAGTGTACAAAGCCTAGGAAATGGAACGCCCGACCCTTGCAGTACGGTGACGGGCCGCGTCCCATGTTGTAGATGTCGCTGTACATCTCCGATACGAAGATGTACACATTCTTGCCACAGTAGAATTCTGGAAGAGATCTAAGTTCATAAAAGGCTGTCGCTTAATCGCCTAGAAATAATTCTGTTTGAAAGTACTCTTCTTATATCATTTGAGACATCGAATTTATAAGACTGATTATGGTGTAGCGACATCTACCGCAAAATTCATCAATGTTCATGAATCAATGCATAGAATAGGTACAAATCCCGACACCAACCGTAGGGCAGTAGCCCAATAGACAACATCCTGGTTGGAGGATCCTTCCTTTTAAATAAGGGGATGAGGAACCTGTTCCCTCTTCCCTTCAATAATAGTCATTCTTTACTTAAGGAACTTTTTACCTCAACGAGGGTTTACTTACGGGACTTATTTTGATAGCCCTCGTGGTTATTTTGGGCAAATTATTGTAATCTTTGAATGGAATGGAATGTCCATATATAAAGTACAATTGAAAATACAAATGTCTCACGTGGAACCACGTCTAGTGCTGGGGAAATGCCAATAATTATCGAGATAATTGATGATATTAAACAATGTAAAATATACCTTAAATCATTTAGTTAGTGATCATATTACGCCTACGATTAACGTCCATATCGCCAAAATTTTCGCATTTGACGCATTTCTCGTTAGTGTGGCCCAAGCATTAAAGTGGTTGTCGTTTTGGCGTTATTGATAAACAAATATCCAAACATCGTAACTTTCGCATGTATAATATTATATAGTATAGTAAGATGTTTTTGTTCAAGTTAAATTACTTAGCTGGTATCAAGTTATCTACAATCTTACCTTGACTCATGTAAAACTCGTTGGGCACGGCGCCTCCTGTCGCATAGTTGTACGTAGCAACCTTCTCAGTACTTATAGCGTTATGGTTATCATACATTGTGAGCATATTGTCTATGGTGTCGTCTAGAGCTATCAACAAAACCTGAAAACAAAAAAAATATCTATCTAGCAGTAGGAGAAAATGAGAAAGGAATAAGTTATCTAATATGAATGACTGCACGGTTGGCGCAGTGACTGAGGAACTGGATGCTGTGCAACGTGTCGCGGGAACCCGCATCAAACAACACTATGTTTTTTTATGTGATAGGTCGGCAAACGAGGAAATGGGTTACCTGATGGTAAGCAATTAGCGCCGCCCATGGTCACTCGCAACGACGGAGGAGTAACGAGTGCGTTGCCGACCTTTTGCGGATTAGGAATTCGGAGATTATGGGAATTAGGAGGGATTGGGGGAGGGGAAGGATTGGGCCTCCGGTAACCTCACTCACACGGCGAAACACAACGCTATGGTTGTTTCACGCCAGTTTTCTGTAAGGCTTTTTTTTTTTTTTTTGTGAGGGGAAAATCATCAAATGACTTCTCCCGCCCAGGGCCGGGCAGGAGGGAGTGTCAGACTCTTACTGACTAAAAACCCCCCTGTTCCTTCTCCTGCTCTGTGCCGAGGTCGCGGTACCTCATTGCGCTTACCCCGCAACCCCGGCTGAACATCAGCCCTTTAGGGCCCCGTCTGTGGTGGTCTATTGGCTCTTTGAGGCGCGCGCGGAACGCTACGCGCCGTACGCTCGGGCCTGGTTCTGGTCGGGCGGCGAGCTGCCCTTACTCGCCGACCGCAGGCCCGTACTTACGGTGGCCGGAGATCGTCCCTCGATCCCCGACGCCCGTAGTGTCGCCAGTTGCGGCTGCTGGGGCGTGAGGAGGAGGATTGCTCCCTCACGCGGGCCGCCTCTCTCTTTGCGAGCATGACTGCTTCACAAAAGGAGGAGACGGCGTCCCAGTTCCTCTCACTCCGCACCATGGCCTCGACTAAGGCCGGGCGCGAGAGGTCGCCGCCGCCGATCACTTCCCTGAGGATACGGCGGTGCTCAGCCCAGGCAGGGCATACCGCTACCGTATGCTCCACCGTATCCTCTAGGTGGTCCTCACAATGACGACACTCGGGCGTTTCCTCCCGCTGAATCCGAAACAGGAACCTACCGAAGCTGCCGTGCCCGGTAAGCACCTGCGTCAGACGGAAGGTGAGGACGCCGTGGCGTCTCTCAAGCCACTCCTCAAAGAGGGGTCTTACCGCTGCTATGGTAGCGTGCCCGGCCCTCGGTTGCGACAGTCGTTGTCTCCACTCTGCCGTGAGATCTCGCCGGAGCTCATTCCGCCACGCACTTATTTGGCGCGGCAGAAGATCTTCGCCCCGGCGACGCGCGTCTGCGCGCAAACTGTAGACGCGCGCGAGCGCCTTCGCTTCTAGATCCCACGGCGGTGATCCGGCAAGGAGGTTCGCCGCCTCCCCGGAGATCGTGCGATACCCGCGGATTACTCGTATAGCCATGACCCTCTGGGACGCGACCAGCGTACGAGCCGGCCGCCGCTTCAAGTCCGGCGCCCACACAGGGGCACCGTAGAGGGCCATGGATCGCACAATCCCCATATACAACCTCCGGCAGGAGGCGTTTGGCCCCCCGAGGTTGGGAAGGAGCCGCTTGAGCGCGGCCCCAGACCGTTCCAACTTAGGGGCCAAACGACGAAAATGCTCCGTGAAGTTCCATCGGCTGTCGAGGACGAGACCCAGGTACTTCATCGCCGACTCGACGCCGATGGTAACTCCTCCTGCCGTTACTTGGGACCCACCTGGAGGTGGCGCGCTCCGACGGCCATAGAAGCACATGGCCTCGGACTTGTGGAGCGCCACCTCGAGTCCCAACTGCCGGATCCTTGCAACGACTGTCGCAACCGCTTGTGACATCAGGTCGGCCGCCGCCTGATGCGACCTCCCGTTCGCCAGCACCAGCGTGTCGTCAGCATAGCAGACAATGCTGACGCCGCTCGGGAGGTCGGTGCGTAGCACCCAAAGTTTTCTGTAAGGCTGTAGTATCACTCCGGTCGAGCCGACCTATTCGTGCCGAAACATGGCTCTCCCACACTTAAGATCCCCATCCCACACTTGTGATCCACAAATTGTTATTTCGGGTCTGAGTGACTTTTGTCTGTGAATTTTTATGTTTGTAAACGACACAGGAGAAAATCCAGTTTATTATAAAAAGAAAAAATACGTCTCCTTCTGTTCGAGTTAATTGCTGACCTACCTGTTTCCTACACGGCATTTGGAAATAATCTTAAAAAATCTATTTTCCAAGGTTCCAAGACACGGCTCATCGACCTTAAATTCGAGTTTTTTGATATAAAAAATTTCCATGATTTATACTTGAAGTCCCTGCAATCCTGAGTCCACGTCTTCATCGTATATAATCGTATTTAAATATATATACTAGCTTTTTCCCGCGACTTTGTTCGCGTGGAATATTGGTTTCCTGTAGATTTTTGGTTTAAAAACTATTCTATGTCCTTTATCGAGTTCCAAACTATGCCTGTACTAAATTTCACACAAGTAGGTTCAGTAGTTTAGGCGTGTAGAAAAGACAGACAGACAGAGTTACTTTCGCATTTATAATATTAGTTTGAAATTTTGGATATTGTGTATTTATATTGTATGTGTAGATATTATACGTATCTATGCGTAATAATCTATTCCTTTGTTTATTATGCGTATATTAAAGTGTAAATAAATCCTTATTTCTGCACACCTACCTTTAATTCTTTCAGATGCATGTGAATGAACCGCGCCAAATGATCGGTCGCTATGTGGATGTGCTCGTTAATTATGTACTGAAATCAAATTATATAACAAAGATTATTATCAAAAATTATTATGATAGGGGTTGGTAATCCGTACGACAGTGTTTTCTACTCATGAAGTAAAATTATTGATATTTCCTTCATCTTTTTACTGCAGACACCAGTCCCGACAAATGATAAATAAAAACATAGGTATAAATAAATTGTGCGGTGCGTAGCATTCCGCGCGTGCCTTTAAGAGCCAATAGACCACTAAAGACGGGGCCCTATAGGACTGATGTTCAGCCGGGGTTGCGGGGTAAGCGCAATGTGGCACCGCGGGTAAGTACAATGAAATTAGTTATTAAATAAATTTCGTCGAATGAATTAATGAAAATGTCGAAAACACGATACCTACTTAGTAATAATGTGTCAAGTATTTTGTGCAAGCATGTTTCTCAATATCTACACCAATACCTATAATATAATTTCAGAGAACATCTGAATAAAATTGAAATGCCAAGTTACTAACTTTTTTATATTCGATAACTTGCAGAGGCTCTAGCAGTTTAGCAAACAGTTTCTACACAGGTCTACACCAAAACATCATCATCATCATCTTCCTGCCCTTGTCCCGTTTTATTTGGGGTCGGCGCAATATGTTTTTTTTTTCTATTCTGTCCTGTCACTCGTCACGCTATCGCTAACTCCTCTGTCTTCCATATCACTTCTCACACAATCCATCCATATTTTTCTTTGGTCTCCCCCTCCCTCTCCATCCATCCACATTTATTTGTCTACACCAAAACATAATTTTCTTAAAAAAAAACTTGTGAATCCCGTTTGTTCCCCTGTTTACTTTGTCTAGTTTAGGTACTATGAGAGAATAAACTGACACCATTTTACCACTCATCACTTTAAATACCCACCAATTTAAACAAAGTGTAGGTTCCTTATGGACTAAGACTAAGACTTAAGACTTTAGCCCAGGTTTTAGTAGTGCTCTGCAAACGATCTCATGGCTATAGGTACCTACTAGACTACAAGTCCGTACTACAAATAAGTAGTAGGTATCTCAATAGACAATTGGCGATGGTTGAATTGGATATGAGTAATAAAAATAAATCTCTAGCTACTACCTACATCATTACAAAATCAATCTACCTAAACCTATCCAAAACAATAAAATGGTAATAATATCATACATGCACTAAGTATATCAAGATTTAACTATTTGATTGAAAAGTCAATACATTTTGGGGCAAAAAAAACATGTCGTCACACACAATGGCGACCAAAAACTTGTTCTCATCTTCAGCCTTTAATTGCCCACTACTGAGCAAATGCCTCTTTTCACACAGAGAAGTCACCACGCTTGCTCAAGGCAGATTGACGATTTGAAACTTATAACTAGAAATTATAAGTCCAGGCTTTTCCTCACGATCGATGTTTTCCTTCACCGTATGTCAGTGGTCTCTGAATAATCATAGATAGTACATGTAACTCGGAAAAAGTCACATTGGAACATAGTTGCCAGATTTCGAATCCGCACCCGCATGCATGAGAAGCCTTAATCTCCGGACTACCACGACCAAAAACTGTTGATTTTGGCAATACAAAAAACGTATGTATATTTATTATTGGTAATAAGGACTTACGTCATTTAAGGGTTACGTCGTCGTAACGCAAGTTCCACTGACTCTGTACAAAAATAGTACCTATTACCTAGTTGCTAATTACCAAGTACCCAATTCACATTACCTGGTCAGGGGCGCGTTTGATCTTCATCATTTCTAACTGATAGTGGGCCAGGTGGTCCAACTTGTCTGTTGGGTCATGGCCGTAGATTTCGTACGCGTCGATCACCATCGCTAAGGTGATGTTCTCGTTGGTTTCCACACAACATGGGTGGTTCGCCACTATGTACGATTGCTGGAATTAAAAATGGAAACGTTTAGTGTGGGCAAAAAATACGGGCCACGTGCTAAAAAAAAAATTGTCTTATCCGAATTGAACTATTTAGGTACCTACTCTGACGGTTCAAACAATAGTCGAACAAGTAAAACAATAGTCAAAGCTAAAATCATTTATTTCAACTAAACCATAGGTGTAAAACGTTAAATACATTAGTAGTCTGTCAGTCTGTTCGTCAATGAAGCTAAGTGCTCCTTTCAAATTGTAGATTCGAATGGAGAAGAATGAGCAAGAAACTCCGTCGCTACAAGACTATACAAGCTATAATAGCTAAACAAAACTAGAAATAAAGATAAGTATGTAGTTTTTACCCTGCGGTTGTGCCCGCATCATTGTGTTATTTTCCACTGTACTAGTTATAAGTATGTTTGCAAAATGTGTGTGGGAGAGCCATGCTTCGGCACAAATGGGTCGGCTCGACGGGAGTGATACCACCACCTCACAGAAAACCGGCGTGAAAGAACCACAGCGTTGTGTTTCGCCGTATGAGTGAGGTTACCGGAGGCCCAATCCTTCCCCTCCCGCAATCCCTCCTAATCCCCAAAAGGTCAGCATCGCACTCGTAACTTTTCTGTTGTTGCAGATGTCTATGGGCGGCTTTAATTGCTTACAATTAGGTAATCCGTCTACTCGTTTGCCGCGATATCACATTAAAAGGTATATGCTATAATACTTACAATAACGGTAATAGACCATGATAGATACACAACCAGAAACAGTAATACTCGACCAGGGCGGGCCATTACGCCGACTGTAAAACACAATCAACGCCAACGTCAAAAAAATTCGCTAACAAATTGTTAACAATAATTGGCAATCAAACTATAATTGTGACTACAATTATATTTTACTACCGATAGGTAATTTTTCTTATGTATTTCCTTCTTTTTCTTTTCTTTAAAAACGTTGCTCCACCCTAGGATTTCTCCTGTGTCGTGGGTGCGGTTACAAACATACAATTTCACATGCACATGACACCCAGACTCGGAACAACAATTTGTGGGTCACACAAAGATTCGTTCCGTGCGGGAATCGAACCCGCGACACGTTGCATGGCAGCCACTTGCCCAGCCACCGTACCAACCGTGCAGTCAAACTTTGTATCATGTACCTAATAAATCAAGTTTTGTATGTACCTAATAAGGTGTTTATCTAGCCTTGTTGGTTGAAAAACTAAAGTTTAAAGTTCGATTTCCAACTCGGTACTGATATGATAGTACAATGCTTTTTATAAGAATGTAGGTAGGTGCCTACGCTCGATAGAAGATTTCGTAATAATAAGTACGCTACCAAAAATAGGACCAAAATATGGAACCGTATGTGTAGAAAACACAGGCTTACAACTTAAAAATAAATAGGCGTACATTACGCCTATTTATTTTTAACATTATATAGAAGTCTAGAATAATATCAGTCAGTCAATAATATAAATCAACGTGATTTAATTCCTTCAATAATGGACCTAATTACAAAACAAGGTTTTTCTTCAGTGTATCTAGGTCTAAACCATTGAGCCAGTTTTTATATGTCAAGAAGGAAGATGACAATAAGATTCAAAATACAAAACCTGACTCAATTAAACGTAGAATTAAGATAAATTTTGTTTTGTAATAAAGGGGATAGAGTTTAAAATCAACCTTTACTAAAGAAGTGATCTAACTAAATCCGCTTAAACGTAAATCAAATAAGTAAACATTTATTGGCAGGTGAAACATTGGCAGCGAAATGTTCAGGAGAAATTAACATTCCTTCCTGTGAGAACTGTTCGTGTAGTCGATGTATCGATCGGGTTACCGCGCACCTTCCCTGCGCCGAGTGAACCTGACCATTCCACAGTACGACCCTCCGTGCCGAGCAGCCATTGTATTCAAGAAAACCATTTTCAAAAATGATAAAACCTAATAAAAATCAAACGTGAAAGATCTAAACCAGAACGCAGTTTAAAATATCAGTGAAAAATAACACAACAGCTAAAGTATACGCTTAATACAATGAATAAAGTAAAGTAAAGCGAAGGAAAAAATGGCTGCTCAAAAGATTACAGGCACGTTACATTAATATCAATGTAATAACATTAAACTTAGAGTAGTGTAAAGAAGTCTTCCAATATAGTGTTAAGGATAAAAATGTATTAGCTCGTGGAATTGTAAGTGAAAATATTATTATTAGATATACTTATATAAAAAGTCAATATATTTAAAAATCAATGTCTTCCCGTTGATGTCAATTTGAAAAATATAATTCGATCGTGTAATTCGACAATAAATTAGATAAAGTTATTAAGAAATTGAGGGTCTGTACAGCCTAAGAATTGGGTGAAATTCAAAAGCTTCAAGATGATAAATCTAGGGAAGTTCAAGTTGCCTCCTTTGAGGAATGTGCTGGACGTGACGATGCAGACGGTCAGGCAGCAGATGCCTGAGAAGCCAGGCGCACCGCCGCGTCCTCCGCAAAACGTCAGATTCGCGAATTTAGGTGAGTCTTTTGTAACATTAGTAGGTTAATCAATAAAATGATAATTACTGCAACCTTCTTTAGTTCTTATGAGTTTAAAGCATACTTAAAACAAGCAAACAAGAAAACCTAGGGCTGTCTCTTACGTCGTTTACATCAATGTTTCAGACAACATGGGTGAAAGCTGCGAACTTTCGACAATGAATGAAACTACATCACCAACGTACCAGTCAACAAATCCAACGAACCCTTTCCTGAGTGGAGCACTGCAGGCCGAAGACTCCTTCACCAGCTATCAGAACACTTATCCTCAACAAGATGGAGCTCCAAGGTAATTCACTGGCAAAATCAACTCTATGCTGGTATAGATAAAATGTAGAGCAACATTGGAAGCATCATTCGTATTTTCAGGACTCAAAGTATGCAAAGCGTTGATTTCTACGCGTCATCTGAAGAAGGAGGTGGTTTCGAGGAAGGCGGTGGCCCACCAGGGGCGAAGATTAATGAATACCAAGCAGCTTGGAATGTTACCAACGCTATTCAGGTAAGTTACTCAAAAAAGTTGTTTTTCTATATTTTATCACAGCATTATAGTTATCTAACTCTTTATATTCTCGTTCCAGGGAATGTTCGTAGTATCCCTGCCGTTCGCTGTCCTCCAGGGAGGTTATTGGGCCATCGCTGCAATGATCGGCATCGCCCACATTTGCTGCTACACCGGTAAGATCCTCGTCGAATGCCTCTACGAAGACGACCCTGTATCCGGGCAACGTGTCAGAGTCCGTGATTCCTACGTCAGCATCGCTAAGGAATGCTTCGGCAGAAAATATGGTGCAAGAATTGTAAATATCGCTCAAATTATTGAACTTGTGATGACATGCATTCTGTATGTCGTTGTTTGTGGCGATCTCATGATAGGAACTTTCCCAGACGGCGCTATTGACACCCGCTCCTGGATGATGTTGATAGGAATATTCCTTCTGCCACTGGCATTCTTGAAGTCTTTGAAAAGCGTTAGTATGCTATCATTCTGGTGCACCATGAGTCACTTGATCATTAACGCCATTGTTTTGGGTTACTGTCTCCTTAACATCGGTGATTGGGGATGGGGCAAAGTAAAATGGACTTTGGATTTTGAAAATTTCCCCATCAGTCTGGGTGTCATCGTTTTCTCTTACACTTCGCAAATATTTCTGCCCACCTTAGAAGGTAACATGGAGGATCGGTCCAAATTCGAGTGGATGTTAGATTGGTCGCACATTGCGGCTGCTGCGTTTAAATCTATTTTTGGATACTTGTGCTTTTTGACATTCCAAAACGATACCCAGCAAGTGATCACAAATAACCTTCGCTCGGCTGGATTCAAAGGTCTTGTAAACTTTTTCCTCGTAATCAAGGCAGTACTGAGTTACCCTCTGCCATACTATGCGGCTTGCGATCTGTTGGAGCGTGCACTGTTCAGAGGAAAACCTAAGACTATTTTCCCTGTAATTTATGCCCTAGATGGAGAGCTAAAAGTCTGGGGACTCGCTTGGAGACTAGGTGTGATAATGTTCACAATTTTGATGGCAATATTTATTCCTCACTTCGCTATTCTGATGGGTTTCATCGGTAGCTTCACGGGAACTATGTTGAGCTTCATCTGGCCAGCGTATTTCCACCTTAAGCTGAAAGGCAATACGCTCGAAAGTACGAGGATTGCGTACGATTACTTTATCATTTGTCTTGGGGTGCTCTTCGGAGTCATCGGTATGTACGACTCTGGCTCGGCTCTGATTAAAGCCTTCAAAATCGGTTTGCCGTTTTAATTTCCCATAATATTAGACTCATTGTTGAACTATTTTTAGATTTATGCGTACATCGTAAATTATTCTTTATCGCAATAACTATGCGGTTGAATGTTGAATGCATGATTTATGTACTTAGACAGATGTATCGATAAGTTTCACATTATTGTTAGGCCGGTTTGATACCTATAATATGGGCAAAACCTAGATTTTGTTAGAGGGTCTTAGTTTCTTCGTATAGAGACAATAATGTTTAAGAAGACGATCGCCTTTTGCCTTCGCTACTTCGTTTACTCCAGATTTTTATGTATATAGTTATTATTGTGTAGCTAACTTTACAAATATGATATTATATACTGTTAATCCAATGTCTTCCAATGATATATTGTGTTTTTGAAAGATGTAACAACGAAGTCTTCCATTGATAATGTTGCTATAAATAAGCAACATTATTTGCTTATAACGTATGAATATCAAAAACATATTTGGATAATATTTACATTAATCTTAGATCTTAAATGGTAGTAGTCATTGAGGTTCCAGTTAGCCCTAATTTATTCCAGACAGAAAAATAAAATACACTTGTTGAATATTATTATTATTTGTACAAAAAATAATGTTAATTTTATAGTTTTAATTATGTTTAGTGAGACTCAAAGATCTATTTACAAACTTATACAATTTATTTATTAAGATAACGCTGGTGAAGTATACTAAGCTTATAATAAATATGACGAGTATATCCGAACTATGTCTTCCATTTCTAAATATAATTGTTGTTGATTATATTAATAGAGTATTGTACTAAATTATACATGTTGATTAGAATAGTTAGTTACGTTAAAATGAAGATATTGTGAGAATATGTGATTATTGTGATACCAACGTTTTGAAATTTTATATTAGGTATACAGGTGAAACTGATATAGAAGATGATGATGGAAATAGTAATTATGGAAAAGACAATAATGTAAAAGCATTTATTGAAGACTTTAAAACAGATGGAAACATAATCTAACATGACTAAAGTATACAAGCAAACGCTGTAGAAAATTCAAGGAAATAAATTGATGTCTTAAGTCAGTTCAAAATATGTTATATCAAAAATGGATAGTAGTAGTAGTAACGAATGAGTAACGCGGGATTAATTAAACAAACGCAGGCATTGAATGAACTGATAGTCTTCCTTAAAAAACATGCCATCTGTATATCTAGCATAAGAAATTGGGCTTCCAAAAATTCGGCGGTAAAACCTATATAAATAAAATGTTGCTTATCTTCAATGTTCGCCTAACTGTTTAGTTTTGGTTACGTATCCAAGCTTGTATCCATATGAATATTTAGAAATGTATCCAAGTGCAATAATGTTGTATAAATAAATATACTTAATAATATGTATTGTGATGAAATGAACAATTCTAGGTGTGTATTTTAAATAATATAAAATGTTATTCGATATTTGTTTTGTTTATTTCATTTCTTTTGTAGTTGGACCCAAAATATCCCCTTGTGACACCCCGTTGGTAAATTGACTTTAATAATAATCAGAATTTACTTTTACTTTTTTTTTGCTTTTGTATGGTACCTATGATATGTACCTATATATCAACTTACATAATTCGTAACTTTATATGTCTGTTATTCCTAAAAACTAGTCAGCGTTTATCAAACGCATTATTCTCGTGATCAGTTGATTAATCCATTGATACTCGGATTAAAGGGAATTATCCTCATTAAATTATAGTAACCTACGTAAAATGTTGATTTCCTCTTCAAGATACATGAACTTCACCTGTGATTTTACATGGCCTTACGTACTAGTCATTAAAAATAATGACTTAATTTTTATTTCAAGACCATAAAATACTTTTCTCTTAATAAATATAGTACCAACGTGCGAATAGTGATAAGGGGACCAATTAAATTGGCAATTTGTGTAATTATTTCCGCGTTCGCTACCGATCAGACGCCATGCTGTCAAAATGGACGCGCGCATTCACGCATGCGTGCTGTTTCTATTATGTCTCCTTCAGATAACTGTAAGTATTGTATTAAAATATTATAGCTATAAGTATAGCTAGTAATGTGACGAACTTAATAGAAGAAAATATTAAGTTTAATAGAAGAATTGCAAAAATATATTTGGTGACAGCGCCCAAAATCGTGTAAATCACTTGAAGACACGGTCCCACGGTGGGCGCCAATAGTTTGAAAATTAAAGAATATTGAAGAATTCAATAAGTTTTAATATGTTGTCATGATTTATCATTGAGGTAATTAATAAATCACGGCAGCACTCTTTAACGTATACTGTAAGCCGTAAAGAAAATAATTATAATAAATACTTTTTATCGATATAGTTACCATACAACATAAGGAATCATCCATGTTGTCTCGAACCAAACGAGAACCTGACGCTAGCAATGATCATAGACGCGTTTGAAATCTACGGACACGACCCAACGGACAAGTTGGATAACCTGTGGCTGTATCAGAACGAGATGATGAGGATTAAGACTGCTGAGGATCAGGTACAAATTTGATAGGAATACCAGGTAGGATAGATAGATATTTAGCAGCTGTTTCACCATCTTCTGCTAAATTATGAAGCACATTTTTCTTACAAATTACTCGTACGTTCTATATTATTGTTTATCTGGTATATAACAGCTTGATACTCCTCAATCAATATATGAGGGTATAAGTGGTCTGTAAGACCCCTCTTTGAGAAGTGGCTTGAGAGACGCCACGGCGTCCTCATCTTCCGCCTGACGCAGGTGCTTACCGGGCACAGCAGCTTCAGTAGGTTCCTGTTTCGGATCCAGCGGAAGGAAACGCCCGAGTGTCGTCATTGTGAGGACCACCGAGAGGATACGGTGGAGCATACGGTGGCGGTACCCTGCCTGAGCTGAGCACCGCCGTGTCCTCAGGGAAGTGATCGGCAGCGGCGGTATTCCGCGCGCGCCTCAAAAGAGTCAATAGACCACCACAGATGGGGCCCCATAGGGCTGATGTTCAGCCGGGGTTGCGGGGTAAGCGCAATGAGGCAACGCGACCTCGGCCCAGAGCAGGTGAAGGAACAGGGGGGTTTTTAGTCAGTAAGAGTCTGACACTCCCTCCCAAAAAAAGGGTATACGTGGTAGGGTACATAAAGATTGACAGGGGCTTTAGGGCCCACATTAAGTGGGTCCTGACGGCCATAACAAAATAAAAACTAGGACTAGCTGATTCTTCAAATTTTATTTTTCAGTATCTAATCAACGAAAGAGTGCACATAGCAACGGATCATTTGGGACGTTTTATCAAACTACACATACAGGAACTAAAGGTAAACTAAAATGTGACAAAGAAAAAACGTTATTAGTAACGCAAAGCTTTTTTTGTATATGTGGACAAAGAAGCTGATCAATCTTCTGCTGGTTAAAGCAATCGGCATCACCCACGGACTGTGAAGGAACTGGCAAAGAACTCATAACAATGAGTGCTTTGGCACCCGGATTCGGAGGGTAGCCATTCGTTCCACCTCAACTAGGACGGCAGGAGTCATTTGTTTTATTTTATATCGAAGGTCGGCAAACGAGCAGACGGATTACCTGGTGGTAAGCTAACAGCACCGCCCAAGGACACTCGCAATACCTAAGGATTGAAAGATTTGAGAATTGAGGATGGGGGGAGGAGGGCCTCCGGAAACCACACTGACACGGCGAAACACAACGTAAATGTTGTTTCACGCCGGTTTTCTATGAGGCCGTGGTATCACTCCGGTCGAGCCGGCCCATTCGTACCGAAGCATGGCTCTCCCACGCTTATGATTAACCATCCCCACAAAAAAAGAAGCCTTTGAACTTCCATGTAACGAGCTATGACAAATGAAAATTAATATTATCTAACAGGTCCTGCTGATAACATTAGACGACGTTATAGACAACATGCTAACGATGTATGAGAACCACAACTCAGTGGCTGCTGAACGCAAGGCTACTTACACCGGTGGTCCAGTGCCTATGGAATTTTACATGAGTCAAGGTAACATAGTTTTTAAACTAAATTCTAATTTAATTAATACACGAATATCTATTTCCTCTTTTTATTTTATGACCCTACGCAAGGCACTTAATGCTCCATTTACATCATTTGTCTTAATCAAATCAGTTAGGTTAGTGTGGGAGAACCAAGCTCCCGCACAAATAAATCAGCTTGAGCTGAGTGATACCACGGCCTCACAGAAAATCGGCGTGAAACAACGCCGTGTGATTAAGTTTGCCGGAAGCCGAATTCTATCGTTCTCCCATTCCCATCCCTCCCCAATCCATAAATCTCCGAAACCTCTTATCTCTAAAAGGTCGGCAACGCACTCGTGGTATTGCAGGTGTCCATGGGCGGGAGCGATTGCCATCCGAACGCCATTATCATGAGATAATACGACAAACACAGAGAAGTTTTTGAAATCGACGCGACCACGCATAGCTTTCTGCAAAGTTTCTACTTTTGGTAATTCTTTCCATTCTTGCTCCAACAGAATTCTACTGTGGTAAAAACGTGTACATCTTTATATCGGAGTTATACAGCGACATATACAATATGGGTAAAGGAGTGGCCCCCTACTGCAAGGACAGATCCTTCGTCTTCCTCGGTTTCCTGCACTTCCACGACGAGACTAAATACTACTTACTGGACGATCCGAGCATCTCCTTCCCAACTGACAACTATTTGCACGGTTTAGAGTGCCATATGGGTATTTGTATATTCAGGTTAGTTGGTTAAATTTTCCTTCAATAATAAAGGTTATTTCTAATAAAGAATGGAAGTAGATCTTATTAAATGTCGTCTACCCACAAAGAGGACAGGCGACCTTGAAATCATTGAGGGTGACCTATATTCGCTAGGAGCCGCCTCGAGGCTGATATGATGATAGGTAATGATGATGACAGGATCTCAAATCGAAGATGGTTTTCTAATTCAAGAAGAATTTTCATTGTTTTGGTATTGTGAAAAATCATTTTTGCACCTCCATCTGCTCAAAAATTAATAAGTTTCATACCCCTACAGTTTATCATTCAAAAATCATCAAAAGTTTTACACAAAAAATATATTTAATTTAAATCCAAGGTTCCCATTCAAGAAGCTCCTCCAAAGAGTGCGAGACGTGTCCGCACTTCCAAAGGCTATCGTCAAATGTGGTACGGAGATGTACAAACTCCCGCCTCTATCTGCTGCCTCCTGCATCATTACGTCAGGGTCCTTCATTCTGGACTTCAATATACAAGGAGTCCGATATAGACACTATGACTACTTGCTGGTAAGAATTTAATTATTATGCTATATTTTTTTTTGTATTATCCTTTCAATCCATTTCAAATAGTTTAACAAGAACTATTTTGTGACACTTTTTCATTGTAGAAAAGTGGTAATTTTTTTTTTGCGAAAATATTGCAATGTAAGAGCGAATAAGACACGTGTTAGCTGGATGATTGTGTTTAATTGAGTGTTAAATAATATAATATCTTATGCTACTTACGGGTGAGGTGTCACAGACGCTATAAAGGGTCAGTGTACGAAGAACACCGCGAAAGAGAAATGTATGAAAAGGCTATCGGTACATCCACCTTCACTAAACACTAAAATAATGGTACACTAATGAACCACTCTCCCAAAATCCCATGAAAGTTCACAAGACACATGCCTCCGTGAAGCCAATTAAAAATTATAAACGAATACTCCAATGAAAAAGTTTATCCGCCATTTAGGGCAACTGTTTGCCAAAGCAGTTCTAAATTGCAGATTACTCATAAAAAACCAGAATTGGTTACGGTGGTGGCTTATCTTCTATTTATTACTTATTGTATTAAAGGGCAAAATGTCATTAATGAGAAATGATACAGGAATTTGTTTTTCTTACAGACTATACCCAACGGCCATACCTACTACACCAAAGAAGCTCACTCCCCACTAGTCTGCGACCACCACGTTTGTGAATGGAACTACACCAACCATTATGGAGGTACAGTACGGCCGACGTATCTTGGCGAGTCTGAAGTTAGTCGTTTGTTTGCGCAATGGATCTTTTAGGAACAAAATTGTGTACTGCGCAGCTAATCGGCTAACTTCAGACTCGCCAAGATACGTTGGCGGTATTGCAAACCAAAATTTTTCATTTAATTTTAGCATCTCGGAAACTTCATATCTTGTCCAAATAGAATTATGCTATTGTCAGGTAGTCAAAGATATTATTGCAGTGTGAGAATTTGCGATCCCTAAAGGTCTGCGTTGACGAACGAATTAGGAGTAACAATATCTATACCTCAATATGTGAAAATGTATGGATCACTTTCGAGGAATAAAAGGCGTGTCGACCACAGTTATACACATAGGTACCTACACTTACAATACGTCCCGAGCGGATGGCGCGTAGCGTTATGCGCACCTCATAGAGCCAACAAGTAGACCACCACAGAATGCCCTATAAGGCTGATGTTCAGCCGAGGTTGCGGGATAAGCGCAATGAGTCACCGCGGTGTCGGCCCAAAGCGGGAGAAGGAACGGGGGTTTTTTAGTCAATAAGAGTCTGACACTCCCTCCCGCCTGACCCGGTGTGGAAGAGGTCATTCAATGATCATAAACCTCACAAAAAAACACCAATACGTATGTATATGTCACCGGAAAATAACAAGATCCGTAAGTTTATCAATTTACTAGGAAGTTTATAAACTTTCGTAAGATTCTAAACGGGAGATAAATTGTAATATTTTACGTCCACATTTTCGTAAATTAATAAACTTACTGAACTCACTCGTAAAATAATAAGTAAGCAGTAAACAAACGCTACGCGCGATCTGATTGGTTGGCTGTCACGTGTCACTTCTCCTTCCTCGCGGCCGCCATTGCTGGCCACGGAACTGTATTTTAGCAAGTAACTGTTAAATAGCTTATTGTGACTATAGAAAACTACTATAGAATAAATACTATACTATAGAAAACTCAACTCACTACATCCGTGCCAGAGAGGAACCAGGCATTGTTGCTTCCAATTTATAGTTTGTCAAGTCTGATTATTCCAAAGTCTATGGACACAAGCATTGCCACTATGAACATTGACCAATCAGAGAGCAGTGTGTTATTTTACGTATTTCAAAGATCGTATATTTAAAAGAGTTTCTGTGATTGGTCGAACCATATAAAATCTTACGAACAGATATTCGTTAGTTTATAAATTTACCGTATGACTTCGAAAATTGATAAATTTACGAAAATGTGGACGTAAAATATTACAATTTATCTCCCGTTTAGAATCTTACGAAAGTTTATAAACTTCCTAGTAAAATGATAAACTTACGGATCTTGTTATTTTCCGGTGACATATATAAAGAAAAGGAAGCAATATTTGCTATATTTCGACTGTATATTTGCAGGACCATTCCTGATTCCTGGTGATCCAGGTACAGGGATTGACGCAGTGCCCCCCTACATCGAGCCCACGCCAAAACCAGATGGGGTGCTCGAAGAGGAGAATATCACTGTCCCTTGTAAGATCAAACCATCATTTCATTGACCATCCTCAGCCGGAAAACGTCTCCTGCTCATAAAAGACCTTCTCCTGGTTCTTCACGTCTAATGACAACACAACACTTACATCCAATGGCTCCTCGCTTCGCAGATTTTGACTATGTCGTGGATCCACCCAAAGAGGATATAAGCACTACGTTTAGATCCACCCCGCAGGGGCCTGCTCACGCCGGGGCTGCGGGGTAAGCGCAATGAGGCACCGCGACCTCGGCCCAGAGCAGGAGAAGGAACGGGGGGGTTTTTAGTCAGTAAGAGTCTGACACTCTCTCTCGCCTTACCCTGGGCGGGAGAAGTCATTGGATGATTTTCCCCTGAAAAAAAAAAAAAAAAAAAAAAAAAAGGGGCCTGCTCACACTACGTCTTCCGGTCTATTAACGCCACTTGAGCACTTTCTACGTTTCTCCTTTGTCAATGTCCAAATCTCATCCTTCCCAAAGAAGAAGCCCCAACCTTCCCCTCCCCGATCCCTAAAACTGCAAAAACTATTTCCCAAAACATCGGCAACGCACTTGTAAAGTTGTAACTTGTCCATTGTTGCGGATGTCCATGAGCGGCGCCAGGTACTTGCTTACCACCACGTAATCTAAGGTCAGGCCTGCTTGCTTGCCGTCCAATCACGTGAAAAAATACATACTATCAGTGTCATAAGTGCATGGATGATTCTAAATCAAAATCGTTTGTACGGCGTTTCATCGCCTTAATTATATACCATGGACGACATAGATGGCGCTAGTATACTAGTGGTATTGAAAAATATACATTTATAGTTTTTATCAGATACAAAGTTATTAACTTAATAAATTTTTATACAAATTAATGCTACGATATTCCAAACCTTTTTAAAGCAAAGCACGCAATAACCAGGATTCGAACTCGGTAGCATAAAATTAACCGATGCCACTAGCCATTAGGCCATTACGTAACCTTGAATTGTATTGATATTATCCTACTCTTTATTATATTGAAGTTGTTTAGCAACTATAACCCGATCATAAATCTCAAAACAGTTGAGGGTAATTTAAAATTAACTGTATAAAAATTAAACCTTTTTGTTCAATCATAACATTCTTTACTATCTTTGAGTGAGTTCAGTCACGATTTGTTTAACAAGTTTTTAATATTTATTTTTATTATGAATTTGCGTTCAAATGTTAATATGGCTACGAGGGCCCAAATAATAGCATTGCATAATCAAAGCTTAAATTATACTGGAATTTCTAGAGAAACTGGCTTAAACGTAAGTATTCTTATAAATGACCGTTTGTTATTTATTTTATTATCCATGGTTATCGATACATGAAAATAATAAATAATACACGTCCCTTACAGGTAAAGACTGCCACTTTATGGATATCTAAAGCTGTTTCAAGAAGAGGGTTCATTGGAGCACCATATTGGATCTGGCAGAAGACGTGATATTGACTCAGACCAGTTTCAACTTATGGGGCAAGGTTATGAGGAAAATTACTGGAGCATTGTCATCTTCAGTGATGCAAACAGTGAAAACTACATAGATGTGCTGAAAGACGTCATGAAGATGTGCTGGTGATAACGTTCGTGCAGGACAATTGTCCTATGTGTAATGTTCCATAATTGTGCAAGTGTTTAGTCAGCAATCAGACATACGGATTATTCCTTGGCCAGCGAGATAGGAGAAATAGGATCGATAAAAATGGCGGCTACACTAGTTCTTAAAAGAAAAGACATTGTTGACTATAGGATTAAGCAATTACAAGACCGGGGTAGCTATAATTTATTTAATGGATAAATGTTCAAACTTAGTGTTAGTAGGATAAATTTATTGACTACTTTATAACCAGCGACTGTTATACAGTAATGATTTTATTGTTTTACTAAATATGAGAAATAAAAATAAAAGCAATATTAATATTTACAGATGCTATTGATTGCAAAATAATAAATTATTTGTTTATTAATTACTATGAACAATTCGTCCCATATCTAGTGAATGCTATATCCCGGTCTTAGAAATGTTATTGATTTAAGGTCTAGCTTCAATTTCTTCCTTGTTCTGGAACGAATACTTAAGCTATGAGCCTTTGTCATAACATGATGCACAAAATGAATCACTTTAGTCAATACTTTAATTAAATTTTATGGGGAGGTAAAATAGTTGCAGAAGTAAGGTTGCATATTATATAGAATCGTATTATAACATTGTGTTTAAAACTAACTAATAAATGACTAGCACAACACAATTTTGATTTAAAATACTTATTAATCTTATAAAAAGTGTAATAAATAATGTGTCAGTTAGCTGAAAAGTTATTAGGTCAGGGTATACACTATATAAGAAAGAAATAAATATTATGTTTTAAGAAATATATGTCTGAAATTATAATGTCACTAAAATAGTTTTATTTGTTATCCTTTATGAGAATTAAACTTAGTATTAGTCTTAATCTGTAAGAAAAATATGTTACTTTTACATTAATAGTTAGCACATATTATAAAAGTTATTTATATATATTTATTAATATAATTTTATTCTTAAATAATATATTTATTTATTTTTGTTATCTTTTATAAATATTAAACGTCAAATATTTTATTTATATATTATTATTATTGATTTTATATAAAAAAACCATTGTTAAAAAACCTGAATTTAAAAATGATAACCCGGAATTGAACCGGTGCCCTTCGACTTCATTATACTATCATTCTTATTTATCCGAGCTACCGATCGCATTTTTAATGATATCGAAAATGCGGGTTAGTTTATAACTTTTATTATTGTCTATTATTAATTATTGGCGCCATCTTTTAATTGGTTTGCTTGACTTGACTTAGATGGCGCTATATTAAGTCCTCGGAAATGTGAAAATTAACATAATTTATGTGTATTTGAATATAAATATATTATTGTTTCTTAATTATTATTTTAACCATTAAAAACCTTATTGTGTGCCTCTGCAGTGTAAAGTATTCAAGCTTTGCAGGGTTATTTTCATTTAAAAGCAGCGCCATCTAGTTGTCAATGGTAGCGTTATGCAAAACCTGTCAGTCAATAGTCGACCTTAAGCTCTCCATGCATTTTTGTCACCCTTAGTACATAGATATTCAGCTTGCTACGCCACTATTGGATGCTTGGATATTCAATTTATTTGACGGGTGACAGATTGGAAATTAAAGCCTATTTTCCCATTTCCACACACAACACACTTGTGGTAGTTGTGGTATGTTTCGGTGATAACCGGTTCATTGCAACATTTATATTTTTTTATTTATCGGGTAGACTTAGGCACTTAAACGATTATGTTATGCAGATATCCTGGACGGATGCTTGTTCATGTATCCGCCAAACTATGGCTCCATCGCGGGCAAGAGTTACTTGGACACAATTGACCTACACGACGACAGGTTTACTTGCAACGCCGCTGGAGGGAACAAAGTAAGAACCAATGTTGCTACATTTCACCACAATCTCATACATGAGATTTCATTAAGTCAGTAAGTCATTATATAGTCATTATACATAACAGCCTTTGAAATCACCACTACTTTTAGATTTCGGCCTCCAGTTTATATAATTACTCCAGATATTACCCATAGGTATGCAGTATCACAAGTGCATACTAGAAAAAGTACCACTCGTGACCAGTAAGCTACAAGTCCCACATAAATAAAATCTAAGTCCATATACCAGCAACTAAGCAAAAATTCAATTCTTTCTAAAGATTAGGGTAGTTAACAACTAGTCAAATGTGAGAAACAATACTATCCTATTAATGTTTATAGCACCAAATTATGACTTACTTAATTCTTAAAAATGAGCTAAAAATATCGAAAATTTAATCAGACAGATCGATGATGAATAATAGTATTTTTCAATATTTTATTGTATTGAGACATCAAATAAATTTATTTTTGACCTAGGAAACTACCCAATTGAATGAGCTAAGACATTTGTTAAAAACCATTATAATATAAAATAAATAAAAAATATCACGGTAGATATGCCATACATTATAGGTACATAATTGTAAAAGAATGGAATTGTAAAAATAAAAACTAGGTATGTCACGTATATTAATAAGACTTATAATTTTCCACATTTAGGGTCTCTACTGGTACCCACAATGGATGGGTGCAATGCCCCACCACCCGTACCCAGCACTAGGCGAAGAAAAGGACGCGTTCGAAGCACCCGGCGCCTTCTACCCACACCAACAAGGATACGACATGGACGAACAGGATATCGAATAATATATTTATAACAAATACGTTTGTTTTATTTGTAGTAAAAAAAAATCACAAGGCTTTAGGAAATATCTTCAACAATTAAACATCAAATTCAACATCCAATATAAAACTTAATTTATTTAAAGTTAAATAAAAATAAAACGATAAAATACAATTAAATGTAGCTTTCCAAAAACCTGCGCTCGACGACACTACCACGAGGGAGTATAAAGAACGCGGGAGTACCAGCCTTCAGTTCATAGTATTTCGTCACTAATAAATCACCAAGGTTCTTAGAGGGATTGATAACATGAGGCATTTTATCATAACCTTCGAAATATACATTTATTTTAGAACAACTGTACTTATTGTCTTCATCCCAAGGCGCTGGAAAGACCTGTTCCAACTGACTCAATAAAGGCACGTTTTCCGGACAACCGCGAATAAAATCCGTCATTTGAAATTCTGGATACAAAAGTAACAAAGGCCAATGTAACACACCATTTTCTATATGTACTATCGCATCCTGAGCTCCTGGTAAGCTCGGCTCCAACTTGGACAAATCTATGTCATCTTCGTCGTCACATTTCGATATTTTAATACCTCGTTGAATAATAGCCTTGATGACTTGGTCTTTTTGTTCATTGTCCTTTTCAGATTTCCTCTCTTTCTTTCTTTGATCACGTTCCTGTTGCAGTTTCTTCTTTTTCGCTGTATTCAGTAGTTCAGTTATTTCTTTATCTTTTGTTTCACCTTCTAATAGTTTTTGACAGTGTTCTATACAAGTGTCATATTTCATTACTTCTAGAGCAGCTTTTGCTGCACGAATACGAGCCTTTGTGTGGTTTGCATTGAAACTGAGAGCCTTCTCACTGTCAAACAAGGCAGATCTATAATTCTTTAAATGCCAATGACTTGCTGCCCTGTTGTTGTACAAGCTTGCATTTATTTCTGCATCATTGCATCTTTGTTTAATGCCCTCTGTGTAACTGAAAAGAAAATACTTCTTGAAATATAAAAGGCTAGTTACTTAATTATAAACAGTTAAATTAAGTTAAAAGATTTATGAATTTAAGTTTTATGCAATAATATTGCTATTTCATTTCATGTTAAAATGTTTAATTACCTCATTCTATTTAAATTTATGCAATGAGTTAGAAAACTCTAAGCAATGTATATTCACTATATTTCATACTTTTATATGCTTGAACCTCAGAATACAGAACAAATCAGAAGGCGGCATCGCGCTTCAAACTGGAGCAACTAAAACCATTCTCAACTAGAATAGTATGAAATTTCTACGATCAGTCAATTTTGGCACGTGGCCATGTCATGTCATGTCGTGACGTATTTACGAGTATCAATTTTAATTTCATTATGCCGTCTTGTGTTATTACTTCGAGTAAAAATGCGACTGGAATTACGAAAAAAGTGGATAAGATTACATTTCATCTGCAAGGATCGACTGCAATAGTATATTTAATTAATTATTGAATTTTTTTTATCGATTTATTTTTCTATGAAAATGATGCGGCCATTTTGTGAGTGTTGTCATTTTTGGTGAAAATTTTACCCACTTATTTATTTGTTGTGGGTTATATTTTTGTCCATTATGGAGCCTATGTCATATTAGTTTCCCTGACAAAAAAATAAATACAAATACAAATCCAAAGGGCATGGTTAGATTAATTTTGGAAACCATCTAGCCAGAGCATAGTTTGCTCAATTCACTTTGAAGAAATATATTTATGACAAAGGTGGTTTGAAAACAGCATATCCTACGAAGGTATATCTATACTAATTATAATGCTGAAGAGTTTGTTTGTTTGTTTGCTAGAATGCGCTAATCTCAGGAACTAAGTAAAGTAAGTAGACTTCTAATCTTTAGTTACGAGTCTAAAGACAATACATATAAAAAACTAAATCAGCAAAAGGGAACGCAATAAAACCTTTGTACTTATTGAAGCTTTATTTTATTTGTTGTGTATAGTAGGTCTATGAAATGTGTGAACAACTAGTCTGTTGCATTTATCGTAACTTTACCTATTTTGTTGGGTTTACTCGTATCTTACCCTCCTGTTGTAAAATTACCCCAAACCCAGGGAATTGTTCCACTGTCGGCAACACTACACGGGTGGGAAGTGTGACTGGCGGGGGGATTGAAGTATTGTTTTTGGACACATTTGATGACATGTAATTATGAGAGAACGCGGTTTCTGGTTTGTTCTGTATTCTGAGGCTTGAACAAAAAGGTCAGATCGAAAACCTATTTTTAAAATATACTTGGGTTGTCATTGTTAAGTATTGGGATACTGGGACATTATGAAACAGGTTCTCACTTTATTTTCCTATGTAAACAATTTTTTTTTTTTGGGTAACTTAAATAGTTTGAGTAGTTTCATTAACTTACCCTAATATAGCAAGTCTGTAGTTTTTATGTTTGAAATTGAAGTTTCCATCCTCCTTATAGTTAGCAGCAAGCTCTACAGGTGTGTTCTCTTCTGGGTCATACTTCAGCTTGGCCAGACCTTCGGCCAGAGGTGACAGGGTACCATCTTCTGGTGTCGACTTCATAAAAAATGGATGTTTGTCCATTTCTTCCTGAAAATATCATAAATTTCAACAAACTTAAAACCGTAAATTATTTTGAAATAACTGGAATACTTGGTCCTGTAGCTATTGAGAGGTAAAAGGTAGCAGAAACTGCAAATTTGAATCAGCTATATGTACTGAGAATGATTAGGTTGTTTGCCCAAGGAGAAAACAAATGATCGTACCTCCCATGTGTCTTCGCTCCATCCCTCTGTGTATCTCTTTTTCTCTAAGCTATCTATGAAGTCATCCAACTCTTTATCCAGCTTCTGGCAAAGAGCAAGTCTCTCCTCATCCGTCATGGGCTGTTTAGCCACTTTTGATGCCTCTTCAGTCATATTTTAGACTTTAGTCTGACTTACGTGTTAATATATATATATATACATTTAAAACACAACTATTAATCTTTATTTACTTTTTATTTAATTACAATATGCTATTAACTAGTTTTGAAGGAGCAATAACTTTTCAAAATATAACCTATTTTATAAATCTTTTTGACGTTTGACAGCCATGCTCATCACACGTTCCGTTTTACTCTACTGACAAAAATATTAAAAAAACCAAAATGAATAGTTAAAATTAATTACATCAGATAGAATATAACATTTAAAAAATCAGTGTTTCAATATAATTGGCCTAAATGCCATTTCTGAATATATTCACATTTACGTGTTTCGCGTCTTTTGAAGTATTCAGGAAAGTGGGCCTTTTCAAGAGGATGCCAGTAGTCAATTACCCAGTCTGGTGGTGTTACCACTCTTGCATACGCTACGCCACCTGCTTCTCCTATTGAACGAGCAACTGCGTATGAAATAACAAGGTGAGCATTATAAAAAGTACAAGTAACGGCACAATACCTACGGACTATTTTAAACTTAATAAGTCTGTTAATTTATATTAAAACTAGCGACCTGCCCCAGCTTCGCTTAAGTGCATTTTGTTTTAAATAAAAGATTTAAGCACACATAGGGATAAAGGGATAGAAAAAGCGACTTTGTTTTATATAAAGTAGTGATATACGTTATATATTTACATTTCGCTGGTGGAAGTGGATTCACTTTCAAAAAGAGTTCATGCTCTCCCACCCATAGAAGACGACGTTGTTCTTTTGGATCACTAACATTTTTATTTTTGTCAAATTCGGACCTCAGTAAAACTTGATGATAACGAACCACGTTTCTGCAAAATTAAATAAAACTGCACTAATTATTTTTGAATAAATTCTCCAGTGTAGCTTGTGCATTAGGTATATGACACGTGTGTATTTGCGTCATTCAGACCCTCATGTTCGTAGCACATTACGTTAAACGGAGATAGCTATAAAAGTAGAAAAATGTGGCGCAGCTACCAACACCAATAAAGGATATAGCATTTTGTTCAAGCATCAATTTGTCTGGAACTTGCTGGAAATTGTTACCTCTGCCACCTGAATTTTCTTCTCACGTATTTAATCCCTCACATGTACAAACGGGATGCGTCGACAATAAAGGTCCAGGCCCCAGCTCCCAGCTCATAATAACAAATCCAGCACAGCTTCCTTATCAGCGCTTAGTTATAAATTAAAATAGCCTTACCTAGCTACGTAGTACGCTTCAAGGTTTCTCATAGCTTTTTTATAAAGAGTGCATACTTTTTGAGAATGAGTTCGTAACTCTGGTGCAAAAGGCATTTTGTTTGGAATTTACTGCTTCGTTGATTCTTTCGATAGATTCAGTGTCAATTTTTGCCTAATTTGCAATGAAGTGTCAGACAGGTATCAATCACCGCACCGCGCACTTGTATAAAAAATATTTTATGATTGCGTGCCAGATACTATAAGTCATATTACAAGAACAATTCGTTATTTGAAGATCAAAATGCTAGATGCCCAATATTTATTTAAATAATATTGCAATAGAGATAAAAAAAGAAGACACTCAATATTTGAGTAAAAGTCACAAATGTCAAAACTTCAGAAGTCAAACTGACATTACTGACCAAATTAAATGCTTCTGAAGAAAAGTGGATCGCGATTATATTTAAAAATGTATGATCTGTACCGGAATTAATTGCTATAAAGCTTATAAAATAATAGTTTTCATTATTATAAGCATAATTCGTTCAATCATTTAATTATTGTGACTAATGTGGGCTATAATTGCTTTAGCATTTGTTTGCACCGGCTTTAGCTCCTGATGTTATTTAAAACAAAATAAAAAATATGTCGGACGCTTGGGAAGAGATCCAAGCTGTTAAAAGCAAAAGGAACAGTTTGCGTGAGAAGCTTGAGAAACGTAAAAAGGAAAGACAGAATATCTTGAGTGCTAATTTGGGCAGTGGAGAAAGGTCTGAGGGTTCACCTGGCGGTGGAAAGGAGAGGTTGGCAGCAAGTCCATCCACGGGAAAACATGACGGTAATGCCTCAGTTCCTTTATCATCTTAGAAACCTAAAATACTTTCTTGACTAGAGTGCATTGGGTCTAATTAGATTCTTGATAATCACCTTAAAGGCAGAGGAATGCGATATTTACTAAATAATCTAAAATTAAAACCTTTTCCCAGCTTTATAATTGATATCAAACAAAGTAATTGAGTAGGATCTTTCTACCATATACCATATACATGTAAATTGTATTTTGCTTTCAGTTACTCCGGACAAGCCAAAAGTGGTAGTACCATCTGCATCGCTGGAAGTGCAGCTTCTACAAGTGCTGTCGGACATGCAGCTACAATTGCCTGCTACTGCCAGTGCCCTGTTACCTGGTCTAGGTGATGTAGACGCTGGTATTGTGGCCAGTCTGCTACAGAAGTTTGCCACACAGAAACTCATTACGTAAGTAATTTCTTGGCATGTTTTTTTGAAACTTCATATTAAGAATGTATCTGTATGTTAGAGGACTGTCTCTCATTTTATTTCCTCTTGTTAGTAATAAAAATCTTATTTGCAATAGGTAATCAATTCAGTCAATCTAAACTAGAAAAACATTACCTAAGTAAAAAAAAAGTTCTGTTTAGAAAAAAGGGTACTCTTTCTTAAAAGGCTGGCAATGTGCATGTGACTCCTCTGGTACTGCAGGTGTTTATGCACGGCACTGATCACTTACCATCAGGTGATCCATCAACTAGTCTTTTAACAGTTGATTTAGTTATAAAAAAAAATTAAAGGCAAAGGACAGCTATCAACTACTCTTTGCTGTAGAAAACAAATTAACTTTACTTCTTACATTTTGCAGTATAAAGGAAAGAACAGAGAGCACAACCGATGCAAGCATAGAGGTTGTAAGCGCAGAGTCTGTAAGACTGGCTGCGGTACTGGCAGCATTAATGGAGGAGCAGAGCAATGGCAATAAGAGAAAAGGTTGGTGACGTTTTTGTGTAATTTTTTGGTTAGGCAGTGGTATCTATGCCAAAACCTGGCTCTCTCACATTTAATCCGGATTCTGAAACTTCTGTGATATCTCTGGTTGTGTAAGTATTCTTACGCTATGATGGCTGTATGCCATTATTTAAATAGCTAAGGTAGAAACAATCACTTTTCTAGGCTACATAAGACATTTTTTTATGATCGGCAAACAAGCAGACGGATTATAGCCTGCGGAGCCTGATGGTAAGCAATCAGCGCCGCCCATGGACACCCGCAATGGAGGAGTTACGAGTGCGTTGCCGACCTCTTAGGGATAAGGGTTTTGGAGATTAAGGGATTGGGGAGGGATCGAAGAGGGGAAGGATTGGGCCTCCGGTAACCTCACTCACACGGCGAAACACAACGGTGTGGTTGTTTCACGCCGGTTTTCTGTGAGGCCGTGGTATCACTCCATTCTTGTATGTCATGTCGCATCACGAACTCACGACACATAAATATGCTTTTGGTGTACTTAGTAATAGCAGAACAATAACAATAATCTATTTTTAAATTTTAGGTGACAATAAAACAGAAGAAGCAAGTAATCCTAAAATATCGAAAACAACGACAGACGAGAAGAAAACGGGGAAAAATGACACAGACATTATGGTAAGTGTCAATAAAAATATGTAGTATATAGATAATAATGTAGAATGCAGTAAACGTAATGTAGAATGCAGTAAACGTAATGTAAAATGCAGTAAACGTAATGTAGAATGCTGTAAATGTAATGTAGAATGCTATAAATGTAATGTAGAATGCTGTAAGCGTAATGTAGAAAGCAGTAAATGTAATGTAGAATGCTGTAATCGTAATGTAGAATGCTGTTAACGTAATGTAGAATGCAGCAATCGTAATGTAGAATGCAGCAAACGTAATGTAGAATGCAGCAAACGTAATATGGAATGCAGCAAACGTAATGTGGAATGCAGCAAACGTAATGTGGAATGCAGCAAACGTAATGTGGAATGCAGCAAACGTAATGTGGAATGCAGCAAACGTAATATGGAATGCAGCAAACGTAATGTGGAATGCAGCAAACGTAATGTGGAATGCAGCAAACGTAATGTGGAATGCAGCAAACGTAATGTGGAATGCAGCAAACGTAATGTGGAATGCAGCAAACGTAATGTGGAATGCAGCAAACGTAATATGGAATGCAGCAAACGTAATGTGGAATGCAGCAAACGTAATATGGAATGCAGCAAACGTAATATGGAATGCAGCAAACGTAATGTGGAATGCAGCAAACGTAATATGGAATGCAGCAAACGTAATATGGAATGCAGCAAACGTAATGTGGAATGCAGCAAACGTAATGTAGAATGCAGCAAACGTAATGTGGAATGCAGCAAACGTAATGTGGAATGCAGCAAACGTAATATGGAATGCAGCAAACGTAATGTGGAATGCAGCAAACGTAATATGGAATGCAGCAAACGTAATGTGGAATGCAGCAAACGTAATATGGAATGCAGCAAACGTAATGTGGAATGCAGCAAACGTAATGTAGAATGCAGCAAACGTAATGTGGAATGCAGCAAACGTAATGTGGAATGCAGCAAACGTAATGTGGAATGCAGCAAACGTAATATGGAATGCAGCAAACGTAATGTGGAATGCAGCAAACGTAATGTAGAATGCAGCAAACGTAATGTGGAATGCAGCAAACGTAATGTGGAATGCAGCAAACGTAATGTGGAATGCAGCAAACGTAATATGGAATGCAGCAAACGTAATGTGGAATGCAGCAAACGTAATGTAGAATGCAGCAAACGTAATGTGGAATGCAGCAAACGAGATGTAGAATGATGTTAACGTTTAAAAAAATCAATGTTTGATTGGAGTTACTCCTGATATGATGACCTGCTCAAAAGAATGCCAAACTCCTCGGTCTTTAGCTATCCCTAATTTACTCTTAACTCTATTCTTCACAGTCACTACTAGCAATGCCTTCAAGCAGAGAGAAGGCAGTGAAGCGGGTTGGAGAAGAGATCATGGACCTGCTCAGCAAGCCCACAGCCAAGGAAAAGTCTCTCGCTGACAAGTTCAAGAGCCAAGGAGGTCAGTTATTTCCTTATCAGAACCTTATTTATTGATGTCCACAGCTTTTTTTGCTTATTTTTATTTGTTTTAGATATGTCTATACTTAATTTAAAAAGAAACAAGCTCAATTATCATTTGATTTTAATATTTGTTAATATGCAGATAACATATGATAACAAAATCGAATCCTAGGTCCTACCTATATATATAGACAGTCAAACCAGGAAATTTTATGATTTTCCCGTCTCAAATAAAAACCTATGGTCATTATTAATTTGTTTATAAACAATAAAATATTAATTGGCATGAAGTATTGTAATTTGTCTAATTACGAAACTATACCAAATTAAGCAATTTCTAACAACACGTTAGGTAGAAATTGCTTAAAAATAATAAGTATATTAATCGGCCTACTAACGTAATTATTGAACCAGACAATTCGTCAACTTCCAAGACATGTCAGCGGCTTATATTCATGAGCAGCAATGCGCAACACACGACGCGGCTCGTTGCTGCTCGTAAATAATTATGAGCCCCTGCTCTGGCTTGAAAGTAGTCGAGTATTAAAACACAAAAATAATAGCAGAAAGAATATTAAGACTATAAACATTTATTTTTCAGGTGCTCAAGTAATGGAATTCTGTCCTCACGGTACTCGAGCGGAATGTATGCGAGCGTTTACCACAACTAAGTCTGAAGAGGGAGAGGATAGTACATACTCGTGCAAGAAGCTGCACTTCAAGAAGATCATACAGGGACACACGGATGAGTCCCTTGGAGACTGCTCCTTCCTCAATACGTGTTTTCATATGGATAGTTGCAAGTATGTATTATAAAGAAACATAATTTCTTTACTCTTAAATGGATGGGCTATGTTTATTGTGTTTTATATTTAACTAGCGACCCGCCTTATGCAATGCTAATAATACAGTTCTCATTCGTTTTCGGAATTTTAAAGATTTAAGCATACATAGGGACTGAGAAAACGACTTTTTACTATAATACAGTTATATAATGATAGCATAATAAATAGCTCCATGTAGTGAGCACAAAAAAAACAACGGAAGATTGATTGCGGGGCACGCGCAAGAGAAGCACACTAGGTACCGCGGCCTCCGCTTCGGCCTGGAGCAGGAGAAGAAAGGGGGCGTTTTTAATTTTTTTAGTCAGTAAGAATCTGATACTCCCTAAGCGGGAAAAGTCCATTGATAATTTTACCCTCACAAAAATTATTTGAGACCTCTTTGATACCTCTACTCCTATTTGAGACCTCTTTCTTGACTATCGCACTAGAACAAAGAGATTCCATATTAGAGGGTGACTCCTTAAATTATTTTATAAATGTCATGTGAGTAATTTAATTTTGCAGATACGTACACTATGAAGTGGATAATTCTGACCCCAATGCTAACGCGCCGAAACCTCCAGAGACTGCACCTAAAGGGACACATAATGGTACTTATTACTTATTCATTTTATTTTTGGCAAAGTATTTAATAATTGTTGTCGTGATGGCTCGGAAGTTATGTCGCCCGCTCCTCATGCATGAGGGTTGGAAACCTGGCTAGTACCAATGTAACTTTTCATGACACCACTGTCATACGGTGAAGGAAACCATCGTGAGGAAACCCGGACTTATTATTTCTAATTATTAGTTTGAAATCGCCAATCCGCCTTGAGCGAGCGTGGTGATTAATGCTCAAACCTTCTCCGTGTGAAAAGAGGTTCTTGCTTAGTACTCATCATCATCAGCCTATAAGTACCCACTACTTATAGGCTGATGATGATGATTATTAAATAATTGAACTTAAGTTGATTTTTTTTTTTTTTTTTTTTTTTTTTTATTTCACATGCACATGACACCCAGACCCGGAACAACAATTTGTGGGTCACACAAAGAATTGCTGCATTCTGCCTTACTTTCTCGAAGGAAAAAACCTTTGACTCAATCTCTGTACAAAATCTTTATTTTCTTGGCCTATTGTAAGACTACAATTGCTTATTAAAGATTTCTTTATCAATAATTACGATCGAACTGCACGATTTGCGTAGAGGCTCCGCAACTAGCTGTCATGCAACATGCAGCGATTTTTAACACTGTGTAACACTGTGTGATCCTCAAATTGTTGTTCCGGGTCTGAGCGGTTTGTGTATGTGAATTTGTAGGTTTGCAAACGCACCTACGACACGTAGGAAAATACAAGTGTGGGGCAATGTTCTTTTAAAAAGAAATTTAAAGAAATCTTTTGCATTTCTTATTTGTCATAAATGTCACGGCTCTAAAGAAATCTACTGGTTATTCTATAAAGATATGTATGTTCTATTTTTCCTTTACAGGTGCAAGTGTGGTTAGCAAACCAGACGGTGTTTTAACACTGACGCCGCCGCAGTGGATACAGTGCGACCTCAGATACCTAGATATGACTTTCTTAGGTCAGTATTACTTTGTACTTACATATAAAAAATGACTGTTTCGCTATATCAATAATTGGGTAGTTTCCTAGATCAAACATAAATTAATTCGACGTTTCAATACAATAAAATATTGAAAAATAACTATATCGATATTCATCAATCGATCGATACACAAAATTTAGCTAATTATTAAGAAATAAGTACGATATTTTACGCAAAAATACTATGACGTCATAACTCAGTTTTCCATACAAATTTCATAGCAAAGTATCGTTTTTGACATTTGGATAAAAGTATTGAATTTGACTATTTGGAAACTACAGTAGTCTCGAAATATTATGACGAAAAAATTTCTTCTCTTAATGGGCAACCCGTTGGCATGCTTGTAGATCTTGCAAGTACCACCAAGTGGGAGACCACTTGCTACTACGTTATCACTTATTTTTATCTATTTTTTATTTCTCATTAGTATCATAGGAATAGGCTCATACCCTATTAATTATACACACAGGACTTGTATATCATAACTAATGAACAATGAAATAGTACCTTGAATGCTTACGCCCCGGCCGCCGCAATAGGCGACATTCCGGGCGCCGTGGATCGAGAGATGATCTCCGGCCACCGTAAGCGCGGGTCTGCGGACGGCGAGTAAGGGCAGCTCGCCGCCCGACCAGAACCAGGCCCGAGCGTACGGCGCGTAGCGTTCCGCGCGCGCCTCAAAGTGCCAATAGACCACCACAGACGGGGACATATAGGGCTGGTGTTCAGCCGAGGTTGCGGGGTAAGCGCAATGAGGCACCGCGACCTCGGCCCAGAGCAGGAGAAGGAACAAGGGGGTTTTTAGTCGTAAGAGTCTGACACTCCCTCCCGCCCGGCCCTGGGCGGGAGAAGTCATTAAATGAATTTCTCCTCACAAAAAAACCTTGAATGCTTGCTTAGCCTTTCGAAAATAAAAATCCCATAATGTTCTGTTATCCTCTAGGTAAGTTCGCGGTGATAATGGCTGACCCGCCATGGGATATCCACATGGAGTTACCGTACGGCACTATGTCGGACGACGAGATGCGATGTCTGGGCGTGCCGCAACTACAGGACAGCGGACTTATATTCCTATGGGTCACCGGCAGGTAAAATAATACTCATATAAATTCTCCTATGTAAATAAAATAGGCTTTTTCTATGAGAACTATGTGTTGTAACCAGAAATGTGTTGAGGTTGCATAGCACTAGTGAAAAGCTCTTTGGTACATTGCTAGGCAACTAACTGTTAGAAAAAATTTAATGTCACTCGTGAATAAAAAGAAGATCATGTCGAATGTGTGCAATATATAAAACTAAATAAATAAACAAATAATCTAAATATTTTGTAACCAAATAAACCTAAATTATCGCTATAAAGTGTCAGTGTTGTCATACTGGAGAAAACCCCTACTATCTAGCCGAAATCTAAAGTGGGAAATACATCGATCACGATTTGGTCTCCGGAGCTTCCAGATTGGTAAGAAAATAAGTAGACCACGTTTAATAGGTATTGGGACCCACCACCACTGGACGACTGAAAAGTGCCATGGATTTCTCAACGAAATTAGAGATCGGAAAACTAGAGGGCAAAAACAATTGGCAAACATGGAAGTACAAAATTTCAGTCATGCTTGAGGGTACGGAAGGTGCTTTAGAAGCAGTAGAAAATAGACTTCCAATGCCAGTTTTACCACCTGGTGCAGGAGATGCTGCTCAAAGCACTTATAATGCTGCAATGGCTAAATATAAGAGGACTCAAAGCGGTGCACTCCTGATGCTGACAACCAATATGACTGAAGAAACGTTAAAGAAGGTTATGCGTTACAAAACGGCACACGAAGTTTGGGCAGAACTGCATCGACTTTTTGATAGGCAGACAGAGGACAGGGCTTACAACTTGTGTCTTGAATTCTTTGGGCTAAAACGGGATCAAGAGGATGATATTCCTACACTTCTGTCAAAGCTAAAGAATTTATGGAACGACCTAGTAGTGGAGATCCAAAAAGTAGACGCAACAGCTAAGCTGCCTGATCTATTCCTTATCTGCAAGGTTTTACATACTCTGGATGACAGGTATTTTAATTTTAAGTCGAGCTGGTTAATGCTGAAGCAGTCTGAGAAAACGATCGACAGTCTTACGAGTCATCTCTGCGCATTTGAAAGAGATTTAGGTGGTCCAGAGAGCACCATCCAAAAGGAAGCACTGGTGACTACACCTGCAGAGCAAAAGAGTAAGCACAAGAAGGAGAGAAATGATCTGAAATGTAACTACTGTTCCGGTAAAGGACATAGAGTTAGACAGTGCAAGAAATGGATAAAGGATGGAAGACCACCAAAGCCAAGCACGTCACATTCAGACATTAAATCTAACCAAGTGCAGAACTTATCGCTGATGGTGAACGCGTGCACAGTTAATCAAATACAAGATAAAGAATCTTGGTATGTTGATAACGGAGCAACCACGCACATAGCCGTTTCAAGAAAGATGTTTACGGATTTTCGTGAATTCGATTCAAATCACACAGTAACTACAGCGGATGGGACTGTGATTCCTGCAGTTGAAATAGGTTCTATTAAAGTTGAATCCAAGGTCAACGAAACTAAAGTCCATATTACTCTTGAAGAAGTCTGGCTAGTACCATCACTCACAAAAAATCTCTTTTCACCGTTGGCGGCACAAGACAGAGCGCAGAACAGTATTTTTACATCAACGACAAAAAAATGCAAGTTGGAAATTGAAGGCATGACTAAAGTCGTTGGCAGGAGGATCCCAAAGGGAGGCCTTTACAAGTTGGACTTTAAAACGGTAATTCCAACAACACCGAGAGCTATACAGGTAAATGCTGTCACCGGTTCCAATATGCTGCAGCTCTATCATGAGCGTTTTGCACATCAGGACAAGCGGCATGTAATACGCGTCGTAAAACGTGAATTAGGCGTGAACCTCAAGCCTGATAATATTAAATGCGAAGGCTGCATATATGGGAAGTCCCAAAGACAGACCTTTGGAACCAGGGAAAGAGCTACTGTATGTGGAGAGCTAATCCATACAGATGTATGCGGTCCTTTTGCACCAAGCATAACTAAACTCCGGTACTACGTATTGTTCAAGGACGACTACTCAGGCTACCGTATGGTTTACTTCATACGTCAGAAGTCAGAAGTCAAGGACAAGTTGCTGCAGATGCTGAAAGAGGCAAAGAATGCTGGGCATAATGTGAAAACCTTGCTTAGTGACAACGGTGGCGAGTTTGATAATAAGGACGTCAAGAAAATACTACAGGATTTTGGTATACAGCACAGACTGACAATGCCTTACACACCGGAACAGAACGGGTGTAGTGAGCGTGAGAACCGAACCCTGGTAGAGGCCGCGAGAAGTATGATGCATGCAAGGAATGAGTTACCGCAAATTTTGTGGGCGGAATTGATTAATACCGCAGCGTATGTTCTGAATAGAACAGGCCCAAGTCGAGTGACAGACAAAGTTCCATACGAACTATGGCACGGGAAAAAACCTCGAATATCACACCTCAAGGTTATTGGTAGTGAATGTTATGCACATATCCCAAAGCAGAAGCGTAACAAAATGTCTAGGAAAGCCATGAAAGGCATTTTTATTGGCTATGAAAACGACGATGGATATCGTGTGTGGGACGGACATCAAACATTCAAATCCAGAGACATAACTTTTCAAAGTAATGTTGAATTCACATTACGGTTAGGGTCTGAGGATGCTACTGATACTACTGAGCAAGATGATGATGGAGAGTTTGTCGATGCTGAAGGGGAAGAGAATTTTCCGGCTGAAGGGGAACAGCAGCCTCTTGACATAGTTGAGCCTCTGAGAGTAGAGGTGCCTCGACTAGAAGGGGAAGAAGAGGAAATTGTAGTCGAGCCCCTGAGAGATGAGCCCCAGAGAGAAGAGGAACCTAGATATAACCTTAGAGACAGGTCAACTCTTGCTCCCCCTAAGAAGTTCGATGACTACGTCTGCTTTGTAGGCACAGAAAACTTTCCAGAGAGCTACCATGAAGCAATAAGTAGAACTGACGGTGCGGAATGGCGGAAAGCCATGGCCAGCGAGCTTCAGTCACTCAAGGAGAATAATGTATGGACACTGTGCGAGCTCCCGTCTAATAGAAAGGCGCTACCATGTAAATGGGTTTTTCGGATTAAACGACACCCAGATGGAAGCATAGACAAATATAAGGCGCGATTGGTCGTTAAAGGGTTCAGACAACGGAAAGGGCTAGATTATGAGGAGACATATAGTCCGGTAGCCAGGATGTCTACCATTAGAGCTCTTTTAAGCGTTGCTGCACAAGAGAAACTTCATTTAACACAATTTGACGTCGCGACAGCCTTTTTAAATGGGAAATTAGAGCAGGAAATATACATGTCACAACCTCCTGGCTTTTCTGATGGCTCTTCGAAAGTATGCAGGCTACAGAGGAGTCTATATGGCCTAAAGCAAGCTCCTCGTTGCTGGAACATGTGCATTGAAGACATTCTGTTGCAAAAAGGATTCACACAGAATGAAGCTGATTGTTGTCTCTTTACAAAGACAGAAGGGGGCAATAAGATTTTGTTGGCGTTGTACGTGGATGACGGACTCATGGCCACTACAAGCGAGGCTTTGGCAACTAAATTTTTGAAGGAGCTGGGACAAGCTGTCAAAATCACAAGCAAGCCGGCTTCGTATTACCTTGGCCTTGAAATAGAACGTTCCAAGGATGGATCTATATTTATAAGCCAACAAGCTTATACGCGGAAGATCCTCGAACGCTTCAATATGATTGACTGCAATCCCGTCTCTACACCAATCGAAACGGCGACTTCAGAAACAGGGAAAGCACCTGAGAAAAAGTTTCCTTATCGAGAGGCAGTAGGAGCCTTAGCATACCTGATGACAGGGACGCGCCCCGATATCGCGTATGCTGTTGGGGTAGTATCACGGAAGTTGGAGAATCCGACAGAAGCTGATTGGCTGAGAGTCAAGAGGATCTTCAGATACCTTAAAGGAACAATGTCCCATGGCATCAAATACAGTTCGGGTCCTTGCAAAGCTGTAATTCGAGGATATAGTGATGCAGATCACGGTGGTGATGAGCTTAGTGGACGCTCAACCACAGGCGTTATTTGTATGTATGCTGATGGAGTTGTTTCGTGGCTAAGCCAACGTCAAGCATCGGTCGCGATTTCAACAACCGAAGCGGAAATTGTGGCAGCGAGCGAAGGTGCACGAGAACTTGTGTGGCTTCAGAGGATCTATGCTCAACTTACAAGTTTGGCGGACATATCAACTTTAAGCGTGGATAATGAAGCAGCCATTCGCCTTGCCCACAATCCCGAATTTCATAAACGGACGAAACACATCCGAATACGTCACTTCTTTGTACGTGAAATTGTGCAAGAAGGTCTATTGAATGTGCAGAAAACTAGCTCCACAGAGCAATTGGCTGACCTTTTGACGAAGGCAGTACCAAGACCCAGACTCGTTAAACTGAGAGAGGATTTGGGTCTGCAAGATCTTTCCAACTAGTGAGGGAAAGTGTTGAGGTTGCATAGCACTAGTGAAAAGCTCTTTGGTACATTGCTAGGCAACTAACTGTTAGAAAAAATTTAATGTCACTCGTGAATAAAAAGAAGATCATGTCGAATGTGTGCAATATATAAAACTAAATAAATAAACAAATAATCTAAATATTTTGTAACCAAATAAACCTAAATTATCGCTATAAAGTGTCAGTGTTGTCATACTGGAGAAAACCCCTACTATCTAGCCGAAATCTAAAGTGGGAAATACATCGATCACGATTTGGTCTCCGGAGCTTCCAGATTGGTAAGAAAATAAGTAGACCACGTTTAATAAAATGTCTATTAAATTAAAAAATGTTTTGAGAACGTATTCATTTCCCGACTAGATTCGAGCCGCACATGAGCCCTAAACTTGAGCTGCGTGCACACAAAATTGATAGTAATTAAGTTACTGTAAATATAAAACAAAATTATAATTTAACCTTTCATTCATGATAATTAGAGACACAAAAGAAATATCATAACAGGTGCGCGAGCACCAGGGGTTTGCTTGGGGTTTGATGAATTAAAACTTTAAATCATTCGAATGAATGATTTAAAGTTTAGTTTTACAGTTGTGGAATCACAACTGTCATCATACAATACAAATGTTTTGATAAAGATGTAAATAAAACCAGATTATAAATGTATAAAATTAATCTATAAAATTATATCAATGTTTTTTTTTTCAGAGCAATGGAGTTAGGTCGTGAGTGCCTCAAGCTGTGGGGCTACGAGCGAGTGGACGAACTGATCTGGGTGAAAACAAACCAGCTGCAGCGGATCATACGCACCGGCCGCACGGGCCACTGGCTCAACCATGGCAAGGAGCACTGCTTGGTGAGTGCCTCGCTTTTAGGAGGGACTTGATGATAAATCAGTTAACTTCTCTCGGGGTGAGGCGAAAGGGAGTGCCCGACTTTTACTGACTTAAAACCACCCCCTTCTTCCTCCTGCTACGGACCGCAGTACAGTATGTTTTTTATAAGGCAAACGAGGAGACAGATATAAACCTGGTGGTAAGTATTCGGTGCCGCCCATGAATATCCATAACACCAAAAGAGTTACGAGTGCGTTGCCCTTCTTTTGGGGATTAGGGTTTCGGATATTTAATAATACGGTAGTTTCCAACTAATCAAATTCAATATGTTTATGTAAATATCAAAAACGATACTTATCTATGAAATTTGTATGAAAAACTGAGTTATGACTTCATAGTATTTTTGCGTCAAATAGCTTACTTATTTCTTAATAATTAGCCAAAAAATATACAAAACTTAGTGTATCGATCGATAGATGAATAAAAGTATAGTTATTTTTCAATACTATATTGTATTGAAACGTCGAATTTATTTATTTTTGACCTAGGAAACTACCCTATTGAGAGGGTAAGGGGCAGGATTGAGCCTCACTCGAAAAACAACGCTGTTGTTGTTTCACACCAGTTTTCGGATGTCATCCCCGTTATTTTCACAACGTACGTATAATATGTTTTTTTTTTTCATCTACATATTCACTTTCAGGTCGGAATGAAAGGCAGTCCGGAGAACTTGAACCGCGGTCTAGACTGTGACGTCATCGTAGCCGAGGTGCGCGCTACTTCACACAAACCCGACGAGATTTACGGCATTATCGGTGAGTCACGACTATAGATAAATATTTTACTAATATAAAGTATACGAAAGTAAGTGCACTTCAGAACATGCTAATAGGTTCACTAAGAGGACTAATCACACACTGACACTTTTATCTTTAAGCTTTGTTTGACGGTCAAAACTGCCTGTAATAATGTAAGGGTCTAATTGAAATAAACGATTTTGAATTTAAACATATGGGTGGATATTTGTTACTTTTTCAACTAAACACTGCTAAATGAATCGGAATATTTGGCACAGAAATAGATAGTCTAGAAAAACATATAACCTAGTTATAAATATATTTATTATAAAGTAAATGTTTAGTTTACTGTACATTACGTATTTTGTAATTTTATTTCAGAGAGGCTCAGTCCGGGGACAAGAAAAATAGAGCTGTTTGGTAGACCACACAATGTTCAACCTAATTGGTATGTATGACAGTGATACAGGCTTTTTTGAGGGATTTTTAATAATTGAATTATATATATGCCCTGGGTTTGTCAAGAAGAAGTACCAATCTCATTGACTAAAAACTATCCCAATCCTTCTGCTGCCCTGAGTATGTTTCTCCTCTCTTCTCAACATCTCAACTCTCTCTCAACTCTCCTGTCTTTTCAACATTTTGTTCTCTGCGTTGTTCTCACTTATGGGTACTTACAATAATGTGTATTTAATAATGTATTGGTAAATTTGTAAAAAATATACATATTAAAAAAAAAAGAGTAACGAAGGAGTTTCTTGCTCGTTCTTCTCCATTCGAATCTACATTTTAAAGCAAGCACTTAGCTTCAATTACGAACAGACTGTTTTGGCGTTTCAAAAGTACCTAGTTATGATTTAAGTATATAATTTGGATTCCGAATTCCATCGAAGCGACTAATGGTTATAATAATATTACTTGCAATATTTCCGTGATATATGACATAGTTAATCTGATTGTCATGAATCAGCTACTGATATTCATCAAGCTTTATTAATAATTTGGTTTTAAAAACTTTTCTATAAAAATCTTTCATTTCAGGATAACACTAGGCAACCAAGTGGACGGCGTCCGTTTAGTGGATCCGGATTTAATCGGAGCCTTCAAGAAACGTTACCCGGACGGTAACTGTATGGCTCCACCACCGCCAGACCCGGGTCTAGCGTAGTTAATACACGTAGCTAGTAGCGTAGTCATAGGATAAAAGGGCAACTTACCCAGTACATTGTCAATATACATTCAAACTTTATTATATTCACCATATCATCACATTTTCAGAACATATCGTCACATTTTCAGAACATATCGAGACGCGACGCTCTGATTACGACTTTATTTTCTTTACGACAAGATCCATTTTTATACGATGCGCTCTATGCTCAATTGTATTAGCCCCTTCCAATCCCATATCTCGGTGTACTGATCCTAATACCGCATTGTGCTTAAAAATAAGGAAAAAATCGTAAAATTCTAAACTATTCTTTCTCAAATCTTATAGTCAAAGGTACCTGCAAAATTCTAAAATGATGCCTTTTCACCCCTCCGTAATTGATTGCAGTTTATCCGGGATCTTTCGAGAAAATTCTACAACGTTGTGTAGCTAATGTTCTTTAGAATTTGACATGTTTGGGTAGGTTGCTCGTTGTTTCTACTATAAGATTAGACTAGGTACTGATTAAACTACCGAGCTTCATATAGATATTACATATGTACTCGTATCTAAGATACAGGACTACAGTAGCAGGGGTTTTAGGGTTCTTTCCCGTAAAAGAAAGATATTTTGTAATAAAACCTCATAACCTTTTGACCGCCATGGTCGGTTATAAGTAAACCACAAACGAAAAAAAGGCTATTTCGACAATGTTGAGCATAGCCCACCAGAAAACGTTACGGTAAAGCGATGGTAAATACAATTCGAGGGGTGAATAGACACAGAAAAGGGGTAAGTGATAATTATACACTAGGAAAATTCGCTAACGCCTATTCCTTTTATATGCCTATCTAAGTATTCTGCCCTCAAATTCTATTCAAACCGTTTTACCGTTAAGGGCTGATTTTTCAATGGTTAGGTAATCCTAACCATTGAGAAATCAGCCCTCAACGGTAAAACAGGATCATAATTATTCCCGACAGGATCATAAATAATTATGATCCTGTCGCGTCAGAATGTGTAAGACAGTGACAGCAACAATTTTATTCCACAGATAACATTTATCTGACTTGAAAAATCAGGCCTAATTTGGTTTGTCGGCTACGCAGACCATGGCGGTCGTTGAAGGGTTAAGCAAAGTTGTGCTATTATTGAAACATTTTTGTTCCTGCTATCTGTTCTTCATTCATTTGTCACTTCAAATGTTAGTTTTAAAAGGGTGTATTTTACCTACACATTTGCTAGGAGCTCTAAGCGACAAATATGGACAGTACTGTCATAAGGATAGTCAAAATATATCGAATTACACATCAAGGACTCGCCGCGTGTTATCGTCCATTTCTTATGCACTAAACTATGCACCAACCATCACATCAAACTATCCCAAACAATAGATTTTTAACCCTATAACAAAGCAATAAAGACCAATATTTCATGAATTTGTTTAGAGTAACTTGATGTGATGTCGATCAGTTTTCACTGACACGCAGCGATGCCTCGATGGATAGGCATCCAAAAAATGACAATTAAGAGCTATTTTCACTGTCCAATATAGAATTCACCAATTGTTCTCTGCTAAGCAGAGTTCATTTTCACGTTCATTTAGGTACTTGAATATTCTTCATTTACCTAAGTATTAGGTATAGGTTAGGTACCTACTACAAAATTGTACATAACATGTAAATATAATGTAAATAAATAAAACAATTTTATAACAAAGCAGTACTTTTATTACGTCAATACACAACACAATTTGAGTCAGCTGCGCCATGACGTGGTCAATAGAAGCTAGTCGTTTGCGGGCTTCGGCGGCCTTTCGGTGACATCGGCCGCGCAGGGTTGAAGAAACTTCTGGTTATTGGGCTCTGCTTCTCCCTGTTACCGCTAAAATGAAACCTTATTTTAAATAACTATAAAGACTAACGCCTGGTTCCTGAAAGGCTTGTCAACGCTAAAATTAACTAATCTCCTGTTAAATCTCTTGTCATCTGATTGGTTGTTGATAATTCAGTCAACCAATCAGATGACTTGACAAGAGATTAAATTGATTTTAACATTGATCGGCCTTTCGGAAACTGGGTGTAAGACTATAAAGACTAAGACTAGACAACTAGTCTCTTTATTCTCGGCCCTTAAATTAAGTATATGGACACCATCAGGACAATCTGCTGCTATGCAACGTTTTACAAGTTCGATTCACGGAATAGCTTTTGACCCGTGACACAGGAAATAACCTTAATGTGGAAAATATTCGCATAAAACTCCGCTCCTTTTAGTCTCCGAAGTGGAAAGAAGTGTGGCTTAGGTTTGCTGCACCCACTTTTCACCAATAGGTAGATGATAATAGTAATAGCACGGAAACCGGGAATTCTGTATAAGGAGCACCTAGGTTCACAAACGGACTATTATTCTATTTAATGTATGGAATCTTTTTTAACTTTGACTCTGGATCAGGGTCAAAGGATCATCTCTGGCACCCTGAATGTCATCCTGATAGTATTATAATGATATTCCTTATTCCATCGACGTCTTACCCCAGGGCAAAGGCCTCCCTCCACTTTATTCCTTGTATAACATTCATAAGATACGGCTTCCAAAGTACGATCAAGACTACGCACCTATAATCTTGATTAACATTCGGTTTTATCAAATTGGTCGTTCTAGAGTTTACGTTCTTGATACTAGGCTTCCTGGGCGGCTGACTGCATGAGAAAGATTGATAAGTTTTGATATACTTATACCTAAATAATATATATAATGAGGAAAATATATATATTCTATAACATAATACTATACTACATCCTTAACATATTTCAGAAAAATAGGTAAGTAATACATATAAATTGTTTAGGAATAGGAATAGAATCTATTATCTAATGTTGACTCACCTGACTTTCTCATGGGGCGTGTCATTTTTCTCTGTATTCATAGAATCACGCAATCTCCTTTGAAACTATAATATAAAGAGCGATTGTAAATGACTTATATTGCTAATAATACCCTGTACTTTTTTTTGTGAGGGGAAAATCATCAAATGGCTTCTCCCGCCCAGGGCTGGGCGGGAGGGAGTGTCAGACTCTTACTGACTAAAAACCCCCTTGTTCCTTCTCCTGCTCTGGGCCGAGGTCGCGGTGCCTCATTGCGCTTACCCTGCAACCCCGGCTACCCTGTATATTGATATATCGAAACTAGCCTATCACAGGATGGAAGTAACATGTAATTAATATATAAGTAACTATGTAACCATGCTTTTAGTCAATCTTATGGTCTCTAGTGTTATAATAAATAAGCTTATATGTAAAAAACACAATACATAGAAAAACTTCTGTACCTTGATACTGTTGAGCATATCTCCCTGCGTGGCTAGGGGTCGCTCATCGGAGCGCACAGAAGGGGCGCGGCGCGTCTTGGGCGCATCTCTAGTGGCGCCCAACGAGGCCGCGCCCAGTGACCCGTCCCGGCACATCGACACTGGGCCACCAACAATATTGCCAACAGAAAAAATAAAATACTATATACTCAGAGTAACAAGAGGTAACAAGAAAGCTCATGATTCTTTTTAGATTATTTCTTTATTTTGTGGTCATGTTAATTTAATCTTATCAAAAACAAAATGTTTAATATTATCTAAGTATAGGGTTTATGATGGGTACTAAAGGAATTTAGCCATTAAATTTAGAGCAAAATATACTAAAATCTGTTAAAAGTAAATAAAACAAGTAGCTTATTAAACCAACCGACAATCATACATTAGGGAAGCTTCATTTAAGTCCTAAATGTTGCCCTATGCTAGAGGTCTTTATAAAAACTAAAGTACAAAAATGCATTTCACATGCCTTACAAGTTGTCTAGTATAAAAATAAAACTAGAATAGATGAAAACAAAACCATTTATTTCTTCTAACTACTAAATCACATTGACCTAGATATTGCTAACAGCAACCTTTACATTAATATAAATATCTATTTTATTATAATGTACTGAACAATTACCTAACATGATGCACCAGAAATACATAAATTAATTCATAGAAATTTCATTGTTTCACAATACAGGTATTCTCACAAACTGTAGAATAACTATTAAGGTAGTTTTAAGTCAAATATAATTTATAAGTTTAAAACATATCCAGACTAATTGTAACTCACAAAATAATATACCTACACAGAATTCCTTAAATCGCATAGCGAATAATTCAAGAATTTGTTCTTAATAGACTGCATATAATAAGCACTAACATGTTGAGGTAATTATTTAGATGAATTTATTTAATAAAATGTCACTATATGTTCCCTAGACTGCTTCCTTAGCTTTCACATTTGCCTGAGTAGTGGAGGCATCCTCCTTCGATTTATTATCTTCTAATTCCTTAGTTTCAAGTTTGTACAACTGTTTTCTCATTTGAGCCGGTCCTGCAAACATTGCCGGTGACGTCTTAGTCTCTGGTATGTAAACCTCATATGTTTTGAAATACTTAAGTATACTTTGAACATCCTCCTCCTTCAATTTATATTCTAGAGCTATTTTAGCCGCCGTCACTTCCTCGGGATTGGCTTGGTGAGCTGCTATAAAGTTTATGGCAGCTCTAAGAGTAGTTTTCCCATATGGTATTCTCTCTGGCTCCTTGAAACCAAAGTCGTATTGTTCAGGCATTTTACGATCCTGTGGCAAAGGTCGCTTACTCTTACGCTGAGCCTGCTTTTCGCGAGTAATATCATCTTCAGGCCTTCCAATTGAGGTTACATAAACGTCTTTCAATCTTTTATCGAGCTCTTCATTTTTTTTATCCAGTTTATCGTCTATATTTGGATCCGCCTCTAATGTACGTTGCAAATCTGCTATATTTTCAGGGTATCTTGGAGCCGGGGTTGGTTTAGCTTTTCCAATCTCACGATGAGCGCGATTTTCGATGTTAAAGGTTTTTATCGGTCTCAAAGCTTTGGTCACTAAGGCACCCATCTCAGGTGGCAATAGAATAATTAGAATTATTTAAAATTAGGACAATTCACTAGGTAAACATTGTTTTATTATTGAGTATTCTGAATTGCATCATAAAGATTAGGTTATATTTTTAGTTTGTCAATTTTGACATTCCTGTTAGGTTGACAGTCATTTGATTCGCTTTTTAAAAATCTTGCCAGCCGTATTAACAAAAAGGAAGAAAAGGCCGGGGTTACGCAAGACGTGTAAAGTAAGATTTAAAAATTAAAATATTTTATTCTGCGATTGACCCTTTGAAATAATAAATCCATTGTCATTCTATATCAAACATTAATACAACAAGATTAAACAAAACTAACCAAGAACAAACTTAGCAACTTACATTTTAGCTTAGAGAACACATCTTTCAACGCTGATTTAGAAGCATATTTCACTAAAAACTTCTCTGTTGGTGAAGGTGTATTTGTGGCCCGGGACTGATCATTGGTTATACGAACAGGAGGACTTGGACTCCGTCCAAGTCTTCTTCGTGTTTGCGCCTGTCCCGGCGTTTTAGGTCCTGTTTATTTTATTATGCTGCATTAGTATATAACTAAATCATTAGGTGATATTTTTACCAGTTTGTCTACGTACTTTAAGTATTAAAAGTAATAGTTATGTTATGATCCCTTATTAAAATGGCCTTGTTAAATAATTTGCTTTGGCAATTCGCACCTGTGCTGTAAGATGATGGAGTAACATGCGCTCCTGTACCAGTCACAGGTGAACTCAATAAAGCTTGATTTTGTAGTCGGCTCGCATAATGTGAATAATGCGGAGTTACGGTTACTGTCGAATTTAACTGTTTTTCTCTCTCCGTGTTATAAATACTGCTTCGCATCAAGTAGTTCTGAAAGTTAAATATTTATTTTTGGTGTTTGTTTAGAAATATACGTCATGTCTGTCTTTCCGTTCATCCGTATGTCATATATGTATTATTCTGTAAACAGCAAAAATATTTTCGCACAGGAAAAAAATGTAATACATTTTGGGGGGTCCTTTATCATTAATCGTATTCGTGGAGGATAAAATAATATCAAAGTATATGTATATGTATAAGAATTAAGATTCACCCTGGCGTCGTTAACACTTTTGATAACTGGAGCTTGGCTAGTACGAAAAGTCGTCATCGGGGTGTATCCACGCATATTTTTAATGTTCGGCTCCTAAAATTAAAACATAGAGTAATTCGTTTATTGATTTCAAATTAGATATTATGCAAGATGCGAAACTTTTAACAACACTTACCTTAACACTAGGCTTAATACTTTCTCTTGGCATCTGCGAACATGTTACAGAGTTCCGAGATGGCGGTCGACTAGCTCTAGGATCGCCTGCACCACTGCTACGACGCGATACATTATTGATTGAGTCATATGGATCTCTACAGTAATTACAACTTCATTAGAAAAAAGGAAAGAAAGAATAACTAAAAATACAATAGACATTTTGACAAATTGAACCTATTTGTTTTCCATCACACACTTCTATGGATTGTTTGTCACTCACACGACTATCCATCTTTACAAGAGTTTCTAAAATTATATCCTCTTAAAAAAACTATGTTTTATTAATTAACCCGAAAACTTTAATAACATAATGTCTCACCTTCTATACACCTTTTGTTGATTAGTGTTTATATTTTGCATTTTCACGTGCCAGTCATACTCCTTCTCCTGCGTCTTGTTAAAAGCTGAAATCAAAACCGACATAAACCGTTAAATTAAATATTTTTCTATGATTTCACAACTTTGCACATCAATTATGATAACATACAAACCCCATCTATTACACTGCATAAGCCAGTGCCATTAAAAAATCGAGGACTGGCTTTTGTGCAACGCACCGCCAACATCCACAAACTATCGTTAACTTTTCCAATACATGACTGGCAACACACGTATTTTTTCCAAAAATTACGTCTTGCTGAGCGCCGATCACTCTCATACTCATCACATTCTTCGGCTAATTCAGTACTTCTAATAACACATCCTTTCAGTTGAGTCGTTTTTGTTGGCACTGCGGTTAAATCGCATGCCGTTATGAATATTTCGTCTTCATCAAGCTCCAATTTATCTAAGTTGGACGTAAAATGAAAAATGTTTCATTTGATGCTAGTCTACCGATATTTAATTCCGTGTGTGCGTATTTAAAATAACACTGTTTACAATTTAAATGTGTTTTAAATTGACGGTGCGTTGCGTTTAACTTTGCTGGAATAAAAGCGAATGGCACAAACAGTGTTACTTTAAACAGAACAACGAACTCTGCGGTAATTTATCATTTAAGGATAAGAAAACAAAATTTTACGGTAAAAATAACACTGTTTGGATGAATCATATAGGTAGTACATCTTGAAAGGTATATTAAATTTTTAAGATATATATTAGAAGCAAAAGATTAATGGATCAATTAACGATTACCATCTTTTATTCGGGAATTCTGTGGCCTTACTGGACTTGCTGCTTCCGATCGCATTTGCTTCGGCATTGGAGGTGGTGGTGAAAGCGACTTTTGAAAAACTAGAGGCCGCTGTTTCAGGGTTTTTTCAGCGATTGAATAAACGCCGAATTCATGCAATGGAAACTTTTCAGTGTCCTGATAGATACGTTGTCTGTCAAAAACTTTATTAATTTCAATTTCAACTAGCTAATTCTCAATATTAAATTTGAAATATAACTTTATAAAAATCACGCGACTATTTCACTTTCATAAATTGTGGATTTCGAGATGGTAACAATCCTATGATCATACATAATTTTCACCTATTTACCTATAAATGTTTCCATGCTTCATCAACCATGGCTCTAGTTCCTCCAACCAGCCCTTTGAAAAGAAATGAATAAGGTTATACACTTTTTTGTATGTTTATAGTTTATAGATCTAATTTATGTGATAAATATGAACCTGCTGATGCCCTATGACGGATCCTGGTCGGCAAATTCTCATCCAACCAATGGCTTCGTGTGACGTCATCCGATAATGTTTGATTAAGTAACATCCAATCAACGAACCCGTGCGCCCTAGACCTGCCTGAACAAGTTCTTCATCAGAAACAGCAAATAAACATATTAAATGTAATAATTTCGCTCAAATAGACTAAATTCGTAACCTTGCAATGCACAGCAATTGCACAACTTGCTTCTTCACTAATCTGAAGGAATTTAAATAGGACACGTCGCCTTGGACAGGAACCGTCAGGAAAGAATAGATCATAGTGAATTATACCCACGTCATTGAATCTAAAACAAAACAAAAACACTTCAGAATGCAGAGAATCGGGTAGTGCTCACTTTACATAAAGTATAAGTATTTACAGTTAGTCAGTCCTCAACTTGATTAAAATCTATATAAAACCTAATGAGGTTAAACTTACACATTGCCATCATATAGTCTTTTATTCAACCGAATAACTACTTTAACATTATTTTCCAAAAAGTAGTTTATGTACAATTCAGGCGGATGAAAAAGCGATACACTGTAGTCAACTGGACCAATAAAAGCTAAAAATTTTCCTGAAAATATTAAGGTAAAATACATAATTGAAAAGTCGCAGACTATAATAATATTACAAACTTCCAGTTGTTTTAGTATCATAATTTTACCGGGCACAATCCAATTTAAATCTCCACCCTGGATTTTTCCTAGTCTTTCATATTCTTCACAGTTAAAATCTTGAAAGTTAAAGAAACCTAGTTCGCGAGCTTTCTTTATAGCTTGTAAGCAATCCATTAGTGATATCGTGTAAGAAGATTCACCTTGCGTTGCGTCTTGGAATGGTCTGCAATATGTTCGAAATGTATTAGTAGCTGTCTACAGAAAATTAACAAATTAATTTACCATATAATATACCTGTAGCTCTGTCCATGGGCCAACAACGGCTTCAAAGCATCTCTTGGTGTTAAACTCAAATACAAAACACCGTAACATCCTAGCAGAAATGCTGAATTAGCTTTCTTTTTCGGATCGATAGAAGTGTAATGTACGATTATTTGCTTATTTAAATACTGTTTGAGTTTTTCATTTAATATTCTACAATATTTATACACACAACCAAGATTTAAAGGCCCGAAGTCTGAATAGTAATTTTCGTACACTAAATCGTTATCTATGCAAAAGTAATGAGTATCAACGGTATTCTTAAGTGTTTTTCCTTGTCTTACTGTTGCAAAATATAATGCATTTTTTATATATTCTGCCATAAACAATATATCAGGACTTCGATTCATCATTCCAATAACAATGATACGTAACTTAATTGGTAAAACATCTCTAACATAGAAAAATACTCATATTTTATAACTAAATACAATATACAGTTTGTATAATAAATCACTAAAACACTACGATTTCACAACACAAACATATTTATAAAGAAATTTCAAAATAAAATAAAATTATTGCTACAAAATTCAAATGACAGTGGCGTTGGCACTCTTTTGTTTTAAACTTGCCGCAGATGGTTGTAGGTAATTTTGTAAGTTGCCAGGGTTGTTTAAAACTTTATTCACAATTAAACATAACAAAAATAAATAATTAAATAAGTAACATGCACATTAATGACGATAACTATTTATTTAAATTATGTTTGAAAGTATTAATACTTTCAAACATTTATGTTTTCAAAAAACTTGGAATCAATATTGCCAACACAAAAAAACATTATCATACTCAAAAATGATTTTGACAGCACTAGTCTTTTTCCGGTACGCAAGGTAAATTGTCAAACGTTTTGTGTTCGCTTTCTCTGAATCTTGAATTATTTTCTCAATCTTTTGACTTATAATGGCTACAGTGTATTTAAAATCATGTTGGTGTATCGCTCAATCTATAATATTTGCTATTTCAGGTCGTCTAATCACAAGAAACCATGGCTGATGTCGAAGTGTAAGTACTTATAAAATTTTGCCGTTCTCATCAAATTTATGTGTTTTAAATTTTAATTCTCTCAATAAATTGTGTTAAAGATTACAAATCTGGTTAATTTGTGAACTTAATTGCATAATATCGCCAATTTAATCTGTAAACATGTTGTCAACATAACCTTCAAAACATTCTGTTTCAATGACTGATTCGTTCATGAAAGTCCCGAACTATCATTAATTTTCGACGTTTTTATTGTTTAAACAAACCCACAATGGTGTGTTTATTGATTATACGTCTAAATGTGACTTCAATTCAACAGTGAAGTGCCCGCCAACCCCGTCTTGAGCGGAGGTGCTATGGACGTGAACACAGCCCTGCAGGAGGTTCTGAAGACGGCCCTTATCCACGGAGGACTCGTCCATGGACTCCACGAGGCCGCTAAGGCTCTTGACAAGTAAGTTAATTCACTAAAATATTCCTTAGTTGGTCTCTTTCAGTGTTATCATTCGATTTGTATTTGGATTGAAGACTTATGGCACTTATTTACCTATATATTGAGTTAAAACGGTCAGTGAATATCCTTAGAACTATGATATCATTGAATTTAAGTTGATTGTAGTGAAACTTGTCATGTTGCCTTGGATTCGTGAATCTCAACCATGTGATTATTTCTCTTTGTGATTTGTTGAAACATAAACAGTGTGTGCAATTGTCTGTTTGAACAGGCAAGGCTATCTATTGGATTGATTTGAATAAAACACTGTGTTAAAGCCTGAGCTATACTTATACTAGTAGGTAAAATTTGTTTTGGATATTGACACTGAAGAAATTTGCCATCAAATTTGAAATCATTTCACTATATAGTTAGATAAAGTTGTGGGCAGATAATATAACAAGCTGTACATGCTGCAAAGTTATGTTAATGAAGGTTTCTAGATATACAGTTTCAAGTTTGAAAGAGATTAAGTAAGCAACCCTTAACATAATGCAGGTCGCATTGGAACTACAAACAATATTCACTAAGCATGGGGCTGTTCTAGTCTCATGCTTTGTGGAAATATCTCATGCTCGTCCAGTTGTGTGGGATACACTCTGATGCGTAGAGAAATGCACATTCATAGTACCACATTGTTTTGATGCTCAGCATTGTGGCCTCCCATATGTGCTACATTTTTGTTTTAAACAAATAAGAGTGATTGGTTGTGTTTGTAACATAGGTATATTAAGTGTATTCAGCATCTGAAGCAGAACAGAAGTGTCAATTGAGATAAAAAAATGTAGAAATTATCTTGTATGCCATTTTCAACTATAATTATTTCAATCTTATATGTATTAGTAAATAGCATGTGTTTATCACTTCTTTAAACTTAAAATTTCAATCCTTATAATAGGAGGCAAGCTGTCCTTTGTGTGCTTGCTGAGAACTGTGACGAGGCTGCCTACAAGAAGCTTGTCCAGGCTCTCTGCAACGAACACCAGATCCCACTTGTGAAGGTAAATATATCTAAATGTAGATTGTTTTGTATATGCTATACCTATAGCTAAGGTGAATTTAGTCTTGTACTTGAAACCACAATGATGAAATAAGTTAGAGTAAAAGCTTTTTACTTAGGGCTGATTTTTCAACTGACATACATTTAATCTAGCATTTTATAAAATCAAAATGTAATTCTCTATTTGTCAGAAGTTTACAATGAATTTCCTTGTTTTCGTTATATATGCGCTCCGCACGAGCGAGCCCGGTTCTATATCGGTTTCGCAAAAGGAGCGCACAGTAAACCGTGTGCCCCTATGGTGACTCTCAACCTGACGAGTCAACTTTCCTAGCACCCGAACATTTATACTACAATCTTTAATTTGAAGAAATTATTCCAGACATGCATAGTATTTATTTTATAATCTGTCTCCTTCAGGTCGACAACAACAAGAAGCTCGGTGAATGGGCCGGACTTTGCAAAATCGACAAAGACGGCAAGGCCAGGAAAATCGTTGGATGCTCTTGCGTAGTTATCAAGGTATGTTGATAAAAACAGAAAACCTAGAATTGTAGTTTCTTTAATTAAAGTACATATTTTATAAAGTATCCATTTTTGCCATATCCTTCAAGGAGACACAGTAACGGAGAAAGTCCACTTGTATATACAAGAATTTAAGTATTAATTAATTAAAATGATTTTAATATTTGAATATTGCGCTCAGCACGAACACTAGCAACATATATCGTTGTTAGTGACGAAATACAAGCGCTACATTAACTTAAGTGACCCTATGGTGCCGCGCCACTTGCACGGGCAACTTTCCTATCACTCATACAAATATTTTTCTATCAAATAAATAGTTCGAATACAGTAGAAATTACCTGTTTTTGTTTGAATTTGGAAATTCAAAATCTAATCAAACTCTTTTGTTACCCAGGACTTTGGTGAGGAGACACCAGCGTTGGACGTGCTCAAAGACTACCTGAAGTCTTCAAGCTAATCATCCACCTAGTGCTTAAGTTATAAAATAAAAATTCAAAAAAACTAATTCATTTCTTTGATTTCAGTAATTTGGAAATAAAAACACTAAATAATGCTAAAATAAATTAATATTTATTAGACTAGACATTAAATGTGACATAATTATCATTCCAATTCAAAATAAGCTAGGAATCAAAACAAAACATCTTAAACACAGTTTAGAAAACAATAACTTTAAACACATAGTTTGGAAAACTGATCGCATATCTCCTTGTGCTTTGGCCATTGTTGAACTTGGCATTCTCTGGAACAAGGGAAAGACAAATACTAGGTATTTCATAATTTTATATTAATATTGCAAAGAAACAAGAAACGTAAGAACTATGGTAAAAAAACAGCAGAGGATTTTTGGGATCTCTATAATATGAGAACTAGAAGATGATTTAAATCGTTATCCTCACCTGCCACAATACCACTCGGTCTTGCATCTAGAGCACTTCTTTGAAGCTTTGTCTCCACATTTGGCACACTTCGCGCCGCCACTATCCAATGCAAGCGCTGCGTCGCTAGTGTACGACTCCAAAAGCTTCTTAGCCATATTCCTCGATTCTTCGGACCCATCCATGTGGAATAACTCCAGTTGGGACTTAGCGAGAGTCTTGGTTCGTTTGTGCACTTGTTTTAGATAGCCATCTTTAATCTGTAAAAGAAGTCTTAACACTATACTTTTCTTATAAAACTCGAACGTGGAATTTCAAGCACAGGACATGAAGTCAATATTGACAAGAGTGCTTGCTATTTTATGACCTTGACATAATTTCCTGTTGCGATTAAAATTAACGATATCTTACAGTTTTATGTATCGACAATCAACGAGTACGCAGTCTACACTGCCCATGGAACTCCTAACGGAGGAATTGAAGAGTAGAAGATGGTTTTGAAGATTAGGGATTGGGGGAGGGGCAGGATGGGGCCTCCGGTAACCTCACACGGCGAAACAAAAACCGATCCATTCGTGCCAAAGCATGGCTCTCGCCTCTCCCACACTTATCTATTACTTAAGTAAATAAGTAACTAAAATAAATATGAGACCTGTGGAACCATCTCGATGAGAGTGCATCCAGGATTCTTGACCCCATTAGTTCGATTGTGGAGACTGGAGTAGTCGCCTACAGCCAGCTGGCAGAGGAACCTCTTCAGGTCGCCCAGAGGCGGGATCTGGTCCAACATGGGTTCTGTCATCTTGGCTTGCAGCTAGATAATAGTAAAAACAAAAATGTTTGTATTTTGTAAACATGTTGACGCATCATGAAAATAAACAAACCAGATACGTTTAAGGCATCAAGATATGGTGAGTACCTACATATACTAGAACTTTGCACAGAAAACAATATTGTGTAGAAAGCCAAACATTACAGCACCCGTTAAATAAACCTTTCAAAATTAAGTAAAGCGGGGTGAATAGATACTAGGAAAATTCGCCAATTAAATTCACCCCTTTCGTGTATCTCTTCACCCTGTTTAATAATAGATAATTACAATCCTTCAGCTACGGTTAATGCTCTGTTACTATCCATAAATAGTATAAAACAATATAATAAGTTAGATACCCGGCAGAACGCATTGCGGCGGCACTCGTCGATGGTGTAGTAGTGAGACAGGCGCGGCTCCAGCAATAGTTGTCGCACACACAGCCAGAGCTGAGCCTCCGTGCGGTGCAGCTGAGACAAGTCCTCCGCTGAAGGCTTGCTCCAACGACCGTCTGTGATTTAAAATATGTGTGAGAAATACTTATTTAGATTGACAGACTATTTCTTTGCTGCCAGGTCAGTCTATCAATGATTAGGTAAGTACAAATACTTATAAGTATTAATCAAGGTTTAAAATGTAAAAACAAAATACGTAATTAGGTACTAAATCACCATTACCTACGTCTTTAATCCGCAATGAAGTGATATTAACCTCTTTGTACTCATGGAGTAGGTACCTTCATTATTTATTTATGGCTAGAACTCGACCTGTTTTGCGGGGCTAGCGCAATAAGGTACCGAGGTTTCGGCTGAAAACAGGAGAAAGAACGGGGGAGGGAGGTTATTAAGTCTACGGGTAGATATTTACTTACAGTTAAAAGTTTGCAGTTCCCCCTTTTCGTTCCTCCTCATCCAGGGCTCATGGAGCAGGAGATGCGTCAGCAGCGAAGGCACGTCATGCGTCTTGTACAAGTTCGTGGAAATAGATGCGCCTGCACCGCCCACTTCCATATGCTCAGCTATGTAGCTGGAGTTATTTTAGTTTTTAAAGTTAAATCATTCGTAGAATATTACATATTTCTTAACTTGCCCTGGATAGTATGCAAGTTCTCCTGAAAACTCATATGTCGTCATCTACTTTTTGATCATTTTGTAATCTTTTTGGCCATTTTCGCTGAAAAGGCTCTGAGTAAATTAAAACTAAGGTTTTGCTACTTTATTTTAAGGGCACGGAGTTCAATCATCAGCAATACTTATAGAATTCTTGTCGGTGTACTTAGGTATCAGAAAAATGGGAAATGGTACTTATATGTATACACAAATAGCTTCCGCACGAGGCTTCGCACGCGTATAAAAGTAATGTATACGGGGATTTAAAAACCATAAGCGATAACTTGACTGAAATACGCAAATTAGTATTATTTATAGCCTATAGCACTCATGAACATAATAGCTATGTATTAGTGAATGAATTTTGCTAATCTGACCAGCAGTTCCAGAGATTACCCTACATACAATCTTAATTTTACCTCTTTATAATATAAGTATTCTTAGATTATTGTCTCACCGCACGATAGAGATGCATCGCATGCTAATGTCAAACTGCAGGTCCCGTTTCTGTCGCTCCAGTTCCTCAATGGCTGTCTCGCATTCCAACTCCTTGGTAGTTATTGGCTTCAGCTGCCCATTACTGAGTGGAACCAAAAGTTATACAAAAAATGTAATAGGATGATGTCTTATTTCGTTGGTCTACGGAGTAGGTTCGAGCTCTTCATTATGAGACAGGAGACATCCACTATTGAACAGATGCAAAAGCTCGTTTTTGAAAAATTATGAGTGGATAATAACCGATTTAGGTATCAACTCCCAGATTTTTTTTAATTTGCCGCCCATTTGCATTTGCACCCGCAATAACGGAGTAGTTACGTGGTAGTGAGTGGGTTGCCAACCTTTTGGAGTTTTAGGGAGGGAACCTCGCTCACCCGGCCCACAAAGCTGTGGTTGTTTGACGCCGGTTTTCTCTGAGGTGAGTGAGTAAGTGACAAAAAATTTAAAGCGAAATATATTATTTTTCTTTTCGGTAGCAACCGAGTCCAAGATTCCAGTACATACATACCTACCTACGTCCCTATCTTAACGGCTACCTACATAATGTGTAATGCTACATACTCATAAGGAGAATTAAGTACACAGCTACGGCTTGTAAGTACCTATACTATAACTTACTTGATGAGAGCCAACAAAACAGTAAGCTGGTCAACGGCGTAGTTCAGCAGGTCTATAACCACCTCGCTGATACATTGCGCGCCATCCTCGTGGAACAACACTGTCTCCAACAGTCCAACAGTGGCTGCTTCATGGTATAGCTGCACGAAATGTTTATTTAGAAGCATTCTGAAATTTGCTAGAAAACCTACTCCCGTGAATTCCATTGATTCTCAACTTCATTGAAGTAGTATAGATAATGCCAGAATAAGGTTTAGAGTTAGGCCTTAGTTCTGGTGTAAAGAAGTCACCTGAAGACCTCTCTAAGTGGGGCGAGATTGTCAGAAAACTCCCATCCCTAAGTGGCTGGGGGCCGCGGTATCAGATTGCGCTTGATCCGCACTACTTATATTTTGCATTGCAGCGTAAATAAGAGTTTTGAATAACGAATAGCAGACCCTAGTTACACTTTTTCTGAATGACCATTTAAAAAAATAGACTCACCACCATATAAACGCCGAAGGTGTTTTCCGGTGCTGGTTCCAACTTAATTATCTGTGGATAGATCTTCGTGCGCCATACTTGTATGCATATTGCTTCATAAACTAACACTGGCAGCTGAAAGAGTCACGTTATCATGTAGGTACCTAAGTTAGGTAAATTTAGCAGAACAGACTGAATTCTTGCTCATACTGCGGCGGCGTCGATTGCTTACCATGAGGTAATTCGGCAACTCGTTTGCCGTCCTATCAGGGGAAAAAACCATTTGCATCGTGGGCATTTAAAATCCAACTTGGTAAGCATAATGGTTGTAAACATTGATATGTTACGAGCAATCACTGCGTGTGCCTTTTTATACGTAGACTTTATTCCTTAAGCAGACTCAGGTGTTAGAGTTGAGTAAGCCTTTTATACCTAACAGAAGGCGAGCGTATTGCCAATACATTGCAATTTACCTTCCCAGAAGAAATTAAGGTTTCTTTAGTGCGTTCCTCCATCATTGAAGAAGCCTCCAACACTGCTTGCTGATTTAGTTTCTGTAACCGAATGTGCCAGTCTACCCATCTGGAAAGATAAAGGAATTAAATATCTAAATGTTCAAAATAAATAAAATCTAAGTATGTTGTTTATGGCGAAATTATTATTATTATTGTCCAAACAATTAATTTTATTGAATGCACGGTTGGCGCAACTGGCTGTGGATGGGCAGCTGGCTGCCGAGCAACGTGTCGCGGGTTTTTGCGAATTTGTATGTTTGTAAATGGACTAGCGACACAAGGTGCCGTAAAAATCAGACAGTATTAGACTTACCCCTGATTTCCTATGCAGTCTATGCGCGATGGTTCCATACTGTCGACATATAAATCTAGCTCCCCCACATTTAGGGCACTTAGTTGAGCGTCTTTTATATCACCCATTTTGTCTTAGAACAAAAAGTGTTACGAATTAAAATGTAAAAACTTAAACAAACGTCGAATTATTTGCTAAATTTCAGTTTGTTTATAATGTTACTAGGATACTAGGAAAACGTTAGTTCAATAGTTTCAATTTTTGTAAATACGCGGCACCGGAAGTCAGTAAATGCACCTACTCGTTCCCTATCCTCGTGGTCTATGAAACTTTTTGTCTAGAAATAACAAAAAGGTTTTAGAAGTTTTGATTTTGTATTTTTATTTCTAAGTTGACCGCCACGGTCGACTGTTACAGAAGATGCTAAATATTTGTACTATTTTCTTTATATTGGACAAGAAATATGTTTTGTTTCCTGTATATAGACCGAGCCTGTACCTAACGGTTAAGTACAACTACTTTTATTTACCGGCTTCATTATATGAAAATCACACTATTAAAGTCATAGAAAAGCCAAATATAACTCATAATGCTAATGCTAGGGCCACACTGACGGGAAATGCCAATAATTATCGCGATAATTGATGATATTAACTAATGCAAAATAAACCTTAAGTCATTTTATTAGTGATCAAATCACACCTACAATTAACGTCCGTCGTCGTCGTCGATAATGAATGGCATTTCCCATTAGTGTAGCCTAAGTATATTGAACAAGACTTAGTGTTACTACATTAAAAAACTAAATTAAAATGGCGACTGGCGGAAGTCTATTTTTTGTCTTTCTTTTGATAATTTGACACACGTGCCGCGTGGAGTTTTGCCCCGCAGGTTGTTAAAAAATAATATATTTATTAGTATTTAAGTGCTAAAACACACGGTAATTTAATAAGAATTGCAACTGCAGTGTTATTATAATAAAATGTTTAGTGAATTTTGTGAAATGTGTTGATAAATGTGAATGGGTAGTACGGTGTCATGCCGCCACACCAAATGCGTTTGTTTTTTACTTGTACAGAATCTATCCCAGCATTTTAATCATTTGAACAGATTTAAACCTTGTTAATTTGTAGGTCGGTTCGAGCTTATAAACATATTTGACCAAAAATAAGTTCAAAAGTTCATGCAACACGACCTAACCTCTACGTCAATAAAGTGTGGTTTGGCATAGAAATTATATACTTACTTCTGATAAATACCAAGTTTTCAATTTTGGTTATTGACTGGCTCAATTTCTATCAAAAGAGTTTTCCATGACTTGAATCCATGGACACATGCGAACAACATATTTCTCAGAATTCATTGTTTAAAAAAATGTTATTACCTGATACGCAAGTATCTGGTTTAGCTGCTATAATAATTAATTTCCCAAGTTAATGTAATATCACTTCAAGCATTGAAGCTTAACAATGAAATGGAAAACAGAGGACTAAGAACATTGTTTTTGAGCTGCATGGTTCAAACAATATTGTCCAGATCATCTCAAATTTTTCACTGGAAACATCTTTAACCTATCATTAGCTTTACAGACTAGCAAGAAAATAGCAGTACAAAACCAGTACATATCAAATATTTCTAGAAACAATTACTCAAAATCTGATAAGTGTTTATATTTCCAGCACGATGGTTGCGACTACAGACAAGAAGGCTCCGGCCGAGAAAAAGCCAGTGAAGGGCAAGGAGGACAGCAAGAAGCTGCCCGCCGTCCCTGAGTCAGTGCTCAAGCACCGCAAGCGAAGGGAAGCTCTCCGCACTCGTCGCCTGCAGGTATATCAACATAACCTCTCAGGATCTATTAATGATTTTGTTGCGAGAGCATGTTTGGCTGATATTCAAGTTTTATATGATAAAGGGTAGAATGTGACTTCATTACCAACTCCCAAATACTTCAGAAAATAACCACTTAACTATAAACTAAAAAATAAATAAAAAGAAACTAAGATACATCTTCTTGAATAATATTGCTAAGGATGATTGCTCATCAACACAAAAATTATTGCGTGGAGATATTTGTATAAACTAAACATACAAAAAGTTTTTAGTTAGTTTTCTGTAATAGAGTCCATCAAAATAAGGCCTTGATTTATCCTAGCACTAATATCTTGTTAAAAACAAACACTTAAAGTTATGTTTATAATCATCACTAGGTCACCCTCAAGAGGCGTTCATCAGCCATCAAGAAGAGGAAGGAGATCTTCAAGAGGGCTGAACAGTATGTTAAGGAATACCGCATCAGGGAGCGAGATGAGATCAGGCTAGCCAGACAGGTAAATTAAGCAATATTATGTTTGATATTTTAGCTATATTATGTTTCATTTTCATTTAGCGCATTAAAATGTCATACAAATGCAATGTTCTATGTTGAAGTTAGAGTGATGTTTTTATTTATAAACTAATTTTAAGATTGATTTGAAATGAGGTAAACCGATAAGATGCGGAGAATTGGAGTGGTATTAACTTTTTTATGGTATATGTCAGCAAATGAGCACAGCTTACCTGGTGATAAGAAATGGATGGACTCTCCATGCATATTATACACTAGTAGTAATACTAAAGGAGTTATAGTGCGTTCTGCCAGTTTGTTTCTGGCTTCTTGACTTCTTGTATGTTAATAGGGACCTAAGGAAATAGGGGCGGGGGGAGGATTGTGATCTCTTGTAACTTCACTCACGAAACATAGTGAGTGTTGTAAGTGTTGTTTCAGGCTATTCTGTGATGCTGTGGTATCACTATGGGCTATCTCAATGCTATAAATGTCAATGTCTCAAATAAATTTATTTTTATTATAAATTTATAAAAAAAGTTGAGATTCAAGATGGAAATGTTGCAGCTGTACAAAGTTTTACAGCAGTTGGTGTAGGGCACAGACTATGATATCATATCCATTTAGAGGGATCAAAAGAGGCCTAGCTTTATGGTAGAAATTGAACTGATTCACTTCATGGTCCTGGTGCAAATGCAATAATGTGTGTATGTAACATGAAGCATGAGAACAGGGTGGTTTTGAGTCACTAAGGGTGACGCTCCCTCTCGCCTCATCCAGGGCAGAAGAACTAACCTAATGATATACTCACTCAGGCGAAAAGTAGTGACTCATGGGCCATGGGCTGTATTTTTGCCTATAATTTTGTTACATTGAAACACAGTCAATAACAAAAATAACTTTACAAGTACTCTTTTATTACAGGCTCGCAACCGCGGCAACTACTACGTACCTGGTGAAGCTAAGCTCGCCTTCGTGATCCGTATCCGTGGTATCAACCAGGTCTCACCTAAGGTAAATATTGTGTTTTTGTTGTTTGATGTGCTGAAGTATTATTGTACAAAAGCTGATTCACTTTTAAAATTGTCTAGATATTGTATGATGAAACTGTGTATACATTCATATGGAGGTTCTGATGATGTGGCCCATCTCCTTTTTTATATCTAGGGCCTTTTTTATGTGTGTATATAACGAGCAGATGGATTATCTGATGGTAAGCAATCGGCGCCGCTCATGGACACTCGCAATACAGGAAGTATTAACGAGTGCGTGCCCTATCGTGGGTTGTTAGGGATTTATGCATAGGAGATAGAGAATGGGTGTAGAGGGGGGTAGTTAGGCCTACGGTAACGTCACTCGTACGACGAAACAGAATGTAAGTATAGCCTCACGTCGGTTTTCTGTGAAGTCGTGGTATCACTCAGTACTCACTCAAATTCCGTACAAATGTCATATATGTCATCAACATAAACACCATTTGAGACAGAAAGACACTAAATTTGTGCAATGAACTATTGCTATAAATTCTTCCACTTTTAAGGTTGATTTAGGTTTTCCTCATGTTTTATGCACAAACACGTCAGTGCAGACTGGGCACATCTACAAGCATTACAATTCAATAAATTTATGTGTATATGTAATAGAAATTCTTGTTTTTGTTCATAGGTCCGCAAAGTCCTGCAGTTATTCAGACTGCGTCAGATCAACAATGGTGTGTTCGTACGCCTCAACAAGGCTACCGTCAACATGCTCCGTATTGCTGAGCCCTACATCGCGTGGGGATACCCCAACCTGAAGAGTGTTAGGGAGGTCAGTACTTTACTTTTTGACATAATTTTTTATTAATTTACAGACCAATTAACAGTTTGCCGATATGAAAACCATGGTGAAAAATTAGTAAAAATTGTGAGGAAGTAATTAATTTTAGAATTATAACATAGTGTGATAGAGATGTATTGTATTATCCTTACGACTAAGGTATAATACGACTACAAGTGGTTTTTGTGACACAACTTACCTGAAATAAGTAAATTCGTTGAATACTTGAATCAAAAAGATGGTTCCTACATTTACCATTTCTAAGTGAGCTCTTATTTCTTCCATAGCTGGTATACAAGCGCGGTTTCGCCAAGGTGAACGGCCAGCGTGTGCCCATCACCTCCAACACAATTGTTGAGCAGAAACTCGGCAAACAGAACATCATCTGTGTTGAGGACCTCATCCACGAGATCTTCAGTGTCGGTGAGAAGTTCAAGGTAAGAGTTCACAATGCTGTTTCTAACTACATAAAAACTATTGAATAGCCAAATCCACCATTTTATTCATAGCATTTAAACCGTGCCCGTCTCCAGTCCGTCATTAGCAATTAAAACTAGTTCCAGCATCAAGACTACAAGTTATAAGACCCTGCCTATATAAATAATAATAATATGAACATTTCGAATAAAGAACTAAATAATACGAACATAAATTTTAATGTCAATAACTTTTCCAACTTAACTTTAACTTTTCCAAATAAAAGTCAAATTCAAAGTCTGAATGCTAGGCTAAAACTTCTCTTTTGTCCCACAGTACGCCAGCAACTTCCTCTGGCCATTCAAGCTGAACAACCCGACCGGTGGTTGGCGCAAGAAGACCATTCACTACGTCGACGGAGGTGACTTCGGTAACCGTGAGGACAAGATCAACGAGCTCCTGAGGAGAATGGTCTAAGAATAAACATAGATTATAATTAATGCTTGCGTTTTATTTTATTCCTATACTTTATTCTGAGTAGATCTTAAAGGTCGGACATATTAAATTTATTGAAAATAACGAATAAGTGGTACGGCGTGGGGTAAGGCGACCGTTACTCCATAGATGACGTTACGAGACGTTGGCCTACGATAATTATCTCCTGTGCCACATATACAATCCACCCAGACACGAAACAACAATTTGCGAACACAGTGTTGTTTAATATCGTGTGGTGGCCTGGAGGTTAATTAATGCGCCCGCTTCTCATGCAACGCGGGTTCGAAATCTGGCAAGTACTGATGTACATTTTCCTCGTTATATATTTCTATGATTATTTAGACATCACTAAACATCAAACTCAAACCTCTGTGTGAGAAGAAGCCTTTGCTCAACAGTAGGCACTTGCAGGCTGATAATGTGGTGTGATAGTGTTGTTCCGTGCGGGAATCGAACCCGCGACACAGCCAGTTGTTGTTCAGGCATTGCGCCAACCGTGCAGTCCTGAATGTAATTGGGCGAGTCATTACAAATGGGGGATGGAGGAAAACATCCTGAAGACTAGTATGTATCTGCTTGTAATTTCTAAAGTTTGAAATGTCCAATCCGCCTTGAGCCAACTTGGTGATTAATGCTCAAACTTCCGTGTATGAAGAGGCCTTTGCTTAGCAGTACTATACGGCCGTTGTATCTTGGCGAGCCTGAAGTTAGCCGATTAGCTGCGCAGTACACAATTTTGTTCCTAAAAGATCCATTGCGCAGACAAACGGCTAACTTCAGACTCGCCAAGATACGTCGACCGTACTGTAAGTACTTATAGGATAGTAACAATAAAACTAGGTAGGTAAGTAAGGTATAAAACTATATTTTATAAAAAAAACAATTAGGTAGGTAGGTAAGTACTATCACAGTTACAATATTTAGAACTAGAGAGCTTAGCTCATTTAAATTGGTAGAACTCCAATAACATTTCTTTCAAATTGCTCAATTAGTGGTTCCAAATCGTCGGAGGAAGATGAAATATATGTTCTTACTGCTTTTTGTAGATTCTGAAACAAACATACGTATCAAATATTTATTTGATGAACCAAAGAAAAACATTTGTTAGTTTTTTGTTTGGATTCATAACATTTCGATTACGATACGACTTTAAACCGATATGAGATTTTTTTTCAGCATTAGAAAGGTCTCTTTAGGAATCTATAAAGACCTCCTCTTTGATCGGATCGGGTGGTTGCCGAGCAACCGGGATCGTGTTCGATTCCGGGTCAGGCAAAGTAGGTACCTACAATCAGAATTGTTTGGGTTTCCGTAAAATGTTTCCTCGCATACAGGCAGTGTTGTAGCATTACATGGGACTTAACATAACTGAAAAGTTGATGTAGCATTGTATAATAATTTTACGGCACTGAAGACTATAATGTACACCTCAATCTACACCTTCGAGGAAAAAGTGTCGTTCGTAAAGAAAGCTTTCAAATAAATAGCCCTCTCTCTCTCTCCCTCTAATTTGAAAACCCCACAATTCTTTAAAGGCCGTAACTCCGCAGCCGCCCTTGCTTACCATCAGGCGATCCATCAGCTACCCGAAGTATATCCCATAAAACTAAAAAATAAAAGTTCAGTTGCAAATTGATACTAACTTCAATAGTAGCATAAGAAGACAGGTTGATGAACTCGTTTCCAGGAGCGAAATTGGCGAATACACAGTAAATCAAGTCTGATAAGAAATTCCTCATATTTGATAATATTTTAATGTTCGCACTTGACAACTTGAGTAGAGGATTAGTGAAGCTATCATTATATATTTCTATCTTCACTTTTTCATTTCCTATAGAAAATATTAAATTACTCTTTGATTTCAAAAACTCATCTGATGTGAATTGTTGGAGAAAGTATGAGACCTTCTTAGAAGTAGGGTGATTAGTGTTGTCTTTTTTTCTGAATACTTCTTCGTATTTGTCCGGTAGTCTTACATACATTAGCCACTCTTTTGATGAAGGTCTGTGCTTCAATTTATCGTCAAATTCGAATAAATGGCCAAAGTTATTGATAGCCGTTTGTAAAATAAGTTTTGGTAATGAATTTCCAAAGCTTTTCAAGCACTGCTGTCTGTTCAAGTTCAGGTTGAATTTTATGAAATGTTCAGAATGTAATATTACATGTTTTCTGTACAATATAGTAAATGTCTTCTGTTTAGCATCCAAAGCTCCTGGTATTGTGGACATAATTTTAATATTCACATTCATTTCAGTGAAATCAATAACTTTACTCTTCAATGGTATTAAGAAACTTAATTTCTTGATTTCTGTAACTTTTATACTTATAGTTTTAATTACTTTAGTAGTTGTAGACAGTGTTATGTGGAGTCTTAGATCTCCAATAACATTGGATAATATATTTCCCAGTTTATGCTCTGTTGTCGTTGAAATTTTTATTAAAAAGAAGAATGCTTCTTCTTCAAAATATTCACTGAAGTTACTTGTTAAGATGGCTTTTTTATTTTCTGTGATTGCATCTTCATAGTTGTCGTAAACAATAACTTTGTGGCTTATAATGCTATCCATTACATCTTGTCTGTTAGAGAGTGACAATGCAGTAATGTAATCTCTTTCTGTAGTCAGTTTTTTAGCTATCACATCATTCTTACTGACTTCATCCAGAATTTTCTTCACATAATCAGCATTAGTGTTCAACAGCCTCTCTGCAGAACAATACTCAATGGACTCATCCTTTAAATAAGACTCTGGATGGTCTAAATAGAATGTGTATAATAAATTTGTAAATGTGGTACAAATAATCTGATTTCCCTCCAGTATGAAATCTTTCACTTGTTTGACAAAGAATTGCTTGAGTTTAATGTCCTGGGACAGTATATTGTCTGCTCTCCAGAGAGATTTGCCATCAGTGTAGATAATAGAATCCTTGTAAACTAAGGATTTGTGTATAGCTATGTTCAAATGAATTATTTTAGGTGTCTTAAGATCAGTCCAGGATAGAATAATAACTGTGCCTATTGCAAGAGTAATTACAACTTTCATTTCTGATTCAATAATGTTTATGTTAGAAATCTCAGAAGGACATGAATATAGTTTTACCAATTTAGCTTCAGATTGAAACTTTTCACAAGTTATTATACAACAATAAACATTTAATTTATCAAAAGATAATACTATCAACTTAAACATCTTTGTGACTTTTACATACTCTGTATCAAAAATGTTTTGCAAAGTTTCCAAATGATCATTGTTTATAGACTGAAGATTAACATATTCTAAAACATATTTGTCAAGTGTTTGTAAAGCTGGTAATGCATCACTGTGCAACAGTTCTACTTGATTCTGTAGCTCCAAATTTTTCGCAATCATATGTAAGCATAGAAAATATGAATTTGAGTGGTATTTCAAACATAAAGCTATGTTATTCTCAATGAGTGATATGGCCACTATAAAATTTGAAGCACCACTTATGGAAAAATATTTTTTGGATTCAGTGTTTATGCTAATTGTATGGATTCCGCCGCAGGTATCTAAGCATGTCAAATAGTTCTCCCAGACCACCAAGTCCTGTATTTCAAATTTGGAATTCAATTTTATCACAGGGTTCTCGAATTTTTGGTTTCTATAAACGAATATTTGAAATTGGTTCCATAATATTGTTGTATTGCTCGGTGAATCATACAATATGTTTAGGTTGAGAAGAGCTTCTTCGTTACATTTGAAGCACTGCTTTGTCGACATAGTTTCATAGCTGATATCCATAATTAATATAGTGAGACACAAATTAGATTAAAATATAAAAACTTTTCTGCCTGTAAACCGCCAAAAGTTTTTGTTGACACTTCGATGTTTTGATACATTTCCGCTTGACTTCCACTGACATTTGACAGATCATATCATAGTTGAGATAATAATAATTATGTGTTTGATTAGTGGGTTTTTGAAACGTTCCGTAGGCAAATCTATTATCACAGAGTATGCCATGGTTTTCAGAAGTAGTGATATGTCTTTTTCAGGATTTTATATTATTATAATTTTAGGCTTCCAGTACTGATTAGCCTTTAGTTTTAAGTACCTAGGCGTCTAATACATACAGCGCTTTCTAGTGATAATACTGCTATAACAACAAGACAAAGAAATGAGCATAAAATGTGATATTATGTCTTAGACTATAGATAAGTATTATATATTTTAATTTCTCCATGTATTATGTATGGAATGTCCATTGCATTGAGGTCTCATTAATAAAATGTTACTCAGTAACTTTAGCAATTAGTTCAGCTACTCGACCATAGATGGCGCTGCAACTAATTTGCAATATCTCAGTGTCAATTTTACCTTTTTTGAAATGGATTATTATTGGCTATGTGCGCGACGGTAGCGACGCGTAGCGTTTACAACATTTATTTGTGGAAGCTGTCAAATAATAACAATGTAAACATAATGATTTTCTCTGCAAATATAAATAAAACCATGATTAAATAGTATTGTTGACATTATTTAAGTGCAAGTTATTCAGCAGTTTTACTGTAAAATGAAAATAATTATAAAAACTGACAGCTGATTTTCCGCATTTGTTTCCAATTTCTGCCGTGTTGTGCGCTGCGGTCAACCACTACTCGTTTTGCACATGGCCAACACTCTCCTATTTATTATATTATATTTAAGAAGGAATAGGTATAATTATATAATATAAAAATAATATGGTATAATAATATAATTATATTTATAGGAAATAAATGATTTTATTTGTTGGAGTGCAAAACGGCAACCGGTCCATGGAACCTCATCAAATCGTTAGAAGAGTTGCAAGTGCGTTGGTTTTTGGGGTTTAGGGATTAGAGGATTGCAAGCTTCATTCATGCACACATCGAAATATAATTTAAGGCCATGGTATCAATCCGGTCGAGCCGACCCATTCGTGCAAAAGCAAGAGTTATTACATTGTGCCATGGAATAAGCAGCAATTTCTTAGAAACGGTTGGCGACAGGTCAGTTACTAAATAACAAGGGTTGTTAATAAAGTAATATGATGAAAATAAAACAATTCGTTTTATAACATCATTCTTTACTCCACGAAACAAAATTTAAGTACGTTGTGGTAATGAAAAATTTACATTTATTATAATAAAATAATAATATCAAAATAAGACAAATATTAAAAACTTACAATAAAGTGCAGAGTACCATTAATTTTAGTTGATAAGATTGAATAAAATTTTCAGTTCTTTAGAAAAAGGCTTAAGAATGTATTTTTTGACATAGAATTATGATCCCTATCCTTATACCTACCATATAAGGTTGAAATAAAAAAATGGAACGAGGGTTAGGGATTACTGGCAATTTTTTTATAATTATTATTTCGTCATAAGTATATTAATGATGTACCATTTTAAATTGAAGTAGGAAATAGGTCCTACAGGTTTTCCAGTTTGCATTATGGTATTTGTACCTATTAAATTTTTATGTCAAAATAAATGTTCGAAAAGAAAATAATTTCAGATTTTTTTAATTTGCTTCAAATGAGTCAATTTTACGTAAAAAAATATATCGCAGTAATTTTTTACAAAAATAATTTATGTAGGTAGAATTCAATCTTTTGATTGACGCTTTTAAAACACAGATGATTAAATAATGGAGTGCTAAGTTGACAGATACAGACACTGTGTGACAGAGATGGAATATGTTAAGATCCAGTGTAGTACAATTAATTGATTCGGTTACATTTCCTCAAGGAGCAACACTCCGTGTTATTTACAAATCGTTGTTTCAGGTCTGTGATGTAAATATGAAATTGTATTTTTACCCATAATAAAGGAAAATCTTAGTGTGTCAAAACATTTTGTTATTGTTTTCGGAATTCTGATAAAAAATAATTTTGAAAAGAGAGATTGAGATTTTAAACACATAATTTACAAAGAAATTATATATTTTACGAATGACAAAATAAGTAATATGACATGTAGACATCGTATTTGATTGATTTAGCAGTTTTGTATAAAAGTTTCTAGAGCTGGTCTTACAGCCAGTCTTAATATTTTCCGACAGATTTGGCTACCTAACCTAATTTTGACATAAACTTCGCTTTTTAGCTTAGGCTCCACACGAAATGAGAGAAAGTTCTACCTCTAGGAGCCAAATCTTTCAATGGAATCGGATTTCAAGTGTATTGAGACTGACTGAAAGTGGATATACCACAAAAGTACATGTTTGTATAATTTCAATATTTTTCTTATCGTTCTATGGCGACGTACCTATTCGTTTAGACTTTTAGACAACGTCTACCTATCTTCATTATAAACAAATGGAATGTAGGATCACACTTACAATATCACGCAATAAAATTAAAATTTAAGTACTAAATACAATAAAAGTTTGGAGTATAAGACAGATGTCGATTACTAGAATAATTTTAGAAAAAAAAAACTAATTATAGGCAAGTGAATAGTAATTTTTATAAGTATTATGTACAAGCCACAATAAATATTAATTAAATACTTAAATTTCGGGAACCCGTTATGGTGTTTCCATAATTAAAACTAATTGGCACACTTTCACATTGAGTCGCTAGCAAAACTATACCCTAATTAAAAACTAAAGAGGTTTTATTATTTTCTTTTTAATCTAAAACAGTATGAAACTTTTTGTGAGAAACGATAAAACTTTCGTTCTATAATTATTACTATTTATTTACATTTATTGATATGTGTCTTTATTGCGGTGGATGTGAAATATTTATTTTTCTTATTAAAAATATTCTTTTGCAGTTACAAAAATCACTGTTGGTTGAGCTGAAAATTATTCGCTATAAATGCTTAAATTAACCACTAGTTTTAATTCTAGGCTATATGTACAGATTCTCACAATCATGAGTATTATAATTGCACTTTATTTGTATGCGGGTCGCCTCTAACGAAGATCATCATAAAAATAAATACGCAATCTCCAATGATGTTCTTCTACGAACATGGCAGTCAGAGACAATATCAGTATACCTTGGCTGTTTGATTGGCACGGCTTTGCCTTATAGAGTGCGCATAAAATGACTTTGACAATCGATGACAGCGCTCATTTGAAGGCAAGTGTCAAATTCAGTACTTTTGTTTAGTTTCACTTTTTCTGTTCTGTTTGTTACTTGAACAGTTTACGTGAGAGATTAGTTCTCTTCGCGAGTTTTCCTTTCGAGCCCGTCGTCGGTTTCGTAACACATTTGTTACTTCTTGATATCAGGGTCCATTTTTGTTTTATCCATCGATGATGACACCATACCGCTTTGAGGATATAACTTGTCTAAATGCTTGAGAGATTCGTTGAGGAAGTTCTGTAAAAGGAAATGAAAATAAGTCGTTAGTGAGGCAATTTTAGCAAATTGATACCTACCGTTATTTTTTATGCATATATGGTGATAGGCCGAATTAAAATTGTGAGGATTATAATTTAAATTTTTGTAGCGATAATTGTGAGCGTAGGCGTATATAAGATTTAAGACTTTTATATAATATTTTTTTAGAACAGTTATTACTTTCTTTGACACAGTCATAACATTTTTCTAGGCTTCGTTGAACAAATTACTATAAATTAAAAAAACAAGTAGCGTTCCAATCAGTCCTGACAATGAATTTAATTAAATAAATGAATACGCATGAATTTGAAATTATTTGTCCCTTAGTGCTCCATTTATGAATTAATCCATGACCTTTCTATGATTCTGATCTCTTTAGCGACCGACCGTTATAAAAAAATCATTCTAATATTTTTTTTTAATTTCGTTTGATTTCGATTTTTTTTATAGTAATAGTATAAATATATTTCAGTCTCAATTCTTAATTAAAATCTATTTGCGACATGTGAGATTTTTTATTTTAGATGAGTTCAAAAGTCAAAAATCATTTATTCCAATTAGACCTTTACAGGCACTTTTGAACGTCAAAACAAAATTTTGAAGATATCGTGTCAGTCTGTCGGTCAATCCTCTTAGTGAAGCTATTCGCTCGTTCCAAAGTGTAGATTCCAATGGAGAAGAACGAGCAAGAAACTCCGTTCAGTTTTTAATTTTGGTATACCAACATGCTTACATAGTTAAATACACACCTGTATAGCTGTAAGCGCTGCCACTATAGCTGGACCTCCGAACCCATGAGAAATGAGTGAGAAATGTGTTAGATGGCGCTGTATTGCCGGCTCTAGTAAATGTGGTGGCCTGGTATTGCAGAGCGGTGACCTGTCCTGATTCAATAAGTCCATCAGCTCCTTTATAACCTGGTAAAAAAATTCATTATTAATGTTTGGTTGGAAGCCTGAAATGGGTCTTGTAAAGAGGTTTTTTAGTTGTGATCTCTGAGGTCCCAAGGTATGTCTCTCTTGAAGACCGACATTTTTTTGTATTGTTTTTATATGGATATACGAAATGATTCTACATGAAATAGTAGTAGAATATATATGAAACCGAAGAGTACTAGTAGGGGGTACTCTTCTCGCAGGGAAGGGACAGGCTCTGAAGTGAGAGTCTACGCAATAAGGCCTCGGCCTAGAGCAGGAGAGGACACCGGGTGGTTATTACTTTTAATAAAAAACTGCGATCACCAATCCACTAGTCTGATCTGATTGAGAGGAGATTATGGCTAATAATTATGGCCTTTTATGTTGTGTTTTAGGACAATAATAGGTCTTTATCTATGAAATTGCCGTTTTGCAGTACTGGCCATTTCAAATCAAAATAGTTTTTGTTAGGCTAAGGCTAATTAATTTTGTTTTAAAAACATGGGATTCTTTTTCCAAAAATAGTCATTTGTTTATTGATTAGTGTTACACTTTCATCGCATTTCAAATCAAAAAAATCGTTTAAATTTTATCATGCAAAACGGTAATTTCATAGGTAAAGACCTATTATTTGTGTCACAGAAAAAATCGACCGTTATGAGTATTGGGAACATTGGGAAACAGCACCCTGTTCATCAGGTTTTTTTTTTTGTGGAGTGAAAATCATCAAATGACTTCTCTTACAGACTCTTACAGACTAAAAATGCCCTGTTCCTTTTCCTGCTCCAGGCCGAGGCTGCGATACGTTATGGCGCTTGACCTGGCTTAGCATTCGACATGTTGGGCCTTGGGCCCCATCTGTGGTGGATTATTGGCGTGGGCCCCCAGATAAAGCTAGGGTGGTCGGAATTCATTGTATTTTTTCGTGCTGACAACACTGGTGGTCGGTTGTCTAAACTCGACCTCTTATTTAAATTTATTTTTTAAAATTAGTTTTAAGTGATTTTATTGTGTAAATTATATACTACTACGTTGAAGTAATTGCAAAAATACCAGAGGCATTGTATGCGTTGTGATTTGGTTAAGAATTAATTTGTTAAGTTGAAAAGTTCCTGTGAAATGTCAGTGGTCAACGGACGGAGCAAAAGTTTAATATAAATAAAACTTTAAACCAGGGGAGTATAAGTGATAACTATTATTTTTATCGATATAAATTAATAGACGCCCTTATTGTGCCCTAAGGAACATATAGATGGTCTCAGTTTGCTTGGCAAATTGTTAAACACGACAATAATACTTTTGTAGATTACTATACAAAAGAAAAAAAAGTTTGATACTTTAATATACATATTTAAATTAGCCCAATAAGTAGTGTAATTAGTGTGATTAAGTCTATTTGTACTTTAAATTAATCACAAATTACAAATCTTAAGAAAACTTAAAGTATTAATCCAAATCCTTTGTTTCCAACTACCTGCATACAATAAATTAAATTCATCATTATAGTAACAAGTTAATTTTTTCATCATATTCAATAATTGACAGCTTTATTATTCACTCCTTTGTTTTCTTATTTCTCTAATACCTTATAGATTTCATCCAAACCTAGCTTCAAGTAATTTTCCCTGTTTTTTTTTTCTGTCCTTTTTTTTTCTCTTTCATTTCAGAATACCAATCCCTTCATTTCCAATGATGACCTCGGTCTAAGGATATGGAGAGCAAACTGAGGGCAGCACTCAAAGAGCTGGAATCTTCTAAGCACCTGTGCGACCAACTGCTGCAGGAGCGGATGACAGTGAAGTTGAAGTGAAAAACATAATTGACAAAAACACTCAACTTAAATACGAATTGGCTGAATTACACTCATGTCACACGGACCTGCTAGAGCAACACAATGAATTATTAAAGAATGTTGATACTTTAAGCAGTGTACTGACACACATGATCATGCTCTTAAACGCATAACTCATCTGGAGCATGACCTCCAAAAAGCACAAAATGTAATTCCATAAGTTGGAGGCTACCAAAAAACTCTGTGCTGTCGATCAACACTCAGAGTTTATATGAGGAATTGGTTGGTAGTGGATCCGGTGAAATTTGTGAACCAGCCATTACAATTGATTTAACCGGTGATGATACTATCAGTGCTGCCCTGCATTCAATAGCCACAATAAATTAAAAAAATATATAAAACTAACTAAAATCATTAAAAAACTGAAAAAGAAGCAAAATCTGTGTAAAACAAATATTTACCTAAGAAAACAAAAAATTAAATTATTGCAAGAACTTGAATCATGCAAAAAGTGATTTGAAACAACATCGGACAGTATATGACATCGATGTTCAATCTCTTAAACAAGAACTTTTACAAAGAGAAATGTTCTTAAATGATATGTTCCAAAAATATGAATCTGCCCAATTGGAAATAAACAAACATATGATTGAGGCAGGTAACTTGTGGATCTAGTAACTTATAGTGCTGAGAGGTATGAGTCTCTGCGAATAATCTTTCTTGTAGCTGTGCCCTCACTCCACCTTCTGAGCCAGAAGTTGTACAGCTAACCAATGAGTCAAGCAGCTGTTACATACAGCGCTGGTGTGTTTACGGACTCAGTGGGTGCAGGTATTGGGTCACTTATTGCCAATTGCCTTAAACTATAGGATAAACTAATTACTGTTATCATAATATAAAATTTGGCCAGATTATTAAAATAATTTCACAGAAACAGATCACACAAAATCAGCCAATAGTGATTTTGATGGGTGATAGTACAGGAGTAACAAGCGGGATATAACTGATGGTATCAACACCTTATTAAGACTAAACACAGGGAATATAATGTTATGTGCATTCCCATATGCTGACACTTTGTCACAAAGTGAAAATAGTAGAATTCATCATCTGAACAATTTAATATTTTTTTTGACCTCTTGTCATAGTGACAAATTATCATTTTTTGACACTAACAAATTTGTTAGTGGTTTTAAGTTGACCCGGGATTATAATGTATATTCCCAGGAAATGTAAATTATTAATTGCTAGTTTGCTAGCAAATAGTATTAATTTATTAATAAGTAGTTTTAGTGACAAAACTATATTGATTAGACAATCTAACAATATAGAGATTAATTGTACATACAATAGTACGAAGGAGGCTCCAGATTTATTGACAAATGTGGATAGCACTCCGGATAGTATTCTTTTAAACTGACTTCCACGACAACAGAAGATAACCAATTAAATTACTCAAAATCCACGTTCATTGAAAAGGTTTCTTCTGGCAATATTATTAAGCATCAATTTAAATTAAAACATAAACTAAATTAGATAACTTGTTGTCATTGTACAGTCAAAATATTCAGGGCTTATCATCAAAATTCCTAGAAATGGAATTGTTTTTAGAGAAATTCCAATATGATATTATTTGTTTAACTGAACATTTGGTTAAAAGATTATCAAGTAGAAACAATTAACTTCAATAACTATTGTGTTGGCAGCAATTATAGCCGCCAAGCAATGATACATGGTGGTAGCCTAATTTTAGTAAAGAACTCAATAAAATATAAACAAAGACAAGACATTGCTCTGCTGTCAATTGAACACACAATAGAGTTGTCCTGTGTTGAGCTGGATAGGCATATTGTAGTATGTGTTTATAGGCCTCCTAACATACAGAATCTAAATATTTTTCGCTCTGTAATGGAAGATGTACTGCGGAAAACATGTTCTAGTAGTAAATGTACAATAGTATGTGGCGATTTTAATGTTGATCTCTTAGAAAACAATTCTCATTGTACAAACTTGTTAAGTCTCTTTCAATCATTTGATTTGTCTAATGTTTTCCTTGAGCCCACCCGAGTAACATCCACCTCGGCTACTTGTATAGATAATATTTTCTGTAATTGTGATTATTTACAAAGTGAAATTGTAAATAGATTACCATCTGATCACAGTGGGGCTCACAGTTAACTTTAATACTATCACAACTGTGCCAAAAAAGGAAATATTGTTTAGACAAATCACATACAAAAAAAATATTCATTAAATAATAAGCTAAAACATGAATTATGCAGCCAAGTACAAGACAATAATTGCCCGAGTGAGATATATGCTAATTTATTATCCCTTATAAAAATACAGTTCGATAAACTATTTCCTTTAAAACGTAAAAATGTTCAGTGTAAATTTGTATTCTGTGACTGGGCTACACCAGGTATTCGTATAAGTAGAGACAGGTTATTTGAGCTATACGGCCTGAAACCATTTAATAGTAGCGAGGCTTTTCGCAGACACGTTTCCATATATTCAAAAATATTTAAAATAGTATGTAAGCATGCTAAGTCGCTCCACATTAGTAATAAATCAGGACCGCGGAAAACAAAATAAAAGCTACCTGGAATATAATTAATAAAGAAACAGGTAGAAATAAATCACAAAACAATGAATTTAATTTAAAAACCGAAAAGGGATATACTAGTTCAAATTCGTCAGTTGCCCAGGAATTCGAAAGATTCTTTAAAAATATTCCTCTTAAAACTACGGAAACGTTAAAATCATCTCCAGCTCTTTCTGTCGAGCTTCTCAGGGGTAACGTCAAAGAATGTCCTTCTGACTTTAGCTTTCAATACACAACCCCCCCAGGCAGTAATAAAGGCGTTCAATGAGATCAAAGTAAAGTCAACTGAAGATCTTTGGGGAATGTCTGTTCGAGTGTGCAGGTCGTTTATAGAGACTATTGCGCCGCACTTAACTTTCATTTTTAATAAAAGTGTAGATCAAGGGGTTTCCCGGATTTAATGAAACATAGTAAAGTAGTTCCATTATTTAAATCAGGCGATAGTACAGAACCTAATAACTATAGGCCGGTCTCTATTTTGCCAGTGCTCAGTAAAGTGTTCGAAAGGTTGATGCTTACTCAAATGCTGCGTCACTTTAACACGAATTCTATTTTCCATGACCATCAATACGGGTTCACCAAAGGACGTTGCACTACGGACGCAGGAGTATCACTTATAAAACAAGTTTTCAACTCGTGGGAAAAAGCACAGGATGCCATCGGAATATTTTGCGACCTTTCAAAGGCATTCGACTGTGTTGAGCACGAGACGCTGTTACTGAAGCTAGAACACTACGGCATTCGGGGGGTATCCCTAGATTTATTGAAATCATACCTTCAAGAAAGAAAATTAAAGTACAAGTCAACAAAGTTAACTCACTGGGGTGCTAGCGTATCTATGGGCGTACCGCAGGGCTCAATATTAGGTCCTTTTCTATTTTAGTTTATGTAAATGACCTGCCCCATTTGTTCCAAAATGAACCGCATATGGTATTATTCGCTGATGACACTTCATTGATTTTTAAAATAAATAGACGAACAAACAAATATGACGAAGTTAATAATGCCTTAATGAAGGTTCAAAATTGGTTTACAATAAACAACTTACTACTAAATGATAAAAGACTAAATGCATTAGATTTATTTTACCAAATGTTAAAAGAAACGTATGTGATGATATATTATTAAATGATCAGAAACTAGAATTTGTAAAAGAGACTACTTTCCTGGGGATCACTGTAGATGAGAAGTTGCAATGGGGGCCCCACATCAGGTCTCTAGCAGGACGATTGAGCTCTGCAGCTTATGCTGTCTGGAAGATCCGACAGCTAACCGATGTAGGCACGGCAAGACTAGTGTACTTTAGCTACTTTCACAGCATCATGTCGTATGGAATTCTGTTGTGGGGACAGGCATCCGACGTTGAGTCTATTTTTATCTTGCAAAAGCGTGCCGTCAGAGCTATATATAACTTAGGTCGTCGCGAATCTCTCAGAGAAAAGTTTAAGGAGATCAACATTCTGACCGTACCGAGTCAATTTATTTATGAAAACATTATGTATGTTAGGAAAAACCTACACTTATTTGTAAAGGTATCTGACAAACATGATTATCATACTAGAAATAGGAATAGATTGAGTCAGCCTTTATTTAGATTGGCAAAAGTGCATAAGTCATTTCTGGGTTTCTGTGTTAAATGTTATAATAAAATCCCAGTTGAAATTCAAAATCTAAATGAAAGCAAATTTAAATTATGTATAAAGAAACATTTATGTAAACTAGCATACTACAAACTAAATGATTATATACAAGATAAAAAATGCTTGGAGGCTAGCTGGTCCTACTCCACAGGATGTTTAGAGGAATTTTTGATTTTAATTATTAAATTGTACACTATGTTGTTAATTGTTGATGAACTTCTAAGTTTTTGTAAATGTGAGTACCCTGTAACCTATTATAATTAAGTAAGACTTGTAGAATATAGGTACTTGTGTCGGCTGGGAGCTGTCATGCTCACTTAGAGGTCTCATTGGCGGTGGCACGGCCACTGGATCGCCCAATTCCCTATAATATGGTTGAGTTGGGCGGTGCTGGTGTACGTGTCATGTTCGTGAACGGGCGCCGCCTATTGGGACTGGTCATCTCCAGGCTTTCTAAATATGTTGTCCTTGAGGTTCACTTCTTTTTCGTACCTTTTGCCTGAACATTAGTGTTACATTGTTCTCACATATCAGAACCAACTAAATGATGTAACAAAGAAATGTATTGTAAAACTGATTGAAAAAGAGTAACCATGGAGTTTCTTGCTCGTTCTTCTCCATAGGAATCTACACTTTGGAACGAGCAAATAGCTTCACTAGAGGACAGACGGACAGACTGACATGCTTAATTTTAAAGCTCATGTTATATACTTTTTTCCTTTTTTTGCTTGCTTGACGTTCAAAAGTGCCTACTGTGGTCTAATTGAAATAAATGATTTTTGACTTTTTGACTTTTACCTGTTTAGTAGCTTGTAGCAGGTCCCTTCTACGTCTCGAGTCGTGTTCCGCGTACTGGCGCGCGAGGTACTCGGCGAGCGCACGCGCAGGGAACTCCGTCTCACACACATAGCCAAAGTCACGGGCTAAATGCACTGCTTCAGCTGTTGAATAATATTACATCTTATGTTATTCAACGTAGATGCTAATATTACTTGCCAAAATTGGGTGGTTGCGCCCTTTAGTTAATTGGGATTTTTGAAATCTATTCTTTTTTTAAACGTTGTAACATACTGGGATTTTATGCTGTGTTATGGGTGGGTATACAATTTCAAATAATATTATTATAAATCTTCCGGGTGAGAAAGAGGGATGGGGCTATACACCTTTTATAGCTCCGTTCCTCTTTCTCGCCCGGAAGATTCACGCTTTAACACGTTATGGTAGGCCTACAGGAAGAACAATTTGTGGATCACATCAACAGTTGTTCCGGATGGGAAGCAACCCGAAAGCCAAATATGAAACAATGAAAGTAAGTAGGTACCTACTCTATGATATCGTCGGGTATAGAATACGGTAGTTTCCAACTAGTCAAATTCAATACTTTTAACCAAACGTCAAAAACGATACGTTTCTATGAAATTTGTATGTAAAACTGAGCTATGACGTCATAACTTTTTTGCGTCAAGTAGCTAACTTATTTCTTTTTAATTAGCTAAATAAAATGTAAAAATTAGTATATCGATTGATCGATGAATAAAAGTATAGTTATTTTTCAATATTTTATTGTATTGAAACGTCGAAATAATTTATTTTTGACCTAGGAAACTACCCAATTCTTTATTTTGTGATCGTTACGGCCTCTTTAATCATTCTATTACGGATACGGACGGAACAATAAGATTGTTCCGTCTATTATTAATATTTAATGTTCATTCTATTCACCTTCAACTAAGGACGTTAGGAGTGTGACGTTAGCAGCTTTCCGCCGCCCCGCTGGTAAGTTCAGCCCGATCTTTTCCAATTTCTCACGCAGTAATCTCCCGCCATTTTTGCTTTTTGCTCTAAAACAAACAAAAAAGTATAGTTTATAAACCCATTTCTGTTCCAAACAAACAAAACAAAATAGTTTAATAATAATTTCGATATATTTAGTTTTTTCTTAATAGTAGATATGTATTGTTCATCCAAACTTGATATTGTAAATGCGAAAGTAAGTCTGATGTGTGTCTATCTGTCTTTTCTTCACGCCTAAACTACTGAACCTATGTTTGTGAAATGGTACAGGTATAGTTTGGAACTCGAGAAACACATAGGATAGGTAGTTTGTAAACCAACAATCTGCAGGAAATCAGTATTTCACGCGAACAAAGTCGCGGGCAAAAGTTAGTATAAAATAATTCGAGATGGTTTGTCAAATATAAAAAATTTATACGCGTATTAGATTTACAAATTAATTCTATTGCAAGTCAATGCGTAAAAAAATATAGTAGCTACTGGCTACCTAATTCTTTTGTTGTTCGGTCACATGTCAATCAATAGTACTGCTACTGCACGCTAGATGGCAGCTACCGATAACCTATCGATTACCGTCAAAATTGTAATTCGTGATTGACGCATAGAAAGTACCAAGGTAATCATTTGTTCAACAAATTGAAATTTTTCTTAACAGCTACGGAATAGGGTCGGTAATTGAATAGTCAGTATAATTTTAGTGGTAAAATTAATTTGGGAAAGGTTCGGTATTTAAAAATGGCTACCAGTATTAGCTGTTGAGCTTTGAAATATAAAACCTCGTTAACGAAATTGTTTTCTATAAACTATGATGTTTTGAATTTAGTTCAAGAATGTGCGTTCGGTTATGTTATGATTTATAGAATTAAATGTTACTTATAATTATTCGGTCCATATTGGACTGAGGAAAAGTTAGTTAGTTAGAAGCTCCGATTTCAATATTATGGATATGCACGTGTTACGTTTTTTTTTAAATACGAGAATAAGTACAAGGTTAGTTTACCTTTGCTATATAAACCGTGCGCTGGATTAAAAACTTTCTCGTCAAAGCTGTGTTTTATTCATAATAAAACGTGAATGATCACCCAATAATTAGGTAGGTACCTTAATCTACAAATCAAATATAACTCTAATGATGAGTATCGGCATTAATCTCTAAGCCATTCGATGTTGTCCGAAGCTAAATGAGCGAATAAAATCAACATTTCAAAGAAATATCGATTTAATTGGCTGACTAGAAGCCGCAAAGTTTGTATACAGAATTTATGATCCCTGATCAATGATTTCACTATTTTTCATAGACACAATAGTGAGGTGAAAATAATGACAATTGTAATTAGACAGCCCCGTTAGTCGAGTTTAATATTTTCACACGTTCGTTTAGTCAACTACAAAAGAAGCGAGAATCATCCGCTGAGCTAACGAGCCAAACAATGAATTTGAATTTAGAATCAATGGAAAACTAAATCGAATGAATCGACAGATTGGAAGAGAACTAATGGGCATCCAATATCGAGTATGTATCGGATACTCGAGTGTCCGATTAAAGAGATTATCAATCAAGTACACGTCTTTGATTCAAGTACGATAATTATGACGAAAAGATACCGTTGGCCGATTTCCCACATGTGTTGTTTGCTGCGGCTCTTTATAAGCTTCATATCAAATTGACATACGAATTAAATTTTTGAGTAATCGATATTTTAGCTTTTACCCTACCAACTGTAAAGAAATTCCGATTCAATGTGACCGAGTATCGATAAATGCAAGATCGTTTCATCTCCAATTACCGAATCGATATAGAAAATAATAAAAATAACTCTCGTATCACATCGTAAACCGGCGGCTGTCCATTAATAATACGCGATTGATTAAATCAAAATGGCGTTCCTACTTACGACACAATGAGTTTTTTGAATTTAGAAATAATGGCGTTTGTAGCAGTGGTGTGTTTTGACAGCATTTCTTTTCTTGAAGAGAGGTTTTGTGCGTGAGGTTTTATAAGATTGATTAATTTTGTTTTTAGATGGGCGTCTTTACATTCCTTGGCCCTGATTTACTATCTCTGGTTAATTTTCTGTTAGTCTACCTTTCTGGCAATCTCTGTTATTTTCTTTCTTCTTCTATGTTTTATAATGTTTAAATGTGTTTAACTAATGTAAACATAATCGATAATGGTTGAACGGGCCCTTTCTCTTACTACGATTTGTTGGCAGTGCCAAACCAACAACATAATCTAAAAAAAACCTATAATATGTTAATAAGTAAGACAAGTATTCATTCAGGCACTCACATAACTTAACACCTTTATTCTGCAAAGGTTGAACGCCTTTAAAATATTTTGAACGATTTATTAATAATTTCCCTGTCCCCTGTCAATTAAACAGTTCCATGTCAACGAACAAAATATTGAGACTTATTTATTTGCATTTTAATTATCTTCTCATAAAAATTAAATGGTTTTTAATTTTTTATTCTGCCTCCGTAAACTATCGTAGTTCAGCGCTTCCCATCCAGTTATTTCTACTTGTATTTTAACGTAAATTTATTTATTATTAATGTAATTACCATGAAAGGAGACACCGAGTTGAGAATGTGAAATATTCAACGCGTTGTAAGTACAAGCAGCTGCCGGTTTCCCGCCATTATTCGGTGTTGCCATCGAATAAATTATTTTCTAAAGCCGCAAAGTCGGATGCATGGCGTTTTGACAACACAACCATCGGCACGTAATGACGGCAATTAGGGAGACGATGATGCGCTGTTTATAGCGTTCTAAATTTAATAATAAAACAAGTAAATTGGTCTTTGACATGTATTTATCGCGTCGAATAACGGCTTTCAAGTACCTATACTAAGGATATTTTTTCTGACAACTCAACTATGATGTTACTCTATGTAGGTAATTACATGAGAGCAGCCATTTTTTTGTTTTGTATGGTACCTAGGAGACTAAAAGTGCCCTAATTTAAATCCTAGGTTCATTACAACGGTCACGTACCAACTAGGATGTGCTTAAATGACCTCATAAGTTCGACAGGTAGTCATTACGGCTTCCTTTTGTGGAATAATTGGATTTTTTATTAAATCATGACCGGACAGTTTTTTGCTTAAACTTACGAGCTTTTGCGAACACTTCACAAGCAGCGAGTGTTTGAATCCGTCTAAAATATTATTATGCGTAAGTAGACGAGCGATGTTAAAAAGTTCATTATTTTGTCAAGCGAACTGGTTTCAGAATAAAAAAACTATATTAGAGAAATAATACGAAAAAAAAAACCAGTAGCAAAAAGGTAACTAGCTACTTTTAACGTAACGGTGTGTGTGGAAGATTGAGATCACAATGAGATATCTAGAAGTAATACCCGATAATTATATTCAATAAACATATAAAGGAAACGACGGTTCTGCCAGCCCACATTCAGCCGCGCCGCTCGACAAAAAGTGCACCGCGCATCAGCGTAATTTGACCAGTATTTACGGGTTCCGTAATTTAAATAAACTAGTCACTTGAATATTCAATTACATGCTTTTTTACACTTTTGAAACGATTATGTAGTCAATTTAAAATTGTCTTGCTTTTGCATTTTATTGTTGAATGCTAATTTTATTGCTGATGAGTAGAGGAAATAAAATAATTTGTCGAGAAATTAGCACTGACCTTAGTAGAAATAAAATGTTCTTTTCCGATAATTCGAGAGCTTTTGAACTATAAGAACGTGCAAGGGTACACTTAGGACTGGTGTATAATTGTAGACCTTGTAATAAAAATGCTTGTACTTACACTGGATTCTTTTGTCGATTAAGTAATTAAATATATAGTCAACGTCTTTTTAATCAGTTTTTCCGATTCCAATTGAACAGAATTAAAAGCCCTTTATAGACTACAAAAAAGAATACATTCTTTTGCAGAAATATATATTTTCATTGCATTGTACCCTAAATATCTTAATAACCGCTAACCAAAACGATGCGATCTTAAAAGTCAAACATGTCTATCGCTGGCCGCAAACTGTACAGTGTTGCCAGAGCAAAAAATGTAATAAATAAACCGCACTAGCGGAACAAGAGCATGCCGAGTAAATTCAATACTAAGATCGGTTAGCTGATGCGAATATGTCTTATAATTACTTAATATTTAATATGCATACAGTATTTAGCGTTTCAATTAAATTGTAGCTTATCATCTAATACACACAGCTGAAGTTCAATCCATCATTATAATTAATAATTCATTGTGTTTTTTACGTACCTACGTAACGACATTCTTGGTTATACAAAAGAATACGCAAGATGCGTTGTCGTAGTCTAAGAAATGTCAATTTCACTGCAGGGTGTTTAGTATAAATAAAAATAAAATATCCCTTTGTATTCATTAAGTTAAAACTAAACAGTATTATTTTTAGGAAGATATAAACGCATTATTCACAAGCCACAACTAAACAATGTACATATGTATACTCTCTTTTACTAGGTGTATAGGACTGTCAAAAAACGTCAAAATAAATACATCTTCTCTTCTTTAACCTTTCAATTGTGAGACACTATAGAGGAGCAATAGATGCGAGCGCCGGCGTTCGCTTAGTATTTGATGAATTAATAAATAAGCTAAGCAAAATACAATCCCGGTTTCTCTCGTAAAAATTAAACTATTATCAACTTACCTCCTTAAAACTCCACCCAGAAGAGAGGCATTGAGGCACTCAGGAGGTGATAACCTTCTCTGTACCTCCGCTACAGTCACTTTGTACTTGCTGGTGGATGACAGTAGTGAGAGTCGACCAGGAACTGAGCAGAACACGTCGTTAGGCGCACAGGAACCTGTTCCGCCGAGTCCATCACGACCTTTCATTGCTGTTAAGGAAAAAATGATTTAAAGTAAGTATTGTATAAGGCTTATTTTATTTGAGCTGGTCATTAATTGACTTCTCTTCACCAGGGTGAGGCGAGATTGTCAGACTCTTACTGACTAAACATCACCCTGTTCTAGGCCGAGGCAGCGGTACCTTATTGCTTTTGCCCCGCAACCCCGGATTGTCTAAGGCTATAAGAATGTTAAGATGCCTTTTAGACAGGCAACATGGTATTCCTATTATTCGCAATGAGGTTTCGATCGGCTATTTGAGAAAGAATTGCATCCCGCGGTTCAAGGAGTAGCCTGGTGTTAAGCTGGATTATTTTGAAATAAAATACGTATTCTTTTTTCAAAATAATCCAGAAACGTTGGCGCACTTTATGATTTCCATCTTTGTCTCGGGTGCATTTACAAATAAACAATTTCACAAACACATCACATCCAGAATCACAACAACTTGTGGATCACACAAAGAGTTGTTAGAATAGAATCTGTGATACGCCGCGCGGCAGCCAACTGCCAAGCTATCGTGCCAACCATGCAGTCGAAACATTATATGACTGCAGTTTATTTGAAAATAAAATATATTTTAAGTGGAGTGTCATTCAGTATCAGTGCGAAGTTTTGATGTAGAATTTTACCGCCAACTTATAATATCTCCGTACAAATAGTTTAATGTACAGTGCATAGAAATAGCAAAGTACATTAGTAGTTCACAGAATCCGCAATTTACATAAATACTTGTCGTTTTACGAGTTTAGAAATTGTAGGTATATAATCTTTAGCTTGCGGTTCATGTGCATACTAAACACACTTTCTTAAATTAAATTTTCACGACTGTCCACACTAAATACTGCGGCAGTATTACCAACATTACGAAGCTATTCATAAACTGTGAAATTGATAAACTATATCCCATTTGCTATTGACGCTGTATCGATTGCATTCTGTATTGTACTGAGATTCTAAATAGGAAATTTTGTTTGATTGATTATTACAGAGTATATTATTAGTTAAACACAGCAAAGATTTAACAATCTAAGAATATACGATGTTTGGTAAAAGATTTAACCGCCTTTTATGGAATAAAACAAAAACTAAGCACGATCAACTGTTTAGTCGCGACCACAAGATTTAATAAGAAACAGTAGTCATATTTTCAGCTCAGTGTAATCTAAACTTTAGCATTAGCATTCATTATTGCATATGCATTATTGTATTTGACTGCACGTTTGGCACGGTGCGGTGTCTGGGTTGACTGCCGCGCAACGTGTCGCGAGATCGATTCTCGCTTGTCCACTGCTACTACAATTTGTATGATCCACAAATTGTTGTTCCGGGTCTGGGTGTGATGTGTATGTGAAATTGTATGTTTGTAAACGCACCCACGACGCTAGAAAATCCTTGGCAATGTAGGGCAATGTAAGAATATAACATAAAAGTAAAAATAATAGTCACTAAAAAAACAACTATAAAGTCATACAAAATTGGAGTTATTACAAAATACCCAGCTTCAAATATCAACAATAGTGCCCTAACAATCACTGCCCCGCCCCAAACATGAGCACAGCGTGATCTCTATTCTCATTGTAATATTTCTATATGGCAACCCTAATACAATAAACATTAGTGTGTCATTATGTTGGCACCATACTGGCTATTTAACACCCCGCCTTTTTGCTCAAACTAAAGGTGCACACGTTTATTACTGGCCAATTATGTTTTTGAAAAAGGAACTGATGGCAAAGTGTGAGACTTTTACTTGGATATTGTCGTTTCCTGGTCCACATATCGAAAAAAAAAGCTATTTGTATAAAAATAGGTAATTACCTATTTAAATGTGAAGAACTTAGGTAAGTGTAAGAAAATCTGATTCTATTCGAATTGCTACAGTAATCGCAATTATCCGGTCTTGTTATCTTTCCCCAGAGTTGAACTTCAAATTGGTGTTCGGCAATCAAGTTTTGCTAGCAGAGAACTAGATTCGCCTCTGATTAAGTTTCTGTCAGACTATGTGACAGATAATTTGAACATTGTGTCCTTAATCTTAAATAACCGATTACCGACAATAAGAGTGCTCTATGGAAGGTAGTACACCTCTACAAACCATAGACTAATTAATCGAGATGTAAAACTTTAAAATAATAAAAATAAAAAGCAATTTTCGAAATTGAATGCTACTATTCAAACATCGATTGATTGATCGATACTTTTATTTATACGATATTGATTCATTCGTCCGGTGAATGAGATGGATATTTTTTTTACAATCGATTTAGAAAAATCGATACACCCATTCGATAAGTGTGGTATGAAGCCTAATTACTGGTTTATCTTTAGCGGGTCATCTTGAATATAGGAGTAACAATGAAATATTTGATATGTTAATAATGTGTAGATCTTTTATCTGAGTACGTGCTGTTTAAATTACATATCTCCCTGTCTGTGTAACGGGTGTAAGTATTTCATCGAGTATTTCGTCAAGCTTTGCTTCTTTGCTTCACTATATAGTATTAAGCAAAGTCTGTTTCTCTGTCCTTATATCCTATCCCTATGCATTCTCAAATCTGCTGCTTTTATATGCTCAAATATTTTCTGTGGGAGAGCTATACTTCAGCACGAATGGGTTGGCACGACCGGAATGATACGGCCTCACAGAAAACCGGCGTGAAACAACCACAGCGTTGTGTTTCGCCGTGTGAGTGAGGTTACCGGAGGCCCAATCCTAGGGTGATTATCCCCTTAGAAAGGGCTTGAGGTGTGGGGTAAAAAAAACCGCAGTCCTCTTCAAGCAAGAGTGATCATTATCGATGTTTAGTGTACATGGGAAAGAGGCCTTTTCTAAGCAGTTCGTGAAGTTGCACAAAATCAGATTGAAAGTAATTAGGAAATAAAAAGTTACTTACTTTTTAATAAAGGAAGATCCGTCATGAATCCAGTTGTGTCATCCATACCAGCGTTCTAAAAACATAACACATTTCAATTTATTATAATGTTATGTACTTGATATCTTATATTAAACAGAGGTAGTCATTATACTTCTATTATAAAGAGTATATATTCCTAAACAAAGCCTAAATAATAATTTTTACCAATGTACAATAGTACCACATCTCAACTAAATAGATTTAATTTTCTTATAATACGTACGACACAATAATATCCGTAAACATTAATCGATACTCAAAATATCTATTCATACGTACCTAATACTAATACCTACATACTAGGTATTTAATATACACAACACAACAAAGCACTGATATTATTTATAAATAGGAAAGACATGGACTGTCCGACATTCCGGAACATCGTAGGAACATTTTAATTTAGTAAGCTTATTATTAAATTCCTTGTAGGACTGGGCGGACATATTTGTTGGATATTGGATGGCTATCAATATCGATGATATGAGGGTGAAATTTGTTAAAAATGTAATTGGTATTTCTTGTATTTAGGTACACATTTATTTTTGTCGAATTGTCTTTGTTGTTTGTCGTTAGATATGGATTAATTTTTGCTTAACGAATTTATCATTTTTATCAATTAGTAATAATGCTGAGTAGGTACCTACCTATTCGTAGCAGGTGATTTTTTTATCAGAATTTTAACAAAAAGTTTTCATCATTTAGCTCATAACTATAGCCATATTTATATGATTGTTGACAAATAGTTCTGATTTTCCAATTTCAAATTTCCGTAACTTCTGTGAAGTTCGAGTTTGAGATTGAGTCAAGCCAATTAAGACCTTATATATGTTACACTTACCGGCGTTTCTTCCGTGGAGTGTAGCGCATGGTGTAGGGCCAACTCATGTTGTTCCCGAGCACCGTAGTCTGCTCGCCTCTCGCCGCCACCATAACTGAATCCTCCGTGTGATAACTACGAAGAAAGTATTAAAATTATAGGATTTTCAACCTTATTGTTTAGCGATAAAGTTAGAACTTTATTTTAGTTTGGATATCTAGGTTTCATTAAATAAATAGCTTTAATGGTTGGTTAGAATGGTTAGGCTATCAAAAAAGCTACCTTACAAATTAAAATATCGACTGTAAATATCATTTTATTTCTGCAAAATAAACCTCAAAAATATGTTTTACGGATTGCCATTCAATCACATTTAACGTCATCGTGTCTTCCTGCAAAGTATCGGACGGTATTGTGTTGAATGGCCCGCTTTAGAAACCGGAACATTACCAGCAGCTAATCTACTAAAGTGATCCCATCCCTAACGTCGTTGGAGAACTATTGTTGACTGAAAAATATTGTTGATGGTTCTAGCTAGCCAGTAGTATACTGCCGTGTGGATAAAAAAGATTATCCTTCGATTTTTAAAATTAAAATTGATATTGACTCGAAAGAGGTTTAATTGAATTTAAAACGACTAAGGTCACTGGGAATTTCGCGGGAAATTGCAAAAAAAAAATAAAAATAAACATAAGTGAAATAAAAGAAAATTAAATCGACTTGCATTCACAAATATTGTTAGGCATCTAACTGCAGAGCGAATTAAGCTTCAAGTTATGACAAAATCGTAGAATTCGGCAGCCATAACTTTTATCATTTAATCGGCTCATTTAGAGAAAAATGTCAAAGTGTTTGACGATCCGACTCTCTGTAGACAAATCAAGACAAATGAAAGATAAAAATAACTTGAATAATGTCGAGTGAGACATGTATAAAAATGACAATAGATAATTTATTATTTTTAAATATTTACATGATAATAATATGCGACCTCTTTGTAATAGGTAAGTACTTTGTGTATGTACTCATTTGTAAAATGAAGTAAATGACATTAATATCTTTCCTGTGCTGATAATAGTAGATAAAATATTATAGGATGAAAAAGTGATATGAAATTGTCTATATTTCTCAATATGGCCTACGTTTAATTCATTAAAACCTCTAGCGAACGCCGTCATTCGCGCACCTATTGTTTTTCTAATGTGTCTTCAATTACTAAGGTCGAAAGGTTAATGAGAATCTGATATCATAGATAAAGAAGATACAATAATGATAATCGATGCTACATCTGAAAGAGATTCTTTAACGCCAATAGTCCACTACGTAAAGAAAGAAAGAAAGAAAGAAAGAAAGAAAGAAAGAAAGAAAGAAAGAAAGAAAGAAGAAAGAAAGCTGAACTATGAAAGAATTGCAGATTAAAAGGATAAGGAAGGACAACAGTCTGAACCCTATAAACAAGATGAATGACCTTTATTATATTTAAATATATGATGAACTGATAGAACTACCATCTATCTATTCTCTATTTTCTCTCGGAAAAGCTACAACGTTTTTTTATGTGGTAGGAGGAAAACTAGCAGACGGATTACCTGATGGTAAGCAATCAGCGCTGCCTATGGACACCCGCAACAACGGAGGAGTTACGTGTGCATTGTCGACCTTTTGGGGATTTAAGTTCCGGAAGGGAAAGAAAGAATTTAGGTTCCGGAAACCTCACTTACACGGCGAAATACAACGCTGTGGTTGTTTCAGGACGGAATTCTGCGAGGCCGTGGAATGACTCCAGTCGAACCGATAAATTCGTGCCGAAGACTGGCTGACTTTTTAAACTTCTGTTGTAACTCTTGTCAAAAAATAACCACCAAATTTTAACCACCTTCTAGAAACCGTAGCAAATTTTGTCATAAACGTTAAGCTACTCGCATTATAACGTCAAATTTAAATTCACATAATAGAGGAGGATTAATAAGATAGTAATTTTAAACCCGCGGAGGGAACTATGCCGGAATTCTTTCGCAAGGAGCGGAGGGGAAGCGCATAGTTTTGTTGTACACTGCATACATATCGATCTATTTAGTTAGGGAGGATTGTTGTTGTTGAAAGATGTATGGTAATAAGCAAGTGGTGTATTTTGTGAAGATTATAATAAAGTGGAAGTTTTTAAAGTTTATGTAGCTATAGGCGACAGTGATAAAGCAACAAATGCTTAGGCTGTTGTAAAAGTTAATAAGTTTAAAGGGGATGAAGATTTTGATACAGAAAAAATTCTAACTATGTTTGGGACAAACAATAAAGTAATGCACAACATTTGTAGAAAGTCTATTGGGGGTCGTGGATAAAGTCTGAGAATGAAATATTTGTGGTTGAAGAATATTTACCCTACTTTGTGAATTAAAAACGATTGAAATAAAAAATAGAACTGGCGCTAGTCACAATTGTGTAGCATTTCACGAGCTTGTGTCACATTTTTGCCAAATTTGAGTTCAAATTTTGCATAACCTTGCTGCTGAGCCTATTCAGAGACTAACTATTTCTTAATAACCTTTTGGTTTGGAGAACAATTGCAAAGGACTAGGTTGACCCCATCAAATTTTAATCTCAAAATCTATGTATAACTCAAATCATGATAAAATCAATTTCAGAAACAATTCATGAATTATTTTATAAAAAATTTAAGTATCAGCAATATGGTCTGTTAAGTGGATGAGAAAAGACGCAAGTGTCTGCGATGACTGAAAGAAGACACAGTTACATATATTACCCAAAAAGAAGCAAGAAGGATGAATTTAAAAGTGTCCACGACAGACGGGACCCTATAGGGCTGATGTTCAGCCGGGGTTGCGGGGCAAGCTGAATGAGGCACCGCGGCCTCGGCCCAGAGCAGGCAAAGGAGAAGTCATTGGATGATTTTCGCCTTATAAAAAAAGAATAGAACATATACTTACATGGTGTGCATGTATATCGTGATGGTCCCTGTGATGGCGGAGGTGTGCGTGAGGCTCGTGGTGCGCGTGGTGGCGCGGGAGCAGCTGCTGCGGCGCGTAGTGCTGCGCGTACTCCGCCGTGCCGCCGCCGCCGCCGCCATACTCCATGCCATGGCTCTGCCGCAATCATATTAGGATTGGTAGTTACGAAGGTTGAAAGATTATCTCACTTCTTACTGATATTATAAATGCGAAAGTTACGATGTTTGTATGTTTGTTACTCAATACCCTCAAAACGGCTCGGCACTGGCATAGGATACACTCCGGAATAGGTCATAGGCTACTTTTTATCAATATACTACGCGGGCGAAGCCGCGGGCGGAAGCTAGTAAAACAATCCAGTTTTAATTTTCCGGAAAAAGTATGTGACGCTTCGATTGATAATATAACTTTTAGGTCTGGATATTTCTAACTTTACTTTACTTTTTAGAGAACTATACTAAACATAATTCTTCATAGACTGCAAGAAATCAGTGATGGCGTTTACATTTCACTGCAGCTTTTTCCATAGTTTTTAGAAAATTTTTTGGTCGTAAGCTAAAAAATGGCTTAGTAAACCTTTAACGAACCCATCTAAGAAGAAGAAGAAAAAGATATAGATCTTGAATCAACTAAACATAAATATACAACAATAAACTTCTTTGAGTACCAACCTGTTGTTGATGATGGGGGCTTGCGGGGTGAGGTGCGGGTGCGAAAGGCGGGGGGAAGTACGGCGGCTGGAAGTCGGCGAGGGAGGGCTGCGCGCCGCCACGGAACCCACCGCCGCCCAGACCCAGCCCACCGCTGCCCAGCCGCTCCTGAGTAATAGATGATAAAGGTTAATCATGATAAAGACAAAATTAAAATAGTAGGTAATCGATAAAAAGGATTGATAAATCAAAAGTATAGGTACTGTAGTACCGATACCGTTGCCGTGTTGCTTAAATTTTTTGGGAATAAATCCGGGTACTCTTTAAAGTGAGAAAACTCACAAACATTACTAAATAATTTTGGAACTCATCAAACTTATGACAAGCATTTGCATAACCGTACAAATTCTTGTCTAATTAGCTACTGCCACGTGGTTTCACCCGGTACTGTCGGTCGTTGGGTGATGTTTTAAGCCTATAGCACTCACAGAATTTGTTTAGCTATCTATCAGTGAATAGAATCGAAATATCAGTAAAACAGAATTTTGGCAATCCGACCAGCGGTACCAAAGATTACCCCTAACATATAAACTACAAATTTTACCTCTTTATAATATTAGTAGGTATAAATAAAACCTCCTTAGTCAGTGCCAGAGTAGCTGATATACAGAACGGTGTTGCAATAGAAATAAATTACGTTTTAAATTCTTGTGTATTGTAACACTAACATCTAAATAAGAATGGCGTCGAAAGCCATCATTCACGATGACGCGATCTTAATCAGAATAAAGTAATTAAGGCGGGTAATTATCGCATCACTTGCTGTAGGTAACACTGGCAATTTACATTAACTAAATGATGCTATTGTGTGAAATAAATTGGTCGATAAGGATGTTCGTACGGTTATAGAACGGGCGATATTTTTGAGCATGACCACATGAAACTGCTGTTGGGTGCTCTGTGCCCAGCTTTTGCTGAGTTGGCGACCCATTCGGATTGGGCATGTCCGCCAACCCAGGGTTGTATTAATGTACCTTGTTAGGCTGTTTTCACGTTATTGTTTTGATTAATTTTATTTTTATTTTATTTTGTTGTCCTGTTACTTCAAACTTTTTATTTTATTGTTTTTTTTTGTTTGTTGTGTCAGTCCGAATAAAAACAGTTTTCTTTCTTCTTTCTTTCCTCTTTTCTAAACTGTGTTCTTTGTAGAACTATTTACAAGCCTTATTAGTGTCTAATTAAACAAAGGAATATCGTATCCGAACGCCTTTCAATGTTTTTAAAAAAAAACGGGTTATAGAGAACGCAGTTCTCCTAGCCTATGTAGTCTAAAAAACGTTTAAGTAGTCACTCTTATATAGCTGTGTGGGAGTGTCAAGTTTCGGAACGAATTGGTCGACTCGTCCGGAGTAGTACCATGGCCTTACAGAAAATCAGCGTGGAAAAACTACATATTTATACGATGGCTTTGGGTGTATCTCTCAAGTGAAGCTGACCCTTAAGGAGGTTTTTTTTTGTTACGGGAAAATCATCAAATGACTTTTCCCGCCCAGGGTGAGGCGAGAGGAGGCGTCAGACTCTTACTGACTAAAAACTCCCCTGTTCCTTCTCCTGCTCCGGGCCGAAGCTGCGGTGCCTCATTGCGCTTATCCCGCAACCCCGGCTCCATATCAGCTCTATAGAGCCCTGTCTGTGGTGGTCTATTGGCTCTTTGAGGCGCGCGTGGAACGCTACGCGCCGTACGAAGGGTTGAGTAATTAAGTAACAATAACTCTTTCCGAATTCGACATACATGGTTTCTTGACATTACACAAATTGAAGCTTGATTAATTTCTTGTTGGACAGATACAGTAAAAAAATGAATTTAAATTGACCCACGCTTGGCTTAACACTGATGAAGAATTGAGAAAGTTTCGGATAGTTATTACGCCTTTAGTGAAACGTAATTGACTGATGAAATTGCTACTGATCAGTAGGCAATCAATCATATTTTGGTGAGGTGCTGATAGGTTTGATGTTAAAAGGTTACTGAATGACTATGAAATGGTTTTAAATAAAAAAAAAATACCTAAGTAACTAGGTGTAGGATTTCTTTGGACAGCTTATTGAAGTGTGTTGCAAAAAGTAATGATGCAGTTACAAAGTCGGCATTTGTTTTTGTCCGACTGTTGCGAATCCCGGTAGTTTCCAACGAGTCAAATTCAATACTTTTATCCAAATGTGAAAAACTATACTTTTCTATGTTTGTGTGAAAAACTGAGTTATTATGACGGCATAGTAATTTAGCTTCAAATAGCTTACTTATTTCTTAAAAATTTGCTAAAAAATATCTAAAATTTAGTGTAGGTATGTATCGATCGATGAATAAAATTATAGTTATTATTCGATATTTTATTGTATTGAAGCGTCGAATTTCTTTTTGACCTAGGAAACTACACAATTATTAGGTAGGTACAGCCGGATTTTCATAAGTAGAAATTTATTTCTATCTCTGTCGCTCGAAAGGAGATATAATATTCCTTGACGACCGAGACTGTCTTGATATCCAAGGAAAGTCGTAATTAATTTGATAAAGAAAAAAAGAGAAAATAAAAAAGTCATAAATTATTAAAGATACCACATTAAGTTCACCCATTATTGTGTAGGCTAATATCTAACACAATATACATATTATGTAGATGATTCTAAAAAAATAATTACCTTTTTTATGTATCATAGACAATACTGCACCGTTCTCTTTGGAACAAAGCGTTTGTAATATCAATGTTCTTGCTTGATTACTTACAATACGAATAGACAATGATGATCATGTGATTATAAAGACACGCAAACTTTGAATTAGCACTCTTGGCTTTGATATATGCGATATATAATTATTTAGAACTAAATATACGAGTCAGTCAGTAGCGTGGAGTTGTTTGAAACTTTATACTTATGTGGTAAAGTTGGTTTTTAACCGACTTCCAAAAAAGGAGGAGGTTCTCAATTCGACCGTATATATGCTTTTTTTTTTTTTTTATATGTTTGTTCGCCGATATCTCCGTTATTTATGAACCGATTTTGATAATTCTTTTTTTATTGGAAAGGAGATAGTCCCAGAATGGTCCCATGATAAGGAAATCAGGATCTGATGATGGAAGACCAGAGAAATCGAGGGGAACTTTCAAAAATTGTAGGGGCCAGTGGTGCTTTTGCATATGGTTTTAGTAGGCTTTTGACAAATTTACAACTTGCCGACGTTCGAACCCGACCTGATGATGGAGCCGGAAGACAGTCGAGGGATCTCCTTGACTATTTGCAGTAGTTGCCTTGTGTTTGGGCTTGAATGATTCGTATTGGTGAGTACTTTGCACCAAGATTGATCGTGACTGTCATTAAGGGTCTGATGTTGAGAACGATGGACAGCTCAGGGAACTCCTGAACGGTTTACAGTAACTACCTCGTGTTTGGACTTAATTTATTTATATTGATGAGAACTTTGCACCTATATGGATTATGTATAATGAAGGTCTGCAGTATACCTGATAATGGAGGTCATTGACATTCGCGGGAATTCCTCAACGATTTACGGCACTGAAAGCTGTCTAACTCAGGACTACCATTACTGTGATTTTCGGTCTCAAGTAGCCGTCGTCTTCTCTTTTAAGAAGCATTCTAGCTTTCTCTGCCTATCACTTAAAATGGTGAAATAAAATAATTTTTAACAAAAAAAAAACCGACTTCAAAAGTAAACTAAAAAGCAAAAAATAAATTTACTTTGTTCAAAGTAATACACACTTTCATTTAGTTAAATAGAAAACAATATTTAGTAACTATTTTATAATTTTGAAGTCGGTGCCAAGTAAATGCTATATACCAAACAACAACAGTATTAGAAAAATATATTGATCGGTACCTACTAATCATCAAATTAGCAAGAGGTATGTAAGTAATATCTTTACACGGTTATAGTTTTACTTGGCACCGACTTTAAGATTATAAAATAGTTATTAAATATTGTTTTCTATTTAACTAAATGAAAGTGTGTAATACTTTGAACAAAGTAAATTTATTTTTTGCTTTTTAGTTTACTTTTGAAGTCGGTTTTTTTTTGTTAAAAATTATTTTTACTTTGACATATGTTATTGTTAATATAAAAGCACTAGTCAGTATATTATGTTTCATCAATGTATGTTATAATCAATTTGTTCTAATGTTCTTGGTTGGAGCGATATATTTTGGTAATGATCTCATTCTTAAGTTTATAATGCGGAAATAAAATCGACGGTCAAAAGAGTGTTAAACAAACTTTTATTCGTGAATATTTTTAGTCAAACTTTTATTGAAAAATAATGTTTTTTTTTAATTTTATGTGTCAAACTTGGCAAAGATAATTTATTGTTTACGTGGATATAACGCTTTAAGCGTAATCTCCCGTTAGGACTTTAATTTTATGCCTAGATTTTTTTTTAAATTATTCATTCTGAACTACTTATACATAGATATCTTTCAAATTTTTTACTGTTGTTTCTTTAACAAAAGAGATCCGCTCAAGTGATATAAACCTTATTACAGGATTAAAAAGAATGAAAGTAAATAACAGGTTTTTGCTTGTGATCTGAAACTGGTCTATTAGAGGACCTGGGTTTTCTTACGAATACCGAAAGTGGTCTGGAAGTCTTGGTGAAGTAGGTACATTATTTAATTATTCTCCTGAAAAGCTGAGTGCCATTTTGAAGGTATGTTCCCGTCACTTGGAAAGGATAGCTGAGAATGAACACCGAAGGTATTTTTTATGGGTTTTACATAGAGTATCTGACTATCAGTACTTACCTAGTATTAGAAAGAAATATCCTTTTGTACGTATCTATTATTTTCTACTACCTAATCTTCGTAAGTCAAACACAATTCGCAACAACAATCCTTAAAAAATCTGTTTACATCATTATAACATTCTAATTTATGTTATCCATTATTAATTCTAAACTTAAATATTATTAAGAAGTAGTCCACTTAATTACTTTCAAGTTATTCAATCTCGGTGCTACGTATTCACTACCTAATTACGCTAACGATCTTTTAAAACGGTCATCACAAAAACCATCTTTTATTTTGCTGTCACAAAAGTTCACGTCCCCAAGAAATTACTCTAGACACTCAATTTCCCAGCTGCACCAAAATGTTTGTCAAACAATTCCAATTTTAAATCTCTAGTGCGTAGCTCATTCGGTTGAAATTATACTCAATATAATGTAGATCAATTACAAAACTTACGGTAAATGTATCGAGTTACGGCACGACACCTAATCGATTACTTTCGATCTAGTTTTTTTTTTAATTTATTATCTGTTTTAATTTATGCATCTTGTTACCGGATGTGGTGAAAACTTGTCGTCGTGTGATGACATAGTATAGGTGCTGCGATATTTATTTGTTGATATCGAGTAGCAATGGAACCGTAAAAAGTATTACGAATATCCAAACTAATATTATAAATGCGAAAGTAACTCTGTTTGTCTGTCTGTCTTTTCTTCACGCCTAAACTACTAAATCTATTTGTGTGAAATTTCGAGAAAGGACATAGGATAGTTTTTATACCAAAAATCTGCAGGAAGTCACTATTCCACGCGAACAAAGTCGCGGGCAAAAGCTAGTTGTTTTTTATTACAGAATTTCTGTTGAAGATAAATAGATCTGCATTCATCACACTTAGTTTTAAGCATTCGTGTTACAAAAACTACTCGATTGCTCAGTGATCATTCAAGTTATAGCTCCAGGTAATGCTATAATTGACTAATTAATTTGTAATCCAAAATGATCTGTCATCACACACTTTCTTTAATAAAGTTCCAATTATTCATTGTTGCTTCGATTACGATGTTTTATTTTTACATTTAATTAAATAGGAGGCGTTTTAAGATACTTAATTTAATTTTAGAATGTTAACGGCGCCATATTTATTGGAATTATTTAGATGCAGATTGTAATAAGGCCGACCTAATTTAATAAAGC